TATCTTAGACTCTGTTTTATAGTATCATTATATTTAAAAAAATTAAAGGTTATTTCACCACTTTTTTGCGGTATTTCAATTTTTTCTTTAGGCTTGATGCCAAAATCAAATTCATCCTTACGGTTTTGAATGAAGATTCGTCATGAATATATTTGCCTGTCCTTTCAACACCCACAGGCTGGAGGTTCAAGTCCTCTTAGTAGATAGGAATGTGAGAAATCACAATGCCCAATTCTCATTTGGCAAAAATATGTTTTCCATTTGAAACAGTGTTTTTTTTTATTTATTTTAAGTTAGGGTGTTATTGTTACCATTAGAGTTGCCCAAATGCGAAACCAAGACTTGCGCACTCTTGATCTTGGTCTTGCGCAAGAGTCTCGCATCAGTCTTGCAGTTACCTATTAGCTTATTACTATAAAGATATTAAGGATGATAAATATTCAGGAGGCAGTTTTTATTAGTGCCGGGCTGAGGCTCCCCCCTCCCCAAAATGATAAAATATAACCATGTTTTATGGAAAAAAAAAATTTTAAAATTAACTCTTAAAGTATTATAGTTCGTGTAATTACATTAAAAAGTACTTTAGGAATCACTTAAACACCATTTCATATAGATAGTTAGTTTCTTTCTTTTTTTTCCCAAAGTAACTATCGTTATTTTCATGAAAAAAAAAAAAAAGCTTTCGGGCTGAAGCCCCCCAAAATTAAATCCTGGATCCGCTAGTGCAAGACAGAGACCGACCGATTTTGAGCAACACTAGTTACCATATACTCGTGTATATATATATATATATATATATATATATATATATATATATATATATATATATATAAACTTAAGTATCAATTATAGTTGGATAATAGGTCATGAACTACACTTCAATGAGTTAAAACAGCTTTTGTTTATTCTTTTTATTCAAACATTTCGATCTCTGTTCTTTAACATAAATAATAGAATATATCATATCATAAGCTCGTGAAGCTGTGAACTCGTAATTTGTACACCAGGTTGCCAGGCAACGCGTTAGCTCGCCTCTTATTGTTAACATTTGTCCTGCCATTTTTTTACACTATCTTCACTATAGACATGGTGTCCTTTACCTCCGTGGCACATCACTGTTATTTATGTTGCTTTTTGTGTTAAGTTTACATATCGTCTGCACCATGTTAAAATGACTAATATGAGTCTGTTTAACGTTGTATATTCGATTATCTTCTTCTATTTTGTTCCTCTACAATGTTATTCGGATATTTTGTGATACATTACGGTACTTGTTCAATAGCGGGTAGCGCCCGACTGCTACCTGCCAATGTTTATAACCTTAACACTGATAACTCTGATAAGCCACTGATAATATCTTCGTATCTTATTATATTATATTCATATTATTATATCTTCGTATTCATATTTATTATATTGTATTGATATTATTGATATTATTACCGTTCTACTTGAAACTATAAAACTAAATACGACAACTTTAATGAAAGCCTGTAAAGAACTAGGACTCGAAATAAACGTGGATAAAACAAAATATATGGTTAGCTGCAAAAATGGCGATACTACTGGTGATATCGATATAGATGGTAATATGTTTGAACAGGTAGATAAGTTTAGGTATCTAGGTTCTACGATAACTAGAAAAAACGAAATTGAAGAAGAGGTTAAGGTTAGACTGAAGGCGGGAAACGCTTGTTATTTTTCTGTGACAAAACTACTTAGTTCGCGCCTCTTGTCCCGGAACTTAAAAATTAGAATCTATAAAACAATTATCTTGCCTACAGTTCTTTATGGGTGCGAAACTTGGCCGCTTACATTAAGGGATGAGCAGCGTCTTAAGGTTTTTGAAAATAAAGTATGCGTAGAATATTCGGACCGAAGAAGATTGAGTTAACCGGAGAGTTCAGACGGTTACACAACGCCGAATTGCGTGAACTGTATCCGAGTAATATAATTGAGATAATTTCATCGCGGCGAATCAAATGGGCTTGTAAAGTTGTTGGGCTTAGTAACGAGAGAATTCCTAAAAGGTTAATATTTGCTGTGCCGAATGGTAAGCGTCCGAGGGGTAGACCGAAGTGAAGGTGGGAAGATTGCATTAAAACAGATCTAAAGGGACTGGGTTTGGACGGCGAACGGTGGAGGGAGGTGTGTAATAAGCGATTGGTGGTGTCGGCATCGAACCTTCGGGTTCGCTAAGCCTTTTATTATTATTATTATTATTATTATTGATATTATTGAAATTTTGAACAAAAACAAATGTAATAATACAAAATTCTTTTGTTTTACAAGCTATATATATTAAATAGATCAAAACATTATACATATATAATTAAAAAACATTGCAACATATGAAATAATAAAAATAGACAAAAATAAATGAATAATGAATGAATAAAAAATCACTTAAACATCATATGTACATATAAAAGAAACACTATGAAGACTATAAAGAACATACGTACATATTAAAGAAACGATATAAAAGACGACAATTCCCACAATGTGACAACATCCATAATTAAATAAAATTAACTCACAGCTTAGACAAGGAACAAAAAATAAACAAGGGGATAACTTAGGTTAGAGGAGATAAGGGAAGTTATGTGAAATAAGATTAGATAACGAGGGAGGTTTTGACGCTACCCGCTATTAAACAAGTACCTACATTACATCCAGTCCTCTATCTGTTACCGTCCTACCATTTGTATTCTTTAGCGAACCACACAGTAACATATGGCAGCTCATTCCTTATTCAACCACCGTTCTACTTAAAAACCTACACGTGTATTTACTTGAAACCGCTATTCAAGTTATCATTTTAACATTGATTTCATTTTCCAACTTATATCGACCCAATCTTACTCTTTGTTTATGTTGTTATTTTTTCAATATGCACTTCAATTTAAAGTTATCATTTTATAAATCCATTTGTAAATTATGTATTATTCAAAAGGGACAAGATGTCCTTGGTTTAATAAAGACTGTACAATAAATTATTAAAATTTGCACGCTCAAAGAGAAAACTTGAGTGATATCATCTGTTCAAATGAGATAAGTCATTTAAATTGATCATTAGAAAGTCTTATATCGATATTTAAGCTAGATAACCTATCAGATTGTCGCTCAGTAAAATCTAACTAATCTAAAATCAAAATGTTATATTTATGACGTCAATGTTGAAACATTTGTAGTGGGGAAAGTGCTGATATTATTACTCCCTTGAAATGATCAAACTAAATTAACTGCATCTAAGGAGCACTTACCTTGATTTGGCACTTGTCTGGGGTAATTTCTAAGGAACTTTGTGAAATATTTTGAAAGATTTTTAGGTTAAAACGAATGAAAAACCATTTGAATTTTTAGCTAAATCTCTAACACCCAAAGGAGAATTTTGAATTTTGAATATTTAATAGTTGACCGTGGCATTATAAAGGAAGGAGATGGTCCAGGGTGGCGGTCATAAATAGGCTAAATAGTGACAAAACTATTTTATTAAAAGACAACGTTTCGACCCGACTTTGCAGGTCTTCTTCAGGGCTAGAACTTAAAGATACAAAAAAATATAGATAATTGTAGAAGTTACATAACATTTAGAAAACAAAAATTATAAACAATGTGAATAAGCTTATTAAAATTATAAACAGTAACTACAATAAAATATAAACAGAGTAAGCTAAGTAATAAGATCCTAAACTGAAGTAAATAGATGGTAACAATTGTTATAATGTAATATATAATATATGCAAATGTGAATATACTTCTACAGATCTATGGGAGAGATTGGAAAAGAAGGAAAAAGGATATAATATGAAATAATAGAGTATATAAAATTAGAAGAATACAAATACACACTTACAGGTGTGTTCAGCTAGGTGTGTTTTAATTTCACTTAGTACTGGAAAATAAGGGTGAGGGAAGGTATGGGGAAATTTTTCAGACCTCAATTTGCGGAATTTGAAGATTTAGATGGATACAAGGGAAAAAATACTATAATTATGAAATAATAAATTATAAATTATATATAGATATATATATATATAAAACAGAATTAAGAAATTATAGATAAGAGTACAATGTGAATAAAAAAGTGGAGCAACGTATTCTGTAAATACATTAGATCGGTGTCAAAAAAGAGAATTTTTGAAATGACAACTTCTTTAGGATCACTTAGCACTTTATTTTGTGGATAGTGAAGGCGAATGAGACGTCACGTTCCGCTATGTAACGCTCATTCGGGTAAAGTCGGCTAGACTCGACTAATTTTTGTATTTGTATTCAAATACCTCAGAAACTAAACATCTGACCTGCATATTATAATCAAGGAAAATGTTTAGCATTTCATCCTCTTTGTAATATACATATAAATATTTTTATTATATATTATTAATCCTGCCTTGTTGATGTTGGCACTTCTATCGTGTGTTCTTAAGCACACAACGTAGTTTATTTGTTTTGTTTTTTAGTGTTGCTTATTTATTTCTATGAGTAATCTCAGCTTAATATTGAAACACTATATCGTACAGAAATAGTTTTTCCCTTATTAATTAAATACATTTTAAAACTTGGCGACATTCTTACTACGTTACACTGACAATAACACAATATAAAAATGGCAGTATCCACATCATGTTTCGAATAATAACATTTTTTCTAAACACAAGACAAGATAGTTAAATAAAACAATTCCAACATGTTGAACCAATTTGGTCCCATGACCTAACGAAACTTTTTTAAACGGTTAAGTTTCTCGACTAAATTCACTTCATCTGAGAAACTACTAGAGAATCACATTTGTGTAAAAGGGCCTTTAAAGAAAATAAATAGCTCATCTAGTTTTAGCTATTCGAAATCGTTTCGAAAATTCCGTCGGTAGGCACCCGAAACAAATATATTATATATATATGCATTCCTATATCATATATATATATATATATATATATATATATATATAAAACACACTTTGCAATTTTATTTTTATTATTTTTATTTGATTACAGTTATCGAGCTGACCGAAGATGATAAGAACATCGAGAAACTCAGCGAAGGAATAAGAAACGGAAAGACAGCTTGGTTCTGCAAGGATCTAGATCAAAGCAAGTAATTGTGTATAACCTCTATTCAACATTAAAATATATCAAAAAACATATTTCAGTAAATACTTTTTTAGATTAATATTTAAATTTATATATATCTTAGCCAGTTTATGGAGGCCAAGCTGAGGAAGAGTGGGGGGAGATGAATTGTATGTGAGTGGAGAAATGGAGAAGCATTTCCCATCCCTTATTTTCATGTGTGATAACATTACTCCTTGTACCATAAGGGAAGATTTCGAGGCCATATCATTTATTCTGGCAAACCATTTCTTGGTCTTAGTATGTTGATTTAACCGCCGGAATTAAGGGCGTAGGTACGTTTTTTGGTTTTAATAGAAATAATAATAATAATACTTTATTTATTTTGGGACGTGTCCATTTATAATAAAACAGAAAGACAGAAATGTTGGCTTTGGAGCCTCAGAGATACATAATACAAAATACAGAGTAACTAAATAGTCATAGTAAAGAAATTATAAGTTACTTTCTGATTTTAATCAGTTAATAATAAAAAATAAATAATTGAAAAAAAACATGAAACAACTTTTTAAGTTTTATTATGATATTTACAACTGTATTAGTATGAATACATCAAGTAAATGTCTACAGAGGAATATAACATGAAACACGCTTGTTGAGAAACTACCCATTGGTAGCACTCTAATGACATGAAGTAAAAATAATGAAGAACGAACTAATAATTTTTATACATATTTACAATAGTAGGAGGGTAAATTCTATTCACAATTTTATGGGGACTGGATGGATAAGAAATGATTGAACAGGCGGGATTTAAAGGTAGGAAGGATATTGGATTGACGGATGTGGGAAAGGATGGAGTTCCATAAGGATGAGGATCGGATAATGAATGATCTGTCGAAAGTAGCGGTTCGGTGGATCTCTGTGTATAATTCAGTATTGTACGAGTATTGCGGAACGAACAGAGGATTTGATTTGAAGCAGTTCGGAGATCTATGAAGGACGGTGCGATTAGATGACTTGGAAGAAGAATGAAGGGCTTACCTTTTTTTTATGGGGCGTCTGATATAACATAATTTCTCCTCATATCAATTGAAACGATGAAGAAGGTATACCGACTTACCATCTTAGCATACTTTTTACTTTCCTACCTATATTAGGTAAGGAAAGTATTGCTATCGGGTCAAATTTCTGATATGTGGTTTTCGCCGGATATATATGTTTCCCAGCTGAGTCCGAAAAACACATTTTTAGCCATTGGTCTGTCTTTCTGTGCCAAGATTTTCTCGGGAACTACTGAACCGATTTTGTTGCTTCTTTTTTTATTTTGTAGGGTTTTGACTACTGATCCATGCGCAATTGCTTGCGCGCAATAAATTAGCCTGTTTTTTTTTTTAATTAATGAAATTCTCTACGAAACAATATAAAAATCGTTCATTTTCGACAACTTTTAACGAAGTTACAGCTATTCAATTAGCAATGTAAGATTACGATTTCATATCCTGGTGTCAGGAAGGAGTAAATGAGAGAAAAAAAATGACTAAGTGAAAGTAAGAAAATCTGTTGCCCGCATCACACAAGCTTCACAATTTCCTCTACTTTTAACAGAAATTATTTTTTAACAAAATTAAGCCATGACAAAAAGTTTTTGATCAGCAATATTTGAGGACATTAAAATTTTTACACTGATCTACCTCAAGTCGCTTTACATTGCTTTAGTTTTGTCAAATAAATCTTAATCAAATCTTTTCTTTGATTAATTTTCAGGAAAATAAATCTAATTCAATTTTTTTTTTTTTATTTCTTCATGAACATGTGTAAAGATATAAAAACTTTTCTGAAATAGATAGGAAAGTCGTGTGAGTGGACACATCATATTTTTTGAAAATTGTTGTTTCAAAACAGAAATAGGTACCTGATCTGTCTACTCATTATTATATAAATCAGTTAATATAAATCAATTATGATTAAATAAGGGATTGATATTTTTAGGTCTTATTATAGAATTAGCTAACGAATCATACAAATAGGCAATACTTGAAAACTAAAACAATATTCCTTCCTCTGCTTACAGGTCCTGCGCCGAATACTCTCGCGCTGACGAACGGTAACAAGGGCGAACCTGAAGTAACAGAGTACGACAAGTTGGACTGCGAGGATCTCCTCGGTGTCAGAGTGTGTGCTTCCTTCTGGCTCCAGTTCACCGCCATCTTGTCCAGGATTTTTCTTCAAGCCCGGAGGAATAAGGTATCATAAGATAAATAAGATATATTTCTTTTTACAACAGTTAAACGTTACATAATACGTCTTACAGATTCACAGTGCAGCCAAAAAGACTCAAATATTTAATTATTGTTCTTTCTTTTTTTTGAGGGGGGGGAGGAGTTTTAGGTTATATTAATGAGATTGATAAAGATAACTTCCTTTGTTAACTTAGTTTAGTTATTTATCTTAGTTTAAGTTACATATAACATTCAATGACAATCTATCTAGAAATAATTAATAAATAGCCAGTGTTATTTCATCTTACTATGACAATTACAATATTTTATTTGCAAAATAGGACTTGCTTTTACAAGTCATAAAGTCAAAAAAGAACAAAAAACTTTTTTTATCACATAGAATTACATGTTCATGCTTCGTGATATATTTTCCATCGTCAGAACTCTCTAGAGTTTCTGTCAGATTTTTCTCTCAGTGCTCTATGACGAATGGTAAGCATTCGAGGAGATGACCGAAGCGAAGGTGGGAGGATTGCGAGAGCTGGATTTGGACGGCGCTAAGTGAATGGAAGCATGAATATAGTGGATTACACCGATACAGTGCGATTGGTGGTATCGGCATCGAATCTTCTTCCAAACAACATTTTTTTCGAGTTTTGATCCTAAATTGGTTCAAACCACTAAAGGGAAAAACACAAATAATGTGGCACAATGTTATCATCAAATCCGTTACTAATCTAATCATTACAATCCAAAATTCTTCGTATGGTTCTTAATTATACTGTTTTGTCTTTAAATTTTTCCTATACCCTCATGGGACCTAACTGAATAATTTGAGCCTTGAAACATAAAATCCGGTCCAGCCGTTCGCTCAAAAAATTGTTACATACCTTACAAACATATAATTAACAGATATATTATACATATCAATTATCAATCATCAATATTTATTTATTTTGAGGGAAGAATCCTATACAAATAGAGTCTATCACAAAATAACAAATATTATTATCCTTATGGAAATACAAATTTCTTTTATACTACATAACAGACATTACTGCACTCTTAAGCAGAAATTAAAAATCATATTCGGTAAAGGTCAGACAGTTAAAATAGTTTCAATTTTCAAATTAATATAAAATCTAAAATTGTCAACAATATACATAAATAAATACACATAAAACAATAAATACACTTTTCTAAAAAGATTAATATTAAACTATGTTTTAAAATTTAAATTAAAAGATTACCCCTACACCTAAGAGAACAAACAAGAAAAATACAATACGGATTTTTGCCATAATATTCGGAGGACAATATTCAATGTTCTAGATTACCCCACCAATTCTCTATAATTTGATATAATTGAGATAAAAAAATATAATTTTCTCATATCTTCTGCATTGGTCGGCTTAAATATTTCTATCCCATCAAGTTTTCCATACCCTGATAAATTCTTATCCTTAAACTATTATAAATTGGACTAGGAATAGATATATTAAACATATAACCGTCCTAATGACTTCGCCGTAGTTCGGTAAAAACATTTACGTACGAAAACTTCATTTAAACAATTTAAAAAAATAAATTGAATAAATTGATACCTAAAAAAAAAGTTTAGGTATCTAGGGTCTACGATAACTAAAAAAACGAAATTGAAGAAGAGATTAAGGTTAGACTGAAAGCTGGAAATGCCTGTTATTTTTCTCTGACAAAACTAATTAGCTCCGCCTCTTTTCTCGAAACTTAAAAACTAGAATCTATAAAACCATTATCCTACCTACAGTTCGAATGCGAAACGTGGTCACTTACATCAAGGGATGAGCAACGTCTTAAAGTTTTTGAAAATAAAATATTGCCTAGAATATTCGGACCGAAGAAGGATGAGTTAACCGAAGAGTTCAGACGGTTACACAACACCGAATTGCGTAAACTATATCCGGTTAACCTAATTGAGGTGATCACATCGCGGCGAATCAAAAATTGTTGGGCTTAGTTAAGAATTCCTAAAAGGTTAATATTAGCAGTACCGAATGGCAAATGTACGAAGAGTAGGTCAAAGCGAAGATGTGAAGATTGCGTTAAGACCTATCTGAAGGGACTGGGTTTGGAAGGAAACGGGTGGTGGGAAGTGTGTAATAAGCGATTGGTGGTGTCGGCATCGAACTATCGGGTTCGCTAAGCCTCCTATTATTATTAAATTGATATGATAAATAAATGTATATAATAATATTTGTATTATCTCTTAGAAGAATAACAAGTTATCAATAGTCAAAACATGTTTATTGACACAGTGGCTATGAATCATGACAGTCGATAATTTTTTATCGATTCTGAAAATACTACGCATTACATTCTTCTCCCATCTGTAAATGAAATAATAATAGTTTTAATATTTATAAAAACTAAATGGAGTTAAGTTCTCTAAATTGAGCTTGAAAATATGAAACTAATAAATATTTAAATATTGAAACCAAGTAAAAAAAAAAATTCAAAAGGTCTTTGATTAAAGTTACAAAAACAAAATCACCACCTCAGATACATTTATTCAATGGCAATTTTTCAATAATGCCAACTTAGGTTCAAAAAAATAATCTATTTAATAGTCCGTTAAGCCCATTAAATGGTTTTGGCATCGAACAAAATATTTTTTCCCCCCGTATCAATAAAATGTATCTTTACTTTCGGTGTTGAGTGGATGATGCAGCAATATATATTTATATATATATATATATATATATATATAACAAATAAATGTTTTAAAGCCGAATATTAGACATATAAAAATCACCAAAAACAAGAATAAAATATAAACAAATAGAAACAAGAAACAGGGTGCTTAGACATTTCTGTATTTCGTGATAAACAAACATGTTGGACCTTAGAAACCATATTTTGCCTTAAAACGAAACCAAGGGAAGCCTATATAGTCCTATAAAGACCTATTTTTATCAAATTATTAACATCCGCCTGAAACCTAGTAAATAGTTCATCTCATCGTAACCTACAACTATTTCATTTACGAAAATTCTCGGAATTGGGCTTTTCAATCTAGAGGTCGGTAAACTGTGTATATTTAATCTGGTACTAAAAGCTCGTAAATACCCATTTGCTTTCAACTTGGATCGTTAAGGAATTTGGTCACAAAAACGATAAGAAAGGTAGCCTTTAAAAATATTGAGCCATTTGGCCTATATAACCTCGTTATTTTGACAATTTGGGGATATAGGTCACGCCAAACGGCTTAATAATTTTGAAGGCCACCTTTTTTCTCGAGTTCGTATTGAAGTTATCTTACGATTGAAGTGGACAAAATATGTATATTTACGAGTTTTTAGTACCTAATTAAATAGACAAAGTTTGAAACCGACCCAATTCCGATAATTTTCATAAATAAAATATTTGTAGGTTACTATGAGATGAAGCTATTTAAGATGTTTTAGTCAGATGTAATAATTTGATAACAAGGGGTCTATACCACGGACTAATAGAAACAACAGATTTAAACAATTGTGTGTTCCCCATACTTTGTGAAATGTCTGAACATAACTGAAGCAATGACGAAGATCAAATAATAATACTTAAGACTGTTGAGTTCTCGATAGGTCTAGATAGAAAGCAGGAGAAACTTTCTAAAATAGTTGAAGAGCAATTCGGTCCACGTCTTTATTCATTTCAAATAGATACCTAACCAATTTTAATCTATTCCATGCATAATGGAATGGGATATGTCAGTAACAGCTGATTAATAAAAGGAAATGTTCGGCCCGTTACTAAGCAACAAAAATAATAACTAATGATATAACAAATACTTAACTATTTAAATGAAGCATTAAATAAAAAAAATGTAATAAAAATAAACATAATCTATATGCAGTGTGTCTCAGTTCCTAATTGCCAAACTCTGAGGGGCGATTCTAGAATAAAATAACAAAAAAACCTCATTTGATGCATTGGTCGATTCCGGACGAAAAACTAGTTAAGATTAATTTTGTGTTTTTCATAAAGTGGTTTCGTTATTTATTCATTAAGAAGGAATTGCTCAAATTTTGTGATATTATTTTTTAAATTTATTTCTAAATAATACGCGAACGAATACGGTCACTTGTATGCCGTTCGTTTATGGATACTATTACTGTAGCATTACATCGACCGTATTATACCTCCTGAAATTCCCTGTTATGATTGAACTTACAAATTTTAATTAATGTTTTCTCAAAAAAATATTGTCTACTTTACGATGGTATACTGTTTTTGAGAAATTCCTTCTTATTTAATAAAAAACGTGACTAATTTTAGAAAAACACAAAAATAGTCTTAGGTCCATTTCTGGTCGAAATCGGCGCATGCGTTAAATGAACTTCTTTGTTAGAAATTTTGTCTAGAATGCTCTATCCCCCCCCCCACCAGAGTTAGACCATTATGATCTAAGACATACTGTAGATGTCATATATAATACTATACTACCACAATAGAGCGTAAAAAATATGTAAGTTTATGTACTCAATGTTATATATGTCAACTAGGTGGGCCTCCAAATCCAGTTCTATCATCACCTGGGCTGTGGATTGGCGATGGGGCTCATGTTCCATGACAAGGCAACCGATGGGACAGAGTTCTTCAACCAGATGAAGTTCTGCATGGGCATCATCCTCTTCATCACCTACACCCAGCTCATGGTCCCTATACTTTACTGTAGGTATATCCATAATATAAATAGAAAGTTAAAGTTATAAATTAAAAAGATTTATATTTAATAGTTTTATATAGTAGGTCATTGTATTTTATTTTAGAACCTTCAAGTATATTTGGTTACATTTGTGACAAACCCCTTTCATAGAAGAAAATCTGATTTACTTTTTCTGATGCTAGATCGCGCTGTCAATGCTTAATCTTATATTGGTTTATTATTTTCAATAATGAACCAATGTGATCGAACAAACAAATCAAAAACTTAACCCCCTCTCAAAATTTGAGGTTTTACGTTTCAGGACGTGTATTCGAAAAACGAATAAAAAAATTGTTTGTCCGTCCGCCGTCCGCGCATTTTATCCGAAACTACTGGACCGATTTTTTTCAAATTTTGGACTTAAAATCAGAGGTCACCGAGGATCCTCCTTCATCGGCATTACTATCCGGCTTTTACTTTTAAAATGGCGGCCGAAAAACCTGTGTTTCTATAGACTGTAGCGCCTAAATGAATGTACCGATTTCAATGAAACTTTGCTAAAGTCATGAGTAAAAAAAAAGGTTTAGTCCAATAATTGGAATCACCTTTTATTCATTTTTCTTTGTAACTAGGAAGGTAATGTTACTTTAGATGTATAATGGTTTGGAACCAATTTTTCGGGCGGTAAATATTCAGGACGCAGTCTTTAAAAAAAAAATTAATTATTAAATTGTGCCAACTTTTCTAATATTTCACTTCCTTCTATGGCGCTGGTCAGTGTTCAGGTCTGATAGCCATATATCTAATGTATATACTGCTAGTAAATGTATGCAAGTGTCAAGAAAAATATAAGAAATTTATCTCTAAAAGCATTTATTTATTTTTTATTTTATTGAGTATTAATACAGTCTGCCACACTGAAGGGCATTGGTACTAGGGCTATAGTATTCATTCACACAATATGTACATAAGAGAGGAAAATAAATAAAAATAACCAAGAAAGGAACGAGAGAGAAAAAAAAAGATGTATATATATAAATAAATAGATAAAGTAATATAAAAGATAAGTAAAACAACAGATTAAAGCCGAATGATAATAAAATAAATAAAACACATTCACACCTATATAAAAGCATTAATGTTTCTGTTATTACCATTTCTGTTTTTTTTAATTCTAGGGTCACTTAAACATTTCAGATAGGTAGTTGTTTTTTTTTCTTCCAGAGTAATAATTTATTAATTGTAAATTATTAAAGTAATATTTTTTTTAATTATTAACGAAAAATCTCCCCTAAAATTTATCGATATATCGATAAATTCCAACAACAATCCCATATATAGAACTATTTCCAGCTTCAATATTTCCAGCCCAGAGTCGTATTTGATGTATAGAGCTAACATGAAAAAGCTAAGATCAATAAGTCAGTTAAGGGTTTCAAATTCCGAATTAATTAAGCTCTATACGAAAAACAAAAGTTTCTACTTCAAAGCCCAGGAAACCTGCACTTTCTGTAACCAATTCATTACTAACAGCCTGTTCCATATCCTTCTGTACTGTGAAAACCTAACAGACGACAGACACAAACATTTACGAGCATTTCTCTCTGCGCCAAGTGATGTAAACAAGATACAAGACATACTTCGAGTCGATAACATAGAGAAACTTAATAAAATTTACTGGTTCATAATGTCAGCGTGCAATTCACTGGATTCCTTAATCTCTGATGTTCCACACACCAACCAAGTGCTATGACTAAGGATAATTGTTGGTCAGTTCAATTAATTATGTGTTTCTTTTTCTTTTTTGGTTTTATTGATAATGTATGTAGAAATTAATTGGAATGTAATGAAGTATTATTGTTTTTATAATAAGTCAATGTACAGTTATGGTAAACTAGATTCATGTAGGTGAAATAAAGTTATTCATATATGTATGATTTGTACAAGATTGTAAAATAATCTTTAACAAATAAATTCAATTCTATTCTATTCTATCCTAAAATTAAATTCTGTATCTGGTACTGTTCAACAGTGCACTCTGTCATGTGTTAACAAAGATCTGTTAGCTTCAAGATATTTCTCTGGCAAAATATTTCTAGTATGTACGAGGGTATTTATGCAAGGTAATTGCTTAAATGTCTCCTTAATTATAAATTTTAATTTACATATGGTTTATAAGATCTGCCCTTTACAAACCATGAAATACTAAATTAAAATATTTCACACATGAGCCAGGCGAGTCCCCTAAAGGTGAGACATAACGATTTGTAAAGAAATCAGGTTCGGACCTGTTGATGAAGTTGATTCTTTCCACACATGCTGTACGGTTTTTGTCATCTGCCAGGCTTGTATTTGTAAATATTTTTGGTATGTGAAATCTTCAGAAGCTGTTTTTAAAGATACTTTATAATTTACATATATCCAATATATCAACAGTTTTTAATCTAATCCATAGTTACCTAGACAACATGATAGTAGGGGTAAATGCAGATATTTGTTTCGGACGAAGTGCATGTGGTTTGCATTCGATTATGTTTCACATCGCTCTTTCATAACTTTCACTGGAGATTGCCATGTTTTTATCTCAAACAGGTTTTAATTTTTTTCGGTGACTACATCAGTAAAATAATGTTCAAAAGACCAAATGCGTACGCGATACTACTGAATTAAATTAACAAACTCATAAAATGGACGTGATTGAAAAGAGCTTGTAATAATAAAAACATAATAGTCTCAGAATTTAAAAAAAAATGAAAATCTACCTAATAAATAAAGAAATTTAGAGTTATTTAAGATGTATATTAGTAAAATCATGTATGTACTTACCTCATATTATCTTTAATAAATCGATTTATCGAATTATAATGATTCCAGATCCGTTCGAAGTGAAGTTGCTGAAGATGGAACATTTCAACCAGTGGTACCAGATGTTTCCATACTACGCTGCCTTCACCGTAGCCAAATTTCCCTACATGGTAAGTATCTATTAATCCTATATATTATTTCTAAAAGGTGTTTTTTTGTCGGTACGCCATAACTTCGTAAATTCTTCATAAAATCTGATTCATTTTGAAGATATTCTTCTCCTTCACATGCGAAAAATAGTCTTATTCCCACGAAAGTTCTGGGAAAAAAAGTTATGAAGGAAAAGAAACTTTATTTGTTAATAACGTAAAAAGTTATGCATTTTTTTTCTGGATTGTTCCCATGATAATTAGAAAGGTTACTAAATTATCTACAAAACAAAAAAAAAGTCGTTAAAATCTATAATTTAAACAATTCGTATTGACGGAAGGAGTACAGTGTGTTGAAATATTTTTTTAAGGAGATATAGAGTTGAAATTTGTATTTTGCAGCTCGAAAGACACTCGAATACGAATTTTCATTGTGATCGAAAAATAATTTTTTTTTTCCTACTTATTTGACCTAAGGGTGAAAAAAATATATTTTTTCTAAAATCACAAAAAGTGTTATAACTTCAATATTCTTCCACATATATACACGAAATTTTGCAGGGATATAGGGCCTCATAAACTACACGAAATGACACAAACTACACCTTCCTAAACAATTTAGAAATCAAGTTATAAAATAAAAACCTGTTAAAAGTTTTTATTTATTTACTCTTTATAGGCGTGTCAAATCAAAAAGTTATTCACACGGTCTTGAAGAGCGATAATTCAGCTTTCCGACGATTGCTGATTTAGGATAAAATCCTGAGGAGTTATGAATGGTTTAGTAAAAAGACATGATAACGAAAAGTGAAGTCTTTGCCATGACGACTTTATCAGCAAAGATCTTCTATCCTATATATTATTTCTAGGTGTTTTTTGTGGGTGCGCCATAACTTCGTCAATTCTTCATCAAATCTAATTATCGACAACTCATTTTGAGGATATTCTGTTCCTTCGCATGCGAAAAATAATCACCCTGAAATTTCTGGGAAAAAAAGGTATGGAGAAAAATAAACTTTATTTGCTAATAACTTAAAAAGTATGCATTTTTTTCTTGATTGTAATTCGGATAATTATTAACAAAGATACTGTCCATTAGTTTTAGTATACCTAATAATTTCTTCCTGTTTAAAGATATTGCATTTACGAGTAGAATAGTCTGGTAAATTTTTTTTTCTGGTTTTTATATTAACTTTATTATTTTTTAAAGAAATTTAGTTGTTCTTACAAGTTTTAAAAAATCACTTTACTATTTAAACCAATAAACAAAATGGCGAAAAAAGTTTTTTCGAAAAAAAAACATCTCGATTCCTGTTTTAAGTACACGGGGGTAGGGTCATCAGTCCTGTCCTCGGTCGGTGTGAGTTGCCTCTGGTAGACTGACATCTGGCTTTTTTTCTCTGGTGGATCGTTGGTACAGTGTCATCGATGCGATCATCATATTGTCGGACGCTTTTTAAATTAACTTCGAGAACGTTTTTAAATGTTCTTTGGTAATTTGAGTATTTGATGATTGATGAAGTATGATTGCTTAAATATTTAAGAGCTGAGAAGAAGAAAGAATTGCAGACAATTTATAAACCAAGTTTACTTATCAAGGACTTTTAGCACTGTCGTAACAGTCCAGTATAATCGATACTATCTATTTGTTGAACGATCGCCTTGTCATCAGATTAAATCGATTTTTAACAAAAAGAAGGTGATCAGAGCTCTGGATAGAAAATATGTCTTAGTGCGCAGCCTTTCATCGCGGTAACAGCTTCAGATTATGCGATAACAATGGCTTCTTCCTTATCAACTTCCTGCTGATGTACTCCACTGCCTTCCTGATAAACTAACAACCTTTTTTTTTTATTTAAATAATAAAAAAAAACCCATACCAGACTGAAACGACTAGAAACCGCCCGACATTTGCGACTATTGCAGCACTTACTAGACAAACGCTCTAAGCTTTCAATCAATTACAAACGACTCATATATATGACAATAATAAGACCTATTTGGACTTACGGAATTGAGCTTTGGGGCTCCACAAACCATCGAATTCCTCTCGTATCCAATTCTTAAAATCCAAAATCCTCAACGCTCCTTACTTTGTCGCAAATAAAATCATCCATAAAGACCTTAATGTTCCATATGTTTCCGATTTGGCCCAATCCAGATATCTATCCTTCCATGACAAACTGCAGAACCATCCGAATTCTCTCGTTTCAAACCTTGCTTCCTCATCTATTCCTGATAACCCTCCGAGGCGTCTGAAAAGAAGATGGCCTCGGGACCTTCTAATATAGAACTTTAATTTGAGTTTTACCAATGGGTAGTTTCTAGTATGTTGTACATGTCAAGTTACCAATGTCACATTTACTTGTTGTATTTTTTTATGTAATACAGTTGTAAATTTCATTAAAATAAATTTTAAAAAATATAATAATAAAAATAAATCCATTCAAATAACCATGGGTCCTTTTGTTTTCCCATATACATTTCGGGTGTTATTGAATTTCTTTAAATCTAATTAATAAACCTATAAAATTATTAGTTTGAGAAAGTGTTTCAACTTCTTTCTTTTTCTTCTGCTGTTTGCATTATTTCTATTGCACCTCACCAATCATTACTTGAAGCATCCCTTCCTAGAATCGATGATGTAGGGGTCCAAGGACCTCTTCTTGGCAAAGGTCTCCAATCGCATTGTCATGCATGGCTGCAACTAAAGAAAACCGTGGGATGATTCAAGCTGGTTTAACTTTAAACACCATCCTTATAATTCCAGGTTTAACTAACAGTACCATGTGGTTTTGACTGATTTAAATTTGTATGATACATAACTGATTACTTCATTTACACAATAAGGAAGGGCAAGTTCCTAAACTCAACGCTAAGCTCATCGATGGCATTAGAAACTATCTGCGCGTGCTCAAACTTGGCTAAAATTTAGATAGGATTTAGTTCCAATCCTAAAACGTGCGTAATATGATAAATCATAGATGAGGGATGTTCGGATTTTAATAATATTATATACTTATACATGTGCGGTTTTCATAAATGCTAGCTCTAGTATTATTTAATTGTATAGATTATGGCAATATAAAAACGTGAAACCTCAAATTTTGAGAGGGAGTTAAGTTTTTGATTTTTTTGGTCGATCACAACGGTTGATTATTGAAAATAAATTAAACTTCCTTCATTTTTTAGGAAATTTAAATACCTTTAAAAAATCTTATCACGATATCAACAAAAAAGTATACACTTTTCGAGTTCTTCGTAATTTAATTTTACCATCCTTCGTAACTTTTTTTCCAGCTTCTTTTCGTTGAAGTGTGTTATATAGATAAATTTAAAGGGCGTCGAGAAAATGACTTTAGCGAAGTTTCATTGAAATCTGTACATTCGTTTAGGAGCTACAGTCTATAGCAACGCAGGTTTTTTGGCCGCGATTTTAAAAGTAAAAGGCGGATAGCAATGTCGATGAAGGAGGATCATCCTCGGGTGACCTCTGATTTTATATCAAAATTTGAAAAAAAATTGGTCAAGTAGTTTCGGAGAAAATGCGCGGACGGCGGATGGACAAACAATTTTTTATTCGTTTTTCGAATTCTACGCATCCTGAAACGTGATACCTCAAATTTTGAGAGGGGATTGAGTTTTTTTAATTTGTTGGTCGATCACAATGGTTGATTATTGAAAAAAATAAACCAAAATTAAAATTGATATGTTTATCAATGTTTAAACAAATAAAAATATCCACAATGAAATACAAATAAATATCGGCTTTCTTTATCACATATATTCTTGGCGGACTCAAAAAAAATCATGGCAGTTAATTATTCATTATAATTTAATAAATAATTAAAATATATAGTCGTAGAAAAAATGATTAATGACGAAAAACTTATTGCTAATTCTTTTTTATTTTCACTTTTCTGTGTATGAAAAGACCTATTTCTGCTTAAAGTATAGTGGTAAGTGAAAGTTTTGTGATGCGTATACCGCACCAGATTATTCTCAGCTGCATTACGGTAGCGATCAAAATTTGGCGTTGCGTCCAAGATAATCCTAATGCGATTCCAAAAGTAATCTACAACAAAAATAAATTTAATTAGGTATAAACATTAAGTATAGGTATTTTCTGAAATCATTAAAAATATTTTTAATATTTTTTTCTACTGGTACGGTATTCTACTGGTGTACCTTTAAAACTCCTCGTAATAAAACAAACCGATTTGAAACAATAAAAAAAACGCGTTTAAATACATCTTTAGGTTTAGTGATATGCCGGTAAAAAACAGACTGTTCTTTTTTACAACACGATAGTATAGGTTATATGATACGATAAGTAATTTTATATTATTATACATGAAAAAAATAATCTCATCGATTTGAGCTGTGATAGAGTTTAAGTGATAAAGAACGCATATTAATAAGATTGAAAGTTTGTTAATCAGGAATTAACATTAGGTTTACGTACAAAATTTTCTAATCTCGTTAAAAATATTTTTTCAGCTAAGGTTGAGTGTTTCAGTAGCTTAAAATCTTCTCGGAGCAAGACGAACCGATTTGAAATCAAAGCAAAAAAAAAAATCCCGTTTAAATAGATCCAATAGGTTTCGTGATAAGCGATTACAAAACTGATTGTTTTTTATCTAGTATAAATTATACCATCGATGCAAATGATAACTATCGAATCTGAAAATGATCTCTTTAATATCATTATCAACTCAGCCCAAACAATGAGGATGTTTTAATTTCTAGACTGAAATCTGCTTTTACGAATGTTTGACGATTTTTTAATTGCTGTTTAAAAATATTTATTTACAATTACAATCCTTAGAATGCAGGATTGAAAAAATAGCAGTTTTTAATATCCGATAATTTGCAATTGTATCGACGATATGATAAGTAATCTTATATAATTGGATAATTATATGGGGGGAAAAACGCGTAAATTTGAACTGCATTAGAGTTCAAATGACAAAGAATGTATATTGATAAGATTGTAAGTTTGAAAGCAATTGAAAACCAAATAATCCGTGGTACAGACCCCTTTTTATCGAATTATTAAAAACCGCCTGAAACTTCGTAAATAGTTTCACCTCATCGTAACATGCAACTATTTTATTTACGAAAACTCTTGGAATTGGGGCTTTTTCAATGTGGAGATCGCCAAACTCCAAAAAAAAAAGGTAATTTCAGCAAAAAATCTAGAAAAAAATTGGCATACAAAAATACTGGGCCATTTGCCTATATAACCTCGTTATTTTTCGGGGTGTAGGTCACTCCAAACGGCTCAATATTTTGGAAGACCGCGTTTTCTCAACTTTGTGATCCCATTATCTTACGATCCAAGTAGAAAGCAAATAGGTATTTACGAGTTTTTAGTACCTAATTAAATAGACAAAGTTTGCCTCTCTCCACATTCAAAACGCCCCAATTCTAAGAGTTTTCGTAAATAAAATAGTTGTAGGTTACGATGAAATGATTATTAAACCAAATTGACGAAGAGATTAAGGTTTGACTGAAGGCGGGCAATGTTTGTTATTTTTCAGTGACAGAACTACTTAGCTCGCGCCTCTTGTCCCGGAACTTAAAAATTAGAATCTATAAAACCATTGTCTTGCCTATAGTTCTTTATGGTTGCGAAACGTGGCCTCTTACATTAAGAGGTGAGCAACGTCTTAAGGTTTTTGAAAATAACGTATTGCATAGAATATTCGGACAGAAGAAGGATGAATTAACCGGAGAGTTCAAACGGTTACACAGCGCCTAATTGCGTGAACTGTATCCGGGTAATATAATTGAGGTTATTTCATCCCGGCGAATCAAATGGGCTGGAAAAATTGTTGGGCTTCCAAATGAGTTAATATTGGCTGTACCGAATAGTAAACGTCCGTGGGGTAGACCGAAGCGAAGGTGGGAAGATTGCATTAAAGCCGATCTGAAGGGACTGGGTTTGGACGGCGAACGGTGGAGGGAGGTGTGTAATAAGTGATTAGTGGTGTCGGCATCGAACCTTCGGGTTCGCTAAGCCTTTTATTATTATTATTACGATGAGATGAAGCGATTTACGAAGTTTCAGGCGGATGTTAATAATTCGATAAAAAGGGGTCTGTACCACGCACTAAAAGATATTGGTCTTTTTGGTCTTCGGTATTGTCGATCCATTGTTTAAGAATCGATTGGGACAGAGGTCCTAGAAGGTCTATATATAGTTCGGAATACATTTTCTGAAGCGGTAAAAGATTTTATTAGAAGAAAGATTTTGCTAAACCCTAAAATTGGTCTATTTTTTTTTATTTTTTTTTTGTCATCGTGTGGTAGACGCAGTCTCCTCTGCATTGGAGTGCGGAATGTACTGCACGGGAGTCTTTCTCGATGTTGAACAGGCGTTTCAAAGAGTCTGGCACCCGGGACTGCTGTACAAACTCCTAAATTCCTACCACCTACATACTTCCTCATTATCCGTTCCTACCTCACTGACAGATACTTTAAAGTAAATCACAAAAACGCCTATTCATCCCTTCGTTCCTCAAGGTAGTATCCTAGGTCCTGTCCTTTATACAGTTTATCCTTTATTACGATCCAAGTAGAAAGCAAATGGGTATTTATGAGTTTTTAGTACCTAATTAAATTAACAAACTTCGCCTCACTACAGATTGAAAAAGCCCCAATTCGAAGAGTTTTCATAAATAAATAGTTGTAGGTTACGTTGAGATGAAGCTATTTACGAAATTACTACAGATGGATGTTAATAATTCGATAAAAAGGGGTCTGTACCACGGACTAAAAGATATTAGTCTTCGGTATTGTCGATCGAAGGCATTGTTTAAGAATCGATTGATCGAAGGTCTATATATAGTTCGGAATACATTTTCTGAAGCGGTAAAAGATTTTATTAGGTTTGCGAAACCCGTTCGATGTTGGCGCACAGCCGCCGCTGACACAACACACTTGTACAATCGATTAATATTCCACAACAGACGCCGTACGATGTCTTCTGACCGACATCCAAGTTGCCTCGATGTGGCGCAATCAAAACATCGATCAACAGTAGCTACTTTGTTTGCCTACGCATGATGATGTTGTTGCTTTATTTTTAAATATAAAGCTATAAATAATCAATTTCGAAAAAAAAAAAATTGTTTTATAGTTGACCCGTGCGAAAAAATCGCAGAAAATTTTGTTTAGTGAAGAAGTAGTAAAACAATATGGAAATAATTAGATCCTATGTATTATGTAAGGGAGGAAATAATATTTTTTCCTTGGTCGATTACAATATTCCATTTAACTTAATAGCCCAAAATATTTATACAAATTGCTTTGCTAGGACCTATTTTTAAACGCTGACTTGAAAGATAATAAAAGTAATAAAGAAAAAATAATGCCCCGATCATGGGATTTTCTAAATTATTAAAACAATTTACAAAATTAAGAACAACCAAATATCTTTAAGAAATAATAAAGCTAATATATCAGCCAGGCAAAAAAGTGTAGTTGACTATTCTACTCCTAAATACAATATCTTTGAACATTAAGACATTATTAAGTACACCGAAACTAACGGACAGTATCTTTGTTAATAATTGTCCAAATTTAACAATTCTTTTTTTGTTTTGTAGGTAATTTAGTAATCTTTCTAATTATAATGGGTACAATCCAGAAAAAAAAAGAATACTTTTTGAGTTATTCGCAAATAAAGTTTCTTTTCCTCCATAACTTTTTTCTGGAAATTTCGGAGGGATGAGACTATTTTTCTCATGCGAAGGAGAAGAATATCTTCAAAAGGAGTGATCAATCATTGGATTTGATGAAGAATTGACGTATGGCGTACCGACAAAAACACACCTTTTCGAAATAATATATAGGATTATTATTAATTATAAAATGACCATAGAGGAACAAAATAGCTCTTTGTCTGATTCAGAGTACTTACTCCAAAGAGCAACTTTTTTTCCTTTAAGAACTTTTTTCTTATTGAAAAATTTTAATTTGATTTGCCATCCCAAATCAGCCGATCGGGAACATGAACCTATCAGAGAAATCATTAAATTCCTTGATGATATAACGCATTGTAAACGGACTTGTGAACAATTATTAAAATCAGAATATAACATACAATACACTTTAACTTTGCTCAAACTGCTCTGATATATATATATATTTTTTTTTTTTTGTCATCTTGTGATAGACGTAGTCTCCTCTGCATTGGAGGGCGGGATGTACTGTACGGGAGTCTTTCTCGACGTTGAACAGGCGTTTGATAGAGTTTGGCATCTGGGACTGATGTGTAAACTCCGAAAATTCCTACCATCTACATGCTTCCTCATTGTCCGTCCCTACTTTACTGATAGATACTTTAAAGTAAATCACAAAAACGCCTATTCATCCCTTCGTTCCTCAAGGTAGTATCCTAGATCCTATCCTTTATACAGTTTATATAGCTGACATCCCTACCTATCCCAACACTGTCATCACTACATATGCCGATGACACATGTATCCTATCAGTTAATAATGACCCATCAATTGCATCCCAAACTCTCCAATAATTTCTAATAAATCCCACCAAATTACATTTACCCTTCGTCGTAAACCAATGACTTTCTTTGCTACAGTTTCCTTTAACAATACCTCGCTTATCCCTGTTGAGCAAATTCGCTACCTAGGACTCCACCTGGACAAACGATAAACTTGGAATCCTCATACCAGACTGAATCGACAAGAAACTACTCGACGTTTCCGATTACTTCAGCACTTACTAGACAAATGCTCTAAACTTTCAATTAATTAAAAACACTCAGATACATGACTATAATAAGGCCTATTGGGACTTACGGAGTTGAGCTATGGGGCTCCACTAAACCATCGAATTCCTCTCATATCCAATCCTTACAATCCAAAATCCTTCGTAAAATCCTCAATGCTCCCTACTTTGTTACAAATAAAACCATCCATAAAGACCTTAATCTTTCTTAAGTTTCAGATCTGGCCCAATCCAGATACCTATCCTTCCGTAATAAACTTCAGAATCATCCCAACCCTCTCGTTTCTAACCTTGACTCCTCTTCAATTCCTGATAACCCTCCGAGGCGTCTGAAAAGAAGTTGGCCTCGTGATCTCCTAATGTAGAAATTAGAGCATCATTAGAGTGCTACCATTGGGTAGTTACTCGACAAGTGTTTTCACGTCATTATATCCATATGTTCAAATTTACTAAATGTATTTCTTTAATACAGTTGTAAATATAATAAAAAATAATATTAAAAAAATACTGCCATTTTTCAGAATGAGGAAACCTAGCTAAATCCCAAATGAAAAATTAGAAGAGTTAAATGCAAAAGTACATTGGTGTTTCCAATTCTTTATAATAGTAACTAAAATTGTCTAGTATTAGTAACTATTTTGTCTTCATTTGTATTCAGAAAAACGCTTATTGTTTTTAAAGATCCAATGTTTGTCTTAGTCTTGCAACAACTAGGTGGTCTTGGTCTTGGTCTTGCAAAGTGCAAGATCAAGACTGATTTTTGACAACACTAATTATATGATTCCTATTACAGGCACTCCTCAACATACTGTACCTCTCGCTGATGTACTCCCTGTCAGGACTGCCCTGGGAGATCGGCAGGTTCTCGCTCTTCTGTCTGATCGGAATAATGACAGCGTTAGTTGCTGAAGCAATGGGACTCACTATTGGAGCTATCTTCTCAGTGACGGTAAGTTAATCGTGTAAGGATATCTTAAGTTGTTAATATTTTTCACTTAATTACTTAGTTATCCCTAGGATGCTGAGTAAACCATGTATCCATAGTTCCACACAATATGAATTTATCTAGGTCAAAGTAGATAATAACATCATTCCTAAAGTAGTCTTCGTCAACGTCTTGAGGCTCTGTAAGCATATATTTAGTTTTAGCCTCAGTTCTATCATCACCATTCTATCTACAGATTTTATTGTCCAATTATGTATTGCTTGTAAAGACTTAATATATTATAAATAATAAATAACTAGGGGGAGGGGGAATACCTTCTGTCCACCTAACGATGAACCAACCTCTATTTTATAAATTATACAACTGTTCATTTAATTGTCCTACTCGTTGCTCAAATTATATAACTTTAATTTACATGTCATGTATTCTGTATTTCATATTGTATTATTTTTTATCAACATACAATAAACTGAACGAATAAAATATATATTATACATCACTCCTTATTGCCAATTTAATTATTATGTAATTATAATTATTCTTATTACCAATTTTAACAATAATACATATTCAACTTCTTCAGCTTCATATATGCCCAACAATAATTTGAGTCTTTTATTTTGAATATTTTCATTGTATGTTATTTTGCGTTTCCTTTTCTATTTAATAATAATTATAATTATATCACAATATAATATAAATAATGTTATATAGAATATAATAATAAATATATTCATTTCAAGAGGAAAATGTCTAGATCGAATAAAATAACTGCTGTCACCAAGATAATTCATTTAAGTAATTAAATGAACAGCTGTATAATTAGTGCGAATTATAGAGCTAATAGGAGAGCTCCTGTAACTCTCCTAATAATAAAATATGAAAGTCACTAAAAACTTTGTTATATAATAGAGAGATATATTTATTAGTTATATAGCTGAGAAATTGTAGTCATAAGTTTAATCCTAATTATTTTTTTTTAATTCTCTTAAAAGAACGGAACCGCCGTTGGCCCCATGACGATGGCACCGTTCTTCGGATTGGCTCAGTACGGCTTTGACTTTGCAAGAACGATGCATCCTTGGATGAATCATTTGGTCAGGATGTCCTTCATGAGAGCTGGAGTGGTCTCTATAGTCCTGACGGTCTTCGGGATGGACAGAGATCTCCTCGAATGTGAGCTGGACTACGATCCCTGCCACTTCAGGGACCCCAAAGTGGTTCTCCACTTCTTGGACATCGACAAGGTTCCGCTGTTCAGGCCACTCTTTGATCTGTTCCTCAGCCTCTGCTTCTTCAGGTTAGGACAAACTTTCTTAAATTAAAAAATATTTAATTGGCTTGAAGTCATAGGCGCAGATTTCAGGGGAAGTGAGGGAGGTTATCGCCTTCAATTCAATCATTTGAAGAAAAATAAATTTAATTTAATAACAAATATGTTACAATACATTAATGGTTAAAATATTTAAACTAAAATTTATTAAGAAAAGAAGACTAGCTGGCTATACTAAGGCCTATATTTAAGTACATAACTATTTTATCACAGCCTAAATATTCATATTAAATAAATTTCCATTTATATTCTGGGATAATAATTCACCTCTTCTGTGGTCACCTCCAATTTTGTAGGATTTTCTTATAAATTTTCTACGATTAAGTTGAAAAAAATGTATTTAATAAGTACAATTATGAATATATTTTGTATTTTGACTGTGAAAACGTTTTATTTTTATTTGGAGATTTTAAAAACTAAAAAATCAAAAGTACTTTTCAGTTTTTAAAATTATTCATTCTTATCTGAAAAAGTTCTCGAAATGTATTTATGTTATGGAGGCTGCCCCTCTTCCTCCCATGTTTAATGTATACAAACTGTGATGTACCCAATTTTCAGATATTTCCAAGTATATCCATTTGCACATAAAAATTAAATCGTACAACTGTCCAAACATTTGATGTTTAAATTTATTTTTAAATATCCAATATTATATTTGCTCGTTTCACAATAATTATGTTGAATTTTTACACATAATATGAACTAGATACATCTTTTTTTTTTTTTAAGAAAGAGTAGGACGCTATTATATCCCACCAACAAAATATAGTTTTTAATGAAATTTGAAAACATATTAAATTTATTTTTGTTTAGTACTCAATAGTAGACTGTAGTATAATGTTAAGGAAAGAAATGGTTTGAGATGGCGGTCATAGAAAACTTAAATAGTGAAAAACTATTTTATTTTTCGCCAAAGTTTTGACCCAACTACGCACTTATTAATTCACCTCTCCATACTTTTTAATTTATTCCTTTTCCTTTTAATCTTTCCTTAAGATTTGTCAGATTATATTCATAATTACTTATATCATTCATCCTCTTCATTGCATTCAATTTTTACTTATATACAATTATTGTTACCAATTTTATTCACTTTATTTTAGTTGTATTTCCATTTACTCTGTTCATATATTTTTATATACTTTCTATTTACACTGTTTATAACTTTTATCTAAATATCATGTAACTTCTACTATTTTCTATATCCTTTTGTATCATGTTTGTTCTAGCCCTGAGGAAGAATTGTATAGTTGAGTCAAAACGTTGATTTGAAATAAAATAGTTTTTCACTATTTTATGATTTTTGATGACATCCATCCAGATCCATTTCTTTCCTCAATTTTTTTTTTCCTTTTGCAAAATAGTACACCATTTAATAGGTCTTTAGTTTACTGTTTAGAAAAATATATTCAATACAAAAAAATATCTGTTTTATTAAAGATAAATGATTTTCCATATTATTAAAAGGTTGACATTGAAAAACTTCTATTGTACTTTGTTAATGTTATATTTTATATCACATCTTTCTGGCGTTTCAAGATTTTATCTCATCTTCAGGGCAATTATTTATGAAACACATGTACAAACCCTATATTGATTTTTTATAAGAAGATACTTATTTAATTAATGTCAATCAATAGTCACATTATTTTTAATGAAGAGTTCTTATTATTATTTTATTATAATATTAGTTTTTATTATTTATTTATTTTATTAATTTTTTTTTTCTGTTGGTACCACAGACCATGTAGATCTTTTGCCGCCTTAACAAGCCTGCTGGAGAGATGGATCTCTGCCTGTCTTGGGCTATTTCTTTCCATTTATCTGCACACACCTCTGTTGCATCTTTGTTGATTCTATCTATCCATATACTTTTTGACCTTCACGTGGTCTTTTGCCTTCTAATGAGGCATTCAGTGTTATGTAAAGGCTTCCAGATGGATTGCTATGAGCTACATGCCCTGCCCATCTTAATCTCCTTGCCTTCATATCCTGGGTATTGATTGTCCAGTTTCTGTAAGCAGTTCTTTATTGGTCTTTCTTCTCCATGTGTTAGAACTCTGATCCCAGATCGCTCTGGTTATCGTGCAGAGGATTTTCATTCCAAAGCTTTCAACACTTTTTTCAAGAGTGCTGGTTAGTGTCCAGGCCTCACAGCCATATATTAGAACTGGATTTATCATAGCATTGTACATCCTTAGTTTGAGATTTTTCGGATTTCAATACCTTTGAGAGGGAGAAGAAAGCTCTGTTTGCGCTAGTTAAACGCTGGTCTATTTTTGCTTATTAGTCATTCATTGAGGTTATTGTAGAGTCGAGGTATTTGAATTTTTCTACTCTCAGGAATGATTTTCCTTCTGTGCAGATCCTGTTATTGGGCTGGACTTTTCGGCTTATTATCATATATTTTGTTTTGTATTCATTTACTTATAATTTTATTATTTATATTTAGATCGTATTCCTCTTGCCATTTGACAGTATAATCTGTCCGTGAAAAAATATTTAAAACAAAACTAACACTTTATCAAAATCATGAAGTAATTAAATAACAATTTCTTAGTTAGAATATTTAAAACTTTGCAATATATTTATGGACTAATTTTAAACAAGTTGAGTTTCCCAGTGGACAGACTGCCCCGAGGTGTTTGAATCCGTATAGGGTTTGTAAATACGCACCCCAACTATCTATTCTTTAAAATAAAAGGTTTATATACTCTTTAGGTAATTTTATTAAAAATTAATTGTATAATTTTATATATACACCTTATATTATTTTTATACTTTTTCAATACTGTTTTGATATTAAAATTTGTTTATTTTTATAGGCTGACTTTCTACCTGGCACTCAAGTGGCGACTTAGGAGATAATAATAATAATATAAAAAAAAAGTAAATATTTATGTGATATACTCCGTGGCAGATGTACTCTTGTTTATAAAAGAGGAAATGAGAATCTATCTGTACTTAGACAACTGTTAACTTCCTTAACCATCTTATAACATCCTATTAAGTTGGATTTTTGTACCTGGATAGCAACATTCGTAACATGCCTATGAGGAACATTTTATTTATGAAAATGATTGATGTCCACGAAGAAAAGAATTTTTATCTTGCAGATAGGAGAAATATCAAGGAAGTGATAAAGGATTCAAGATGCATTGTTGCATTGCATCCTTAAAATGGACTAAATATTTGTCCTGTCAAATGTACGATGTGTAAATTTGATATGAATGTTTGTATTTTAGTTTATGATGAAGAATGTATGCATATATTTTTTTATATTATTTTCAGTTTTAGGAATAGTATATAAAGAAAACTGTTCTCTCTGTGATTAAACAATGTATACATATATGTAAAGTTTTTTCTGTAATTAAAATTATTTAATCAATTAGATTTTTTTTACTGCCCTAACCTTCATACATTATTTGTCAATTTTTTTTTTTTTATGCCATATCTTCATCAAATCTAATGATTGAACCTCTATTTTGAAGAACTTCTTCAGGTGGAAAAAATTGTCACATCACTCAAAATTTAAAAAAAAAAATTTATGAAGGAAAAGAAACTTATTTGAGTAATTCAAAAAGTTACTATAAGTTACTACTACTATACTATATTACTAAATTTCTTTTTAAAAAAATTAAAATCGATTAGAAATTTGAAATTGAATTAGTACCGACTGATGGAGCAAAGTGGGTTCAAATAATTTTTTAAGGATTCAAGATTGTACTTCACAAAAAAACGAACATTAAATTCAGGCAATCATTAGCTGAGATACAGGTTTGGTATATAATAATAATAATGAAGTTTTATGGTAATTTTCTTTTCCTCGATAAAAATCACAGAAAAAATATGAAATGATTCCTTCATTTTATGATGAATGATACGTTAAATTATTATTCATATTATTAAATCCTTATTATTTTGTCATTTGTTGATTGACAAATATTCTTTGCCAATTATTCGCACTGGACTAGTTACATTTAATATGTCAATAATATATTACAGTACTTTTTTTATTTTTTGGAACTATTTTATTGAGGAAATACATATAAATACATAAACATGTTATTTCAAAATAATTTCAGAACGAAAATTTGAACCATTATGTATTTTTGATTTTTCAAGCTAAAAATAATTGCAATAGTTTCCATTAGGAAATTTTATCTAATTTCCGTAGAACCATTTTATTTTTGTTAAATATTAGTTTCAGAAATAATTATTCATAATGTTTTCATCGCTTTCCATTACCTTTATGAATTTATAAGTTAAATTGTTTTTCTGAAATCTTTAGCTTTCCAATATATTATACATATATATTTTTTCTCTTTTTTTTTTTTTTTAATTTGTTTTCAATCTGAAAATATATTTCTCCTTTTGTTAATTATTAAAATCGTTGATGGTTTGTATTTAGCCATTTTTTATTATTACTAAATTCGAGAGACTGTTAATAATTTCTAGTGAAACCATATTAAATGTATTAGAGAGGAAGTAATTTTGAAAATTCAGCATTTAAGCCCTTACATATAATTAATAATTATGTTTAAATGATACATAAAGTGGAACTTACGGGCTAGCTGTTTTTGATCCAAAAGTTGTAACATCCCAGGCATATAAATACATTAAATACTTAATTTTGGTATAGTATTATTTTCATTTTTCATTCATTCAATGACCTTGCAGGGTAGAGGCAACAAACAAAAACTTAAATAAATAAATATTTTCATTTTGAGACTAGGCTGTTGACAAACACTGACTGTTTTGCATAAATTAGTTATTTGGACTAACAGGATCTCAAACCTGGTATTTCCGTTGAAAACACAGATTCAAAATTTTTCATGATCGCAATACTTTTTCTAGTATATTTCATCAGAGCTCAGGCTCACCTTCTGGGAGAGGAAATTATTAAGAATAAGGGGTGGAATCTTTGAGAATGGAATTCGGAGAAGAAAGAATGAGGAGTTTCAGGAACTTTATGGTGAACCTGATATTGCATTTATAAAAAGAGCCAGAATCAGATGGTTAGACCATTGGAAAGAATGCCAAAGAGGATGCTGGCTGATCAGATGACCGGAGAATGTGGAGGACGATCTGAGACGCCGGGGGAAAAACTGATGAAAAGAGATATTTCTTCTGAAATAAACAGACAGTCAATATTCTCTAACTCCTCACCCGTTGGACCTACACCAAAAACCTGTGTATAAAATTGATGGTAAATTTTATCTTCTTAAACTTTTTATCCAATAATAATTTCGATAAAATGCATCATTTCGAAGTCATGTAAAAAAACAACAAAAAAAGTTCAGAAATTTCGCTGTTTTTTGGATATATCTTGGAAGGCAATGTAAAATTTCATTCGGGAACATCTAATTCAGATTCAGTAACCAGAAAATATAAGATACTAAAGAGAAACCGACTATTTGAATTTTTTCCTCATCCAACTACCATAAATACCCGACTGGCCTAATTTGATGACTGACATACCAGTTTTTAAAATGCAACAGAGTATATCGTCTGTTAAGATGAATTCTCTTTTAGAGACATATTTATGGAATCATATAAAAATTTCAGGCTTATGTTCTTCAGTTAAATAAACCATCAAATTTCACCTCCTTAATTTAAATTTTCTTATATAAAGCAATGACTGGCTTTCAAGCGACTGACCGAGTTGTCTATTCAGGTGAGGATTATCTATAATTTAAAATGGTTTCTAGCTGTAAGTCCTTCCGTTAAATGAAAACGACAGTTGCCCCTAATCTATCATAGGAGTTTCTGAAATAGAAAATTCATCTTATTGAGGTTTTTATTTTGAAATATTTGACATATATATTTATATTTAATTACTTATTATTTTTGAAATATTTAATTTATTCCAAATGGACAATAGTCCCAGGACGATAAAAGTATATTCATTTCATTATAAGAAGCACAAATCAGCATAAATGAAGGGGATAAGGAACAAAATCAAGTTACAAAGGAACAAAGATTGGAATGTATAATTCAAATTTAATACACAAATCAAGTCAGCAATAATACAGTTGTTAAAATTTAACAGATTTTGGGAATCAATTAATTACCATAAAATCTGATAGTAAACTAACTTTATTTAAGAAGAGACATATATACATAAAAGTATTACAATAGAAATATTATAGGAGGCCTTCCATCTCTCGCATGAATTGTGAGTATGCGTCGTCCTTGGTTGCGCCTGGCTTCGGCTGGAGTTCCGGCTTCGGTAGCTGCTCCTGCTTCCGCAGTATGTGTTTGTCTTCTCCTCGCTTCACCCTCAGGGCGGTGGGGACGAACCTCGTCACGTCCGCCGTAAGGTTCCTAAGAATAGAATGAGATAAATCAATATTCCAATGTATTTAATGTAGTGGATATATAAATCATTAATAGATCTTATGAAATTTAAAAAAACTCTGTAAATAACATATTAAAGGTTAATTGTAAAGACCTTTTGTTTTGGCGGGAATAGGCGAATAGCCTTCCACTTTTATAGGGGAACTAGGTTATTTACACTCCTGATAATTAAAACAAAACCCCAGCACTCAATGTCGACTTTTTGAGGGTGTTTAACTGTCGCTGAGAATTCGGGAATCTAATACCTTTTGTGACATTGAGTGAGAAGAAACAATAAGAATATATATTTGAAATGTGGGACTTAGTAAACACACTTTGAATGAATTGACTCACCTGGTTTGTTATTCTTCAATTGTGAGGCACATAGGACAACTAAATAAATAAATGACTTTTCATTCCTGTATAACAAAATAATTTATTTCTACAACTGTAATAAATTGACTGTATTAAAGTGACTGTAGGCTTGATCTTCTAAATCTTGTAGTAGAGTCTCTTCCCAGGTATGTCGTTCCGCCTCAATGTCTCAACCTCAAGTGCCTCTCCAGTTGTTGTAGCTACCTGCTCTGACCTTTTTCCAGCGTCCCTCCTCATCGATTGTTTATTGATTTGAGACTTTTCCATGAATAATTTGTCCACTGCATAATTGAGCACAATTCACAGTGCAACCTCACATTCCTATATATTCCTTCTCATTCCCTCACACAACGCCACATAAAGGAGTAAATACAGGGGACTGTCTACTACAGCACACAAAACACAACTTTCACTTACCGCTCTACTTTGAATAAAAATTATTTTTTGGCATCGTGGGCTATTATAAAATTTTTGAAGTGCATTTTTAACCGAGCTAAAGCTTAAAGCTAATAAATCATTAATACCATCAAAATAACAAATATCCTATTTATTATATCAACAATTGATTATGAATTGTACGAACCTTTGCATTGTACGACTATTATTAGTTATTAAACTGTAATTTTCAATAAATTACATTTTCACATTTTACATTTACACTGTAAATTACATTTTCAATTATGACTAAAAAAAAGTCAAAGTCAACAGGTGTAGAAAAAAAAAAAAATCGAGCAGTAAAAATCCAGAAAGTGTAAAATTATGTATACAACATGTAAAAATCATATTTTTTCTTTAATTTCTAATGTTAATGCTTATTTACACTTGTGTTAGATTTACGGGCTTTAAATTTAAGTTTAGTATAACATGCTGTAAAATGAGAAAAAAAAACAGCCTATTTTTAATTCAACACGGAATGACAATAATCTGAATCTAGATGAAAGAAAAGGAACATGTATAGTTAATTTCATATTTAATAACAGAAATGGGATTCTTGAATCAAGGCTTGCTTTTACAGACATAAATCAATTTAAATTTAAAAAAGTACATTTTGAATAAATTCAAAGTTCTTAAGCTTTTTTTAATATCTATATTTCCTGGAGTTTTCCAGCAGCATTTTGTCAAAGAACTTTCAACCAAGTGTCAATTGTATTAGTAAATAATTTGAAGGATTTTCTCTTTGTGATATTCCAACAGTATCCATTTGCAATTTGTGTGACAACATTTGACGTATTTATGACAGACAATGTAAATCCTGTAATTCCATTTTAGCAGTGAACATTTGGGTTCTCTCTTCTTCGAGATATCCAGAGAGCACATGGTTTACTAACCGGATGCAATCATGTTTCACTACCTCTTCATTTTCCTGAAGGAATGTGGCAATCTTTTTTATTAAATTTTCCTCCCAGTTTTTTAATAGGATAGGGATTATCAGCCCTATACCCTACCCCCAACCTCACCTTCCTATGATGAATCTCAGGGTGGGGAAATTAGCGTCTCCATGCAGGAATCGAACCCACAATGCAGTAGTCTAAGTAGTCAAGTAGAGTATTTTTAATTTTTTTTTTTTTTTTTTTTTTTTTTTTTTTTTTTTTTTTTTTTTTTTTTTTTTGTTTTTGTGTGTTATGAATTCCCATGAACAGAATTTGAACACTTGATATAACATTTTTGCAGGAGCCTTAACTTGCTCGACCACCACCGCACGATTATGAGTTCTATACTGCACAAAAATCTGGTCTCTAGTCATGACTAATGGATATTATCACTGTATTAAATGAGACTATAAGAACTAACATACTTACAATTTGACCATAATTTTATAAGACATAAAGATATGAAGTATAAAAACATTTAAATGCATACCTTATCTGGGCCTTGGCTTCTATGGTAGCACCCTTCGTTATCGATTGGCTGCCCTCCTTCCTGATCAGCTGAGGGGCAGCAGTGAGGACATTAGGAGTCGGGAGGCTGCCCGGGAGGCGGCTGGGTAGCAGTCGTGGTGGCAGGCCTGGCGGAGGGCCAGGTGGTAACCTGATGCCCATCAGTCGTGGAGGCAGGCCAGGCGGTGGACCGGGCGGCCTCATGCCGACCATCATGTTGCTTAGAGGCGGTGCTGCAATCATAAATATATTGATCAATTGAGGCCATTGTCTCATAAAATAATTCAATTCAGAAAGTATTTAACATTAATTAAAGATAGGAAAAACACAGAAAATACAATATAATATTTCATTAACTCAGGTATCATTAGGGAGGAAAAATAATCATAAAAGATAAATTCGGAACAGGAACATTCTCTAAAAAGTCTGGTGCAGTGCTATTTTTATTTATTTTAACATTTTATGCCATTTGCACCTATGCTGCAATGCACCTAGCAAATTTAATGTAATGCATTAGCTGCGAGTTTGCTTGATTAGCGTTAGTTTTGTTAGTAGGAGTAGGTCCCTTAGCCATTTTCTTTTTAGGAGCAGGAAATAGAAAGGACTAATGGATTGAAGTGATTTTGAGTAGAAGAATGGAATGAAGTTAAATTGTCGTGGATGTAGGATTTTACTGTTGGAATGTTTAAGTTGTTATGTATAGTGTTAATTGAAATGTACCAATGTGTGTTAACAATTTTTCATAGGATCTTACTTAGAGTAGAAATTACTATTTTTGATATGTAAGGAAGTGAAAGTAAAAATTATAAAACAATAAAACATATTCATTAAAAATTATAAGTACCACCTATCAATTTTTTTTAATCATACATTTACGTCTTTTTCCATTTCCTTTAATGACTGAATATAATATTCAATAATATGAATGATTATTGGGAAAATGGATATTCTCACAAAGCAGTACTCATCTGCCAGCAGTAGCTAGCATCTGTTGGCTGGGCGGTACAGGAGAAATAATACCTTTAAACTGTTTATATGAAATTTAACTGAATAGGCGAAGTTTAGCTGGTTAGCTAAATACTGGTATTTGAGAGACTAAAGCTTTGTTTGTGAAATCTTCCAATAATATCCTAATATTTAATATTTTTAACATCAATAAAATAAATGAAATCTAATACTACTTACCAGGAGGTAGACCAAGAGGAATCTGTCCAGAAGGAGCAGGTACCGGTAGAGGTATGGCATCCATTACCTTACCTTTATCTCCCGGCTGGAACAAATTAACAAAAAGCAGCGATAATTATATTTTTAAAATGAATACTGGAATTCATAGCACTAATAATATAGCGAAAGAAAATATCAGAGATTAAATAATATAACAGTGGACTGATAGTTGATTGCCTTAGCTGTATTGAATAAAAATAGTTGGATAAGAAGTAAGAATACAAAGTAAAAAATGTTGAGAGGGGGTTAAGTTTTTGAATTTTTTGGTTGATCACAATGATTGATTATTGAAAATAATAAACCAAAAATATTAAAAAATCGCGATATCTCTACTAATAGTGCTTTGATTTTGTAGGAAATTTAAATACCTTTGAAACATCTTATCACATTATCTACAAAAAAGTGTAAACTTTTTGAGTTATTCGGAATTTAATTTTACCATCCCTCGTAACTTTTTTTCCAGCTTCTTTTCGTTGAAGTATGTTATATAGATAAATTTAAAGGCTGTCAAGAAAATGACTTTAGCGAAGTTTCATTGAAATTGGTACATTCGTTTAGGAGCTACAGTCTATAGCAATGCAGGTTTTTTGGCCGCCATTTTGAAAATAAAAGGCGGATGGTAATGTCAATGAAGGAGGATCATCCTTGGATGACCTCTGATTTTATGTCCAAATTTTAAAATAATCGAACCAGTAGTTTCTGATAAAATGCGCGAACGGCGTACGGCGAACGGACAAAAAAATTTTTATTCGTTTTTCGAATTCTACACATTCTGAAACGTGAAACCTCAAATTTTGAGAGGGGGTTATGTTTTTGAATTTTTTGGTCGATCACAATGGTTGATTATTGAAAATAATAAACCAAAAATAAATAAATTATCATTTATTTTTATTTCCCTTTTGCTGACATTTCGGCCTAATTTTGAAATTTTCATCTGGACTGTTCTCTCAACAGGTGTTGTGAGACCTCTCTCATGCCATCTTTCGAGGGAAGAGCCCAGATGAAGGTTTGAACATTAGGCCGAAATGTCGACACTGTTTAAAGCACATTAAAATATAATTTTAAATTAGTCAAAATAGCAGCGCCATCTGTTGGTGGTTACAGGAGCGCCATCTATTGGCAAAGTATGTTGATCTGTAGGGCAACCAGAGCCCTATCTGTTGATCTGGGACCAGAGGGGTCAAAGTACAAAATGGCCTGACAGAGAGTCTCCAAAATGATCTCCATGACCAAGTATATCAAGTACAAAGACTTCCTTCACATAAGGAATGCTCAATTCTAGCAATAATAGTTATATAATCAACATATCCCAATAGTTCAACTTGTCAATTGAAGATGGTCTCACCATATTATTGTGATGACAGTAAATATTTTTAATAACATTACGATTTTTAAAAAACGATTATTACTTACCCCAGAATATTTTTTGGTCAGGTTGTCATCATCTGAGTCTGAGCCTTTGTCAGCAAACCTGATCATTCTTGGACGCAGTTTCTCTTCACCAGGTGGAGCTACAAAATAATTATATTTAATAATCTGTTCTTCAATAAAAAATATATTTCAAAATTATTAACTGAAATACAGTCAAAACTCTCCTATAGAATAAAAGCTTCTTAAAAAAAAAAAAATCAATACCTATACAGAAATTCCAACAAAAAAAAAAAAAAAATCGATTAGAAATAGTTACCAACCGAAGAAGTAAAGTGTGTTGAAATATTTTTTAAATGGAGAAACAGAGTTGAGATTTGTATTTCACAGCTAAAAAGATCCTCGAATTTGACAACTTTTTGTCACTTAATGACTTTTTGCAATAAACTGACAATATATATAAATTATATTCAATACACGCAATTCGTTGGAAGTGAAAAACATCTTTAGGCGCGTTTTGTACTTTTTTTGTGGAGAGTGAATAAGATTGAGCTCTCGGATCTCCGATGTGTAACGCTTCGGTAAAGTCGGCTGGAATCAACTAATTGAAGTGTTTTTGCATATGGATGTTAAAATATCTCAAAAACTAAAAATCAGACCAGCATATTGTTTATCATTTCATTCTCTTTGTAATGAGCTATTATTCAAAATCGTATCTTAATGCAACTTGTTAAAGAGGCGAAAAGGAAAAGAATATTGTCCAAAATCATATGATAATGAGTTTTATGAAAGATATGGATTAGAATATCTCAGAAACTAAAAATCGGACTAGCATACTGTAAGCGAGGAAAATGTTCAGCATTTCATCCTCTTTATAATGAGCTGTTATTTAAAATCTATATTTCATATTATTAATCTCGCCTTGTTAATGTTTTCACTTCTATTGTGTGATCTAAAGCACAGCTTAGTAGTTTTTTTTTTCTTAAGGTACTTCAAGAATCATACCAGTACAATATAGAGAGATTTTCGATACATGGAATTTTGATATACATAAGTTTGACTATATTAAGAAAGTAGCAACTTCCAGAATAGAGAGAAACATTACCATCATCATCATCCTCGTCGCTGGAAAGTTCAGGAGGAGGGCCTAGCGGAACTCCTGGAGGTACCTTATTTTTGGGTGGGCTGTAACAGAAATAGAAAAAAGCATAATACTTTGGCCATTAAAAAAAAAAGAAAGAGAAAGTATTTACTTTTTTTCTAATAATGAATTTGAATATAAGTGATTTTGACAAAAGAGTTTTTATAAAATGTATTTTAAAAATATCCTATAGACTACAGCTCCAGAAAATATATTCAAACATAAAATAATCAATAACTGAACTAACCTGTACGCCGATCGCTTCCTCAGGATGCTGGTAGGAGGAGGAGGAAGCAAGAGTCCCATGGGCATGTCGGGTAAGGGGATCTGGGACGTGAGACCAAGAGCAGCCATGTTCTCCGGGTTCAATTGGGGGATGGGAAGCGGGATATCATCCACTGATACCTACAAATATAATTAAATCAATAACTAAAAATTAAGTAGACATAATATAAAAACGCTGCAAATTATTTCACAATGGTTTATTATTTCCAAACAATTATACATCTAAAGTAACATTACCTTCCGAGTTACAAAGAAAAAAAAATAAAAGAGGATTACAATTTTTTTTTAATCATTAGTAAGACGCTAAAAAAAAAATAACATTAGTTCAGTAACACATTCAAAATTTAAAAACCAAACTAAGGATATAACATTTGGAGTAGAACATATAAAAAAAACCGGAGACCATATCTTTGCCCCTAATTGTCTGATTTTAACGATTTTTTTTTTTTTTTTTAAGTAAATTTTGTCAACTTTTAAAAAACTAATATCAAGAAAAAAGTAAAAACTTTTCGAGTTATTCGTAATTTAATTTTACCATCCCTCATAAATTTTTTCCAGCTCCTTTTCGTTGAAGTATGTTATACAGATAAATTTAAAAGGCGTCGAGAAAATGACTTTAGCGAAGTTTCATTGAAATCTGTGCATTCGCTACAGTCTATAGCAGGTTTTTCGGTCGCCATTTTGAAAGTTAAAGGCGGAGAGTAATGTTGATGAAGGAGGATCATCCTCGGGTGATCTCTGATTTTATATCCAAATTTGAAAAAAAATCGTTCCAGTAGTTTCAGAGAAAATTCGCGGACGGCGGAGGAACAAAAAAAATTATATTCGTTTTTCAAATTCTACGCGTCCTGAAACATGAAACCTCAAATTTTGAGAGGGGGTTAAGTTTTTGAATTTTTTGGTCGATCACAATGGTTGATTATTGAAAATAATAAACCAAAAGTAAATCAATAAAACATTGTTTCCATAGGGACAATTACTGCATTGATAGTATTGTCAAGACAATTAGGCAGCGGCAATACCCTCATCGACACATCAACAGTAAAACAAATATGTTGGAAAAAATGGTGGCTATAGAAAAGCTGATGTGCTTATTTCAACAAAGGCAACTTATTTATAAACAGAAAAAAAAAATTAAAACATAATTTAGAAAACTAGTTAAATTAATAATAAAAATGAATTTTAATACAAAATCAAAATAATTGAAGCAATAATCTGGTTAATCAATATTTCACAACAGAAGGCAAGGAGGTTGAGATGGACAGGGAATGTAGCTCAGAGAAATCCATCTTAAAACCTCTACACAAAAATAAAGGCTTAAATATTAAGCAAGAAACCACGTTGAAGACCATAAACCAGATGGATAAATTAAATCAACATAGATACTACAGAGCTGGGTGAAAATAACTGTAAACCAATAGAATAAGATAGACAGAGATGGATATGGCTAGTTAAGTCAGCAAAAACTTTTTAAAAAACAGCGAAAGAGCTGAAAAATCTGCAAAGCCTTTTTGAAAAAAAAAAAAGTAATAATAATAATTCATAAAAAAAAAAATAAAAAAACTATATAATTTTATTCCTTATACTAGGACTTGTGTTATATTAAAATGTGGCTCAATTAAAAAATATCAAGTTTAGAAATAATTAAAACAATATTTGAGAACAATGTTTTCTCGCACAAACATTGGTTAGGTGAGATAAATAATGATAGTACAATATTAGTCGTTTACACATGCTAAATAATGTGAAAATAGGTGTAGCAAATACGATAGGTACTTTCAATTATCAAGCAAAACCTAATAGAGCTACAAAAAAAAGATATGAGGAAGTACTGTTACAAGGCCAACAGTTATGCAAGGAAGTGACGGACGAATATCACGCTCCTAATAGAGTTACAGTACTATAAAAATTAGCAAATATCATCCTGATGTACACTGGTTAAACGGTGAAAGTCGAAATTGTCATCATGAAAATAAGGATTAAATATAAATAAGGAAAGAGATGGTCCGGGGTGGCAGTTATAAATAGACTAAATAGTGGCGAAACTATTTTATTAAAAGCCAACATTTCGACCCAAATTTGCAGGTCTTCTTCAGGGCTAGAACGGACAAGATACAAAAATATATAGATAAAAATTATAAACAATGTAAATAAACTTATTAAATTATAAACAGTAAGTACATTAAAATATTAAGAACAATAAGTTGTATAAACAGAGTAAGCTAAGTAACAAGATCCTAAACCAAAGTAAATAGATGGTAACAATTTTTGTAGTATAATATAAAATATAATATATGCTTTTGTGAATAAATTTTTAGTATCTTGTCCATTCTAACTCTGAAGAAGACCTACTAAGTCGGGTCGAAACATTGGCTTTTAATAAAATAGTTTTGCCATTATTTAGTCTATTTATAACCGCCACCCCGGACCATCTCCTTCCTTAATAATACAACAGCCAACTATTAAGTATTCAACTTAAATATAAATGTTTGATTTTCATTTGTTTTTTAATTAATTGAATTATTATACCTGTTGAGCGTGCCTGACTGCTTCTGAATAAGTTGCCATAGTTACACGACGTTTTTCGTATTCTGCTTCGGCTCTCTTCAATTCTTCCCATTTGTCTGGGTCTTCCTTTATCTACGGATCAACGATATACCATTAATAAACGATTTAAATAAAGACTAAGTTTCATCAAAGTTGGTTAATAATCTTGACCATAACAGCTACTTACATACATCTTCAATACGCGGTCGAGCGTTTCTCGAAGTTTTCTCCTCTTGTCTTTCAGAACTTTTTCATTGAGGGGCGACGGCTGGAGGACATTGTATTCTGAAATCACACTCGTACTTAATATACTTGTACTAACGAATCAATTAACCAAATGATTTAACAATAATGATATTGTAGAATAAAACAAATATTTACCCATATTATCGATTTTTTCCATTTCAGCAATTAGTTGAAAAGGATCTTTTCCCTTCAACACTGCAGCTCTGACAAGTTGCCTTTGCCTTTTGTTCTTTTTTAACTCTTTCTTACGTGCCTCCTTTCCTGAATAAAAAAAAAAAATAAACCATTACTTGCATTTTTAATTTATTTTATTACAATAAAACCATTTAAAATTGTTGACCCATTGTTGTTCATGTTGACCAAACTAAAATGGATGTCGACAGAGAATGATGAGTCGAGTGACCCAGTTCTGATAAAGCTTTGTAGGGTATACCGAATCTGCTAACTTGGCTAACACTTGAAAGCAATGGAAGAGCGAGGAAGAAATTCGAAAAAATAATGATAAACGGACAGAAAGCGATTGGTATACTAAATTCAGTGCTATGAAGTAAAAATATTTATACAAAGGTGAAGAAATTAATATTAAGGGCCTGGTAGAGAGAATAATGATCTAAAACAATGAAAAATGACCACTCGAAGAATCACAGAGAAAAAGATTTCAGGCTGTGAAGATGGATTTTTGGAAGACAGGGTACTTCCTAAATAGCCGGTTGGACTTGTATCTGCCAATGTTTATAACACTGATAATTCTGATAAGACACTGATAATATCTTTATATTCGTATTTATTGTATTATATTCATATTATTTAAATTGTAAACAAAAACAAAAGCCAATGTAATAATAAAAAAAATACTTTTACAAGATATATATTGCAACACTCATCTGTTTAAAATTACAACACTCGTCTGTTTCTCGGCAAACTCCGCCAAACATTGCACAGGTAGAACTCTCCCTACATGATTTTTTTCTTTTAGAAAAAAAGATTCTCATCTACTTCAAGGACTTTGCCAGAGCCTCCAATTTTTTTACTTGACCTGTATAAAATGTTATGGGTACAAACCGCTCTTAAAAATGTATTCCACGTTACCATAGTTGGCTGAGACAGTTTCAGCTGCTCTTTCCCCCACTGTATTGTTGTTAAATTATGGCACCATCCATAAATAAATTTTAAAACCGTCAAAAAAGAAATCCTCGACCCTTCTAACCACGTTCCTTTCTTTATAGAAACGTTTTTGTTACAAGTAGGAAAGCATCTCCATTTCGTCTTCCCCTCCAACTTCATTTCATGACCTTCATTATAATATTTCAACTTTGCAATTATCCCGGCATCTTGAAAATATTTGATATACTCTTCTTCTGAAGACTGAAATTTGAACAATGTAACAACATCCATAATTTTATGAAAATAACACTAACTCACAGCTTACACGAGGAAAAAAATATAAACTATGGAATAACTTAGGGCAGAGGAGATAAGAAGAGAGGTTATATGATATAAGATTAGATAACAAGGGAGGTTTCGACTCGACCAGCTATTTAAGAAGTACCGAGATCGGCTACAGTGAATCAGAAATGAGGCTATTAGGGAAAGACTGGAAGTTAGAAAATATGTAGTAGAGATAATGGAAGAAAGTATATTGAAATGGTATAGAAATATTAAAAACATCTCTAATCTAATCTGCTGACATGGGCAGTACCAGTGAAATAGTACCTTAATAGACATTTACAAACTTTGATTGAATTGATGCCAGAATATAACAGTGCAGCTTACACACAATTGATATCAAGCTGTGATAACTATGGGATTAATAACAAAAATTAAGTATTATATAAATAAGAACATCTAATGTTTAAATGAATGTCAATCAGCGACAAAAATACTCATTTCTAGAAATATTTAGTCTAGGAACTAATTAAATTTTGTTCTCTTTACACTCTTGCATAGATTTGTTTGGATGAAGTTAAAATAAATTTTACATAATATGCAACCTTATTGTAGTATAACAAAAAACAGTAACACAAAATTCAAATAGATAGCATTATAGGATTTTTTTGACTGGTCAAGATAAAATTGGACTAAAACATAGCATCTAGGTTTAGAAAAACATCTTTAAAAATTTTACTTACTTGCTTGATCAGTGGGATTCATATATTTCCCACTCTTAGTGGTATTTATCGAACGTCTACCCATGGTTTGGTATTAGCAACACTATTCGCAAAAGGTTTCAAATATATTAAAAGAAAAAAGACTTTGAGAGAGAACTGTTAATGTCTGTTAAGGGTTCAAAAGAAAACACGACAGAACACCCATACTTTACAAAATATAAATCCGAAAATCCATCTATTATCAGGGACTAAACAGTTTTGAAAACTAACTACAAACAACGGCAGGTTATACTGGCTGCTCGACAAGTAGCGCTATCTTCATAGCAATTAATACACATTAATCATAAAAACTAATAAGTAATAAAATTATTATTGTCTATTCAAAAAAATAATTTAAAATATTTTAAAAACGTTACTGACCTTTTAAATTTAAATTTAAAGTAAAGATGCAAAATAGTAATGCTATAATATCTAGAAGCTCGGAGCAGGGGAAGTAGACTCCTTGAAGTTTTCTCTTTAGAAAATATATTTCCAATTTTTTCATTATTATTCTTTAAGTTTAGGTGAAATCAAATTAATAATGTCTCATGCCGGTATTAAACGTGTAACACTAAACTATTTAACTCCAAGTTCAACTGATTTTTTGATAGTTGGTGTTATTATAGCCAAAAGGCCTCCAAAAAGCTTTAAGAGTAAAAAGGGTAATTTTTCAGATTCTCTCAACATTTTCTTTATCATATTATACCTTAATATGGAATATATATATATATATATATATATATATATATATATATCCATTATATATATATGTGTGTGTGTCTATTTAGATATAATACCAGAATATATTATCATAATTCCAAAATAATTTGTTTCAATATTTTCAGATGGTTCGGATCGTGGAGTTATGGGTTTCACCTTGAGAGACTCTCCAGCAGATTACATAAATGTTACAGTTTGGGGGAGTAAGATATTTGTAGATAATTTTAATGCCTGTTATAGAGTTGGCGATGTTGGTAAGCCCTATATACCATTTTATTAAACAGAAATTATTTTAAAATATTTATGACAATTGATTTTATAAAGAATTAAAACTTTGATAGCTTTGAGGACAGTTATTGGTTTTGATCCTTTATTCTTCACCATATTGATTCTCTTATTATGTATATTCAATATAACATAAATTTCAGATTGAAAATTTATTATTTCTATAATTATGTTATCATTATTATTAAACTACATAATAATTCTTGAGGAGGGGGTATAACCAGAATGAGAGGCTATTTGGCATGGTGGAGGGGGGCAATTGATTTAATTTTTAAGAAATTAGAGTATATTTTTTAGTTATTTTCTTTCAGAAAGCTGAAATATTAACAACCAATGTTTCAATATAAATCCATTTTTCAGAAATTTGTTTTTTATATTAATTGCTACTTTATTTTTAAACTTTTCACATTGTTAGAGGAAAAGTAATTACTCCACCATGCTCCTCCTTTAAAAACTCTCATGATTCTTAAAGTAATAACTGAAAAAGAAAACCATAAATAATAAAAAAGAAAACTAAAGTTCATTTTGACATAATGTCAACTTTTTAAAATTAATTTTAATTAGAAATTCATATTTTATGAAAATGATACAATTATTTTCATTTTGATTTTCAGATTCCAACTATAATAAAACATAACTTTTATAAATAATAAATTTTTACTTTTTTTTTGTGAAGTAATCTCTTCCATTTTTAAATTATTTTTTATATTTATTAAGCTCCATCGTTGACGTTTTGAGCCATTAACCAATCTACATAGACAATTTTTTGTTAGTGTTATACTTTCCAGATTATAAATTTTTAAAACTCCTCTGTTTTCATCCATAATATTGTGTAATATGTAATATTAATATATAAATTTATTTCGTATTTTTTTTTAATTTACTTAAAATACAGACCTTGTGGAGAGTGTTGCTCAGTAATTTTTCAATTGACTATACATTATGGATATGAGGTGAGTGGAATATTGCTAATTTAAATAATAAAAATATAACTGTACACAAAATTGTCCATGAAGATGTGCTTAGGGCACTAACACCATTTCGCGCAGTAGACCTTCATGGTCGCAGTGCACTTAAAAAAAAGAAAAGAATAGCTTGAAATGTCGACAATGGATCATAAAAAATAAAAAATATTTAAAATTAAAAGCTTTTTCATGAAAAAACCCACAAATTTACTCTTCCTTATCAAATAATAAATGGATAATTAATAATATATTATAATTTTAATTAGTCATATCTATCAGAGATGGGTCAATGTTACTCTGAGTACTGAGTACCAAATATTTTACTCAAATACTGACCTTTTTTAAGTATCAATGAATTTAATTACACTTTAGTCGATGTCAAATGATTAACCGGAGTAGTGATTGAATTCCCAATGATTATTCAATTTGAGTAAAATACTTAGTACTTAGTACGCAGAGTAGTATTTGCCCATCTCTGATATCTTTGAAAAAACGTACATAGATGTTTATGAAATATAAAACTTCCTATTCAAGGTCACTTTTAAGTATCACTTAAGATATAGGCTTTATGAATGAGTTAAAATAGACATTTTTAATTAAATCTTCAAATTTTCATTGAGAGGAGGAGAGTTTCATTAGAGGAGGTGAAAGGGTTCATTATGTTATTTCCTTCAAATTATTAATTTTCTTTAGAAATTTTTATTTGTGATTGTTGGTATTTAACTAATTTAATGACTTTGTTTTCAAGTTGACTTGATAAATACTAAAGTCATTATGAGAAAGCCAGAAGATAGAACAGACATCTTTCAACCTCCAGTTACCAGGTTTTTATACTTGGAGTTATTTGTTGGTTTCATCTAACAATAAAATGAATATGAATATTAGAATTTGTTCGCAGTTGTATGGAACTGGTATTTAACGAGTATCAGTCTGAGATAAGTCCGCATGACCTAGAAGACTGCTTGGAATACATAAAGATCCTTCATCTACCAACGAAGCCACCTGGGAACTTCTTGAATCTTGCCGATATTAAAGCGAATGGAAAACTTTTTAATGGCCAATATGTGAACATTTTAGTTGCTGTGCAGCGAGTAAGTTAAATTTAATAGTATTTTATTATTTCACTTATTAATATAAATTAATAACAAACTAATAGAGACTGAACAAAATAAAAGAGACAAAATATAAATGTTAGGTTATAATTGAGAAAAATTCAGATGCAGACAAAGAAAAAATCCCATCATTGTTTCCCCAATTCAGGCATCATAAAGACAGAAAAAAACAGCTAATTGAACATCACTCCATGACATCCTATCGAATACTGGAAGAAAGATAAGGCAACGCAGCCCAAGGGGCTTTTTTTTCTTTGCTTGCATTTTGAAAACATAAGGCTGTGTGGTTTGACATTTTTGCAGTGATATAACCTAACATAATATCACTTATTTAAAAGTAAGGCCAGGATTTACACTGCCTCAAAAAAGTTTCCATTCAGTTAGTTTTTCTTTAACATGCTAATAATCTATTTATTATATTATTTTTATTAATCAAGAATGGTAGTAGAGACAAAGGTGTACCAACATGATAATAAGTTCATACTGAATCACTAATCCTATTGCAGGAAGAGATACAACTTTAATTTGAAGGTCAAAAAAGTTTCCATATTGTAATATACATCTTAATTGAAAGTTGTTAAAAATTATTTAATAAATTAACGTAACAGTTAAAAAGCAAGCTAATATAGTTTCAATAATTCAGGGGGGGAAAATAGCTGTTGTGTAGTTTTCCCAAAAAGGAAAATCCCAAAGAGGGGGTGGACAAAGGATTTTGTTTGGGCAAGCAGTTGTTGTTTGGCTAGGGTGAAGAGAGGATAGGGGAAGTGATCCTGGCTCCAGTGGGTAAAACCCAGTAATAGTATTACCATCTTGGAAGTTGTTGTTTGGCAGAGAGATTAGTTATTTGGAATTACAAGAGAGAGGATTTCCCAGGAAGCTCGAGTTGGGTAGAGAAAAGTGTCACCATTTTGGAAGATGTGTTTGGCAGAACATAGGAAAATGTTAGAAGACAAATGAATTTAGTGTAACAAAGGAAGGAACAGTAAATATAGAAAAAAGGTCAGGTTGCCAATCCATACTCGACTTTATTTTAAAATCAATGTTTAATTTTAGTATCAATAGTGTAGGGTTTGTCTGAGTGTTTTGATCTGATTGTCAGTAACCCGCACCTGAGATAAAACAATTATAAATTTCAATTTAATATATTAATACTCTTATAATTATTTTATTATTTAATAACCTCTTATTTATTTAGGAAGTATCCGAAAAGTATAAAATGGTCTTTCATGAGGTGTATTATTAGTTAAAAATATAAGAAAGAGATATTACAATATCTTAATTCTATCTCTACTGAATGCCATTATTTCGCTCAAATTTATTATCTCAACGCTCCATTCAAGGTTAATTAAGGTTCAGCCTACTTCAAATCATCATTATGCTAATTGAATCACATTCCGCCAATAGGGCTGCTTTGAGATCTTCTTCAATTCAAACACCATGATTTTTCACATGCCGTCCTAATTCTTCCCTTTAGGTTTATACCTGATGTTTGGGGATGAGTGTATAATTGTTTTGGAACATTGTACATTAACCATTGTTCTATTTTCTTGGCTGTGTGCTTAGGATCGTTGTCCTGTTGAACGATAAACCCCGTCATAACTCCAAGTATTTGAGCAGATTTTTTTAAATTGTTCCTTAGAATGTTTAGGAATACACACTAGTCTATAATTCTATCAATTAAAATGAGATTTCCAACTCCTAAAGCACTCCAGGCTTGAAGGTCGTTCACAAATTCTTTGAAATAAGTGCTTCCTTGTCTTTTCCCCAGACATGACACCTGTCACCTGGTACAAAATGATTGAATTTGTATTCATCTGAGAAGATCATAAAATCCCAGTAATATTCTGGCTTATTGGCTTACTCCAAACCAACTTCTTATTTGTTTGGATTTTTTCATGCAATTCGTTCATGAAAACATTTCTCTTTGAATATGAAAACATTTTTCATTCATTCATAACATTCCTAACAATTTCTAGATTTGCATACCTCGTGATCTCTTTCAAGCCAACTGACTAAGGATATTGAACTTGTACAGCAATTAGACGCACCTGGTCAGAATAGTCCAATGAATTCTATCCAATTTTATTGGGCTGCCTGAACGAGGCCTGTCCTCCAAGAATTTCAATTCACTGTGTCTGTTTAACACACGTACTGCACAGTTGCATGCGATTTATTTAGTAAAATTCAAACTTTTCGGAAAGAAAATCCTTGACTTCACCACACGATTTGGTCATGAATGCTCTGTTCTAAACTAATGCTAACTAACTCTCATAATGATGATTTAAAGTTGGCTGAACCTTAACTAAACCTTGAATGTAGTGTTCAGATAATAAATTTGAGCGAAATAATAACATTGAATAGAAATAGAACTAAGATATTGTAGTGGGTGGTTATTCAGGACGCAATCATTATATATTGTAAATATATGGAAAATTTTTTGACATTCAGATTAAATCCCCTGCTATGGGATTAGTGATCCAGCATGAATTTGTTATCATGTTGGTACACCTTTGCCTCTATTACCCTTCTTAATTAATAAAAATAATATAATAAATAGATTATTAGTAATGTTAAAGAAAACTAATTGTATTGAAACTTTTTTAAGGCAGTCTATATGAAACAAAATCATTGAATTATGCCTTAAAAATTATGATAATATACCATCGAAAGTATGTAAAACCCCTGAAATAAAGTCAATACACCAAAATATGCGAACAATATGCCTTTTGAGTTTAAACATGCACAAAACATGCAAAAGTATAAAACATACAAATTTTTCCAAAAGATTTACAATAGTTTGTTTCATGAAAATCTTAGTTTATGTTTTTGAAAACAAATCTGGGCCTTATTGATATGAATTTTATAATAATTTTGATAAATTATTTAAAGATTGGAAACAGAAGGGACATGAAGAGCAGAGCTGGCAAAGAAATCTCTATTCTTGAAATAGTAGTCATGGATAAGACTAGCTCTGATTTCATGGTTCAAACATGGGAAGAAGATATTATACAAAGAGGTTCCGGTTGGAAACCGAAGGATACAGGTATGATTATTATTTTTAATTTATTGTATTTTTTATTTTCACATACTCATATATAATATACAGTAAAAGAAAATATTGTGATCATGTAAAATTTTTATTTTGGGTTTTGAACAGAAATACTTGTTTCTAAATATCCAAATTTCGCCTGTGTGCATGTGCATGTTTGTTTATGTAAACAATATAGCTCTAAAACAAAAAGATGTATTTCACTATAGTTGCATATTTAAGTTAGATACACAAATGTTACAGGAACATTTTTACAAAATTCGACTTATTAGAAGTTCTACTTTATATCATTAATTTTATAAATTTTTTTTTTTTTTTTTTTTTTTTTTTTGAGTATTATAACAATCTGTCTGTTGGACATTGGTTATAGTGAGGTAGGATGACATTCACACCATATGTACAAAAAAATAAAATAAATAGAACAAAATAATAATCAAAAGTATATACAATAGACAATAAAATAAAATAACCTAAAAAATAAGAAAATTAAAACTAAGGAAAAAAAAAAAAAAAAAAAAACACATGCATACCTATTCAATTTTTATATAAAAATAATTTATATTATAAATTTTTAGTTTTTTCAAAAACAGCTTTAACAATTTTGATTAAATTTGTTATATCTATATGAAATTAAATGGTTTAATATTAGTTAGATATTATCTCCATTTAAATCGTCCGAAATGCCAAATTTTCAAAATTTTCCTTCTAGGTTCTTTAATTATTATTTTGTTCATATTGCATTCAATCATACCTTTATTTAATAGAAATAATTTAAAATGATGTAGAGATGGTTGACCATCGATATAATATGAGGAGTTGATTGGGGGGTGCGGTCAAATAAATACTAAATTAAACAAATAGTATTATTTAATTTTTGCCGACGTTTCGATCCACTTTGGAGGTCTTCATCAGGGCATAGGATGTAGCACTGCGGGAGGCAGTTGAATCACTGCCAAAATTGTAAGAATTCAATAAATGAAGAACGGTTGAGGGAGGTATAAGACCAGTTTTTTTCTACTACAAGAAGGGCTTTATCTATAGGGATGTTGGTGAAGAGGCTTTTAACGTCGAAGGAGACTAGAATGTAATTTTCGGGAATGGTTAGGGATAATAACAGATTACGTAGATGAAAGGAGTTGTGGATATCATATGGATTGTCATGACTAAGGATTTGCAAGGATGGGAATAGAAATTTGCTTAGTTTTAAAGAGGGAGAGTTAATATTGGAAGTGATAGGACAGAAGGGAGTGCTGGGTTTATGAATTTTTGGAAGACCATAGAAACGGAGAGCCACGGAGTTATAAGATATGAGGTTTCTATAAGTAGGGTATGTGATTTATTCAGAGTGTAAGAGGTTTCTGATATGTTGATTAAATTGGATTTTAAGAGAAGGAGTAGGGTCACGGGTTGTAGGAGCGTATGTAGATAGGTCAGATAGGAGTTCAGTCATTTTTCTATTGTAGTCTGTGAGGTCCATCCAGTGTTTCAACTGCCTCCCGCAGTGCTACATCCTACGCCCTGATGAAGACTTGCAAAGTGGCTCGAAACGTCGGCATAAATTAAATAATACTATTTGTTTAATTTAGTATTTATTTGACCGCACCTCCCTCCCCGATCAACTCCTTCTCACAGAAATAATTTAAGATCTCTCATTATTAGTAGTGATGGACAATGGAGTTATGAAAGAATTTAATCATTAATTAACGTCTAAAACCTGGATAATTTTTTTTACTTAATATCCTGACTATACATGATCCTAAATATAAAAAATAAAAGTGATCTCAGCACATAAATCAAAAGGTAATCATGTATTTCCATTTAGTTTTGTTCCTGTCTGACATAAGAGTGGAATGGTCAGAGTTTCGCAAGGCGATGGTCGCCACCATCACGAGCCGATCTGTAGTTACAGAAAATCCTTCGACTAGGGAGGCAGCTATACTGGCATCGTTTGCTCTCACAGTTCCAATTCAGACACCGCAACTTGTGGATAATATAGCCAACACTATGGTAGAACGTAAGTGTTTGTTTAGATGAATAATATATACAAGTTTATGAATTTTTATAAACATCATTAATAAGTGAAAATAATTGATCCATAATAAAATATATTTTTGAATACTCGATGGCTCATCTTTGTATATATTTATTGAGGAAGAAGATGTTATGAACAGCATCCCCCTGACACCATTAATTAGAACTTAATTAAATTATGAACTAAAAGACAAATAATATAAAAAATTATGAACAGATAAATAAATAGTGAAATCCGTATATTTTTTAATACATTATTGTAATATTAAGTAATTTAATGAATAATTTATTATTATATGTTTTGTCAAATAATATATGATTATCTTTTTAATACTTCACAAATACCTGGATAATTATTCAAACATTGATAAAGAATACAAATGGATAAATGCATATTTTATAATTATTTAATAAAGAGAACCAATCACAACACTGATGTAAAACATAAATTTATTGTAAGTAAATAAGATTAATGAAAACAACGCATACAGTGGATCAAAAAATTATTGGCACATCTAACTTTTTTCATGTTTCATTGTGAAAAAATCCTAAATTGATTAGTTAAACATTTTAATTTAATAAAAGATTTAAAAAAATACATAATTGGAAAAATAATTAAATTTATTTAAATAATTAAATCACTTCAATACGGTCAAAAAAGTATTGGCACACTTTCATTGGAGGGTTATTTCACGAACTGGATATGTATTGATATTTTGTCATCATACGATTGGCATCTATGACACAGAGCAATCTTCTTGGCATCAACAAAACAAGATTTTGAGTTAGGTCTAGTCCAATTTTATCCTATTTCTCTGACAAAGTTTCTTTTAAATAATTTTTTGAAAAAAAAATCATTTTTTCTTACTTTAAAATCCAACAGATAGATAGAAGTTTTATTGCATTTATGTCTGGAGACTGTGGTGTTGTTTTCCATTGGCTGAGACCAATGTACAGCATCCATTCTTTTGTTTTATTTGTTGTGTACCTGGCGTCATTGTCCTGTCGGAAGATAAATTCATCTTTGATCCTCATATTTTTGGCTTTACTTGTTGAATTATGTCGGAAAATGTCGACATATTGGTTGGTATTCATAATATTGTCAATAAAGGTTAAATTTTCAACATCATTCCATGACGTACCCTCCCAAACCTGGACACTTACACCTCGGTGTTTTACAGGAGGCATCAAATGTCGTGTTTGAAACTCTGTTTCAAGTTTCTGCCGAATGAGCTTGTACTATCGATACGTTGTTTGTTATCTGTTAGTGCCTCACAGAGCTGACGAGGCACACCACATCTTTCCATCTCTCTCCTGTAGCGAGGGCACTCCTCAATGTGAGAGCCACTTTTTATATAGCCACAGAGTTGACACTGAGGGGGATCTTCCCTTGCCATCAGGTAGCCATGGGTCAACCGGCAATGTCCAATTCTGAGGCCTGTGATGACTACTTCCTCTCTTCTACACTTCCTGGAGGACGAGGCCCAACAACTGACGGTCGGTTTGATTATCCTCAGTTTATTATTCTACAACGTGGTCCAGGTCTGTTGCCATTCGTTTAAAATCTTTATGTTTATTGGTTTCAATAAATGTGATGGTGAGATATAAGTGGACATTATTACTTCCAGTGAATGGGCTTCTGTTGCTGCTCTGTCCACTTCCTCATTTCCAGAGATACCAGAATGACTGGAAACCCAGAGGAAAGCTATTTTTTTACCCATTTTGTTATGGCAAGTAAACAGCAAAGACTGATTTTTATTGTTTTCATTGTATTTTCATCAATCTTTCTTTTTATTTCTAATCTCTTGAAAGAAAAAGGAGTAATTTGTTTTGACTGAAGCTACTAGTAAACATTTGAAACTGTGCCAATACTTTTTTGACCCTCAAAATTTATTCTTTATTTTTATTTTAAACATAGCTTTTGAATTCTGAATATGCATTGCTTCTAAAATATAATACTCTAAGACGACTTTGTTATATAAATATTATTTCTGGAAAATATCTTAATCCTATTGAGATTTGCATAAAAATTGGAGTGTGCCAATACTTTTTTGACTCACTGTAACATACATCTGTAACACATTACTTAAATAATGTTAGTGATCAGACCAATTGCTTCTATACCACCTTCTATGCCTCCTAAGAAATGTGTTTTATTGGACTATTCCCAGGGATTGTTTTTATACTTTTAATTATACATATAAAAAGAGGCCTATTAGAATATATTAATACTTAATACTTAAGAAATGAAATACTTAAGAAATACTTAAGAAATGAAATAATATATCTTCATGATTACTTTAGTCAATAACTTTAATATAATATTCACTCAAATATAATTGTCATAAGTAAATCTGATTGTAAAATGAAAGAATATTTTAAATAATATTCATTATTTAAATTTATTAACTGCTTTAATTTTATTTAAAAGCTGAAACAATAGTGAATGTGATGTCTTGCGCCACTGTGATCCGTCAAGCATGGTCTGGAGAAAGCTCCGATAGTTTCACTGCTCTGGTCTTTGCAGTCCTTCAAGCATTTGATATTGATGGCTTTAGATCTGTTGTCGTCAGGAAATGGTAAAGAATTAAATAGATTTTTTATTTCAATCATTTTTCATTATTGATTATTTATAAAATGTACAATTTTCATATTTTCTGATTTCCATATTATAAAATTGTAATTGAAAAAAAATGTTACACAGCTCCATTTGCGGCTGTCCATCAGAGGGCAGCATCTGCCCAAGGTCTGACTGCAGCGAAGGACAGCCAACACCAGCCTATGACCTGCGGATAAACCTCATCGACCATACCGGAAGGCTTAGTAACTGTCGACTTACTGGAAACACAGCAGTACAAGTTATTAGTGTTAAGGTAAGCTAGCAGATTATGTAAATCAACAGGAAAAAAAAAAAAAGAATATCACTACCACCAATGGATGATTTTGGGTACAGTACTTAACCTGCAAATAAGAATCTTCTCTTAAATTGACTCTAATATGTTTAAAAGTTGGTTGCTGTGCTTTACATATAGTGACTCAGTTTATTTAAAACAGTTTTTTATCGTTAAATGGAGACAGTTGACTGTTTCGATTACGATTAGATACAGGGAAATGGAAGATATCTCCCAGTACAGGTTAGTAGTATAGTGGAAAATATTCTAATATAGGTTCCTTCTGAATCAAAATGGCCATCACTTATTCAATATTAATCAATACTGTAGTTAGTAGATGAGGACAGCGACGCTGATGGAAAAAGAGGAGAATACTGAATTAATCTTAAACAGTCTTCAGTAACAGATACAGAAACAATCCTCTTAAACAGATCATTGTCACTAAAGAGTTTTCTTCAGCAGATACAGAAACAGATCCCTGCAACAGATACTGTTATTTGTAATTCAGATACGGACACAGCTCCCTGTACTTTAAACTGTTTCAATAAAACATCATCATCACACTGTTGCAATCTATAACTAGCTGTACAGTTGGCTATTTAACACATTAGCTGTTGTTAGGATCCCCGGGATCCGATATTCATCTCGACTACCAAACGGCTGAGATTGTTTCGAATTTTGTTTATCTTACGAAGTCTCTAAAATGGTCATTTTTAAAAATATTTGAATGGGAGTTGGATAGATATAAAGATACAAAGATAAATAATCATTATATCTGATAAAAAGTTTTCGGATGCCGGGGACCGATATCGTACCAGACTGATAAAAATGATTTCCCCACAGTATCATCCACCAGTGTTCGATACATATGCCTGCCGTGGCAGGACAGTGCACATGTATGGTCTAGTCTTCTTTGGGCTTCTGTGGCTCAATAGCTCTTGAGAGTTTATCTTAGATTGTTCTCCTTGCTTATTTAACATGCCTCGTGGACACAAATTAGTGGCTATGGCATTACCTCGCCAAGACGAAGAGGAAACTGATAGAAGTGGTAGTGATTGTGATGTGGTATCGAGTGATGATTCGATAACGAACAAAGATTATTTACCTTCATCAAATTCATCTGAAATAAAGGTTTAGGAGAAATATTTTTTTTTATTTATTTTAATTTTAATGAAATTTACGACTGTATTACATAGAAAATACAATAAGTAAATGTGACATTGGTAACATGGCATGTACAACATGAAGAGAAACTACCCATAGGTAGAACTCAAATTAAAGTTCTATATTAGAAGGTTCCGAGGCCATCTCCTTTTCAGATGCCTCGGAGGGTTATCAGGGATCGAGGAGGAAGCAAGGTTTGAAACGAGAGGATTTGGATGGTTATGCAGTTAGTTATGGAAGGATAGATATCTGGATTGGGTCAAATCGGAAACATATGGAACATTAAGGTCTTTATGGATGATTTTATTTGTGACAAAGTAAGGAGTGTTGAGGATTTTACGAAGGATTTTGGATTGTGAGGATTGGATACGAGAGGAATTTGATGGTTTAGTGGAGCCCCAAAGCTCAATTCCATATGTCCAAATAGGTCTTATTATTGTCATATATATGAGTCGTTTGTAATTGATTGAAATCTTAGAGCGTTTGTGTAGTAAGTGCTGCAGTAGTCAAAAATGTTGGGTGGTTTCTAGTCGTTTCAGTCTGGTATGGGTGTAGAAGAAATATGAAACAGACTTTGCTTGTCCACAAGTGCCTAATGCCCTGCCCAAGAGTATTAAATGGGATCACAGCTGGAAGGCAGTAGAGGTAGGATCTACAAATTTTGATTATTATTGAGAGTATTTTTACAAGTATTTTATATATTCGTTATTTTATATATTTTTTACTTATATGTTTTCTTCTCATTTATTTTTTTCTCAATTTTTTATATAACTGTATGAATGTTCACATAGACTTTAATACCCAATGCCCTTGATTGAGGTAGATTGTATTGTTATTCTTCCTCGAAATCCGAAGTTTTATTTTAGAAAAAAAAAAAAATGTAATAATGAATACCAAAATATCTATAAATAATGTATAAATTATATCTTGAAAATTATAATTATATGTAATAAATAAACTTTTTTTCACTTAATTTTCAATGTTTAAGATTTATATCCCTAAAAATAACATTTGTTTACTGAAATAAAGAGAAATAATAAAAAAACTCTTCATATAAACGACATCGGACGTCAGAGTCCACTCCTACAATTGCTGGTCATTAATGAGGACACAATCAACCGATAGAGACTCTGAATAGAGAATTTAGTTCACCTTTGTTGTCAAAAAATAGCGATATACCTGGAAACTGTATGTCTCCGGCATTCGATGCCGTTAGGAACATCATAACTAGTGTCGGTCGCCGGGGATGGATATCGTCGGGAAAGACATTTATATCAGATAAGAGATATCAGGCTCAGCAGCTAACGTGTTAATAAGCAGTTTTAGCTACTCCTATCTACTTACTATTTGTTCTTTATTTTCATCAATAAACTTACTTATTACCTTTGTAAATAGTCCAAAATTTAAATTTAAATTCGGATTTTTTTCAGCAATTATAAGCACATTTCTTTTTTTTTTTTAAATTGTTTTATAATGATTTACATCAGGGCTTAAAATGGAAAAAGAAACTTTTATTTTGAAAAAGTTTCAGTATCAATATTAGAACTAGAACTTTTTCCCTTGCAACTTTTTAAGTAAAAGTTTTACAGAACTTTTATTTTAAAAAATATTTATTTAAAAGTTCTGTTGCTTTCACTAAAAATTAGATTAAAAAATTGCTTTAATCTTAACTACTCAAACAAATAACACATTATAACCATGGGTAATTCATTTAGGACAAATTGTAACTCTAATCTAAGCCTAATTACTGTTTATTTTTCATTTAATAGAACTTTTTTTAAATAACTTGAATAAATATAAGTTAAAATTTTACCCTAAATCTGGAACTTTATCACAAAAAGTTAGTATTTGGAAACTTATTTTAAGAACTTTTTTCCAAAACAGTTTCACAGAAAATGTTAAAATGGAACTTTTTAAATAGGTTCCGTAAAAGTTTCAACCCCGATTTACATTAATGAAGAAAAATATCAACAGGTTATTTTAAAACAAGTCATCATTTACAAAATTTATTTTAAAGATTTGAAATAACTGTGTCTTTTTTTAAATTAGTTTTTTGAAAGTAGCAGAAACTGTTGTAACTGCTGCTCTAAATTAATAGTTACAATTAATTAACTCAATAAGAATGTTTCAAATCAGACTAGTAGTTTCTAAAATTAGCACTTAATATATTAATTAGCACTCAACTTAATATATTAGCGTTAATAATACTTAATGATATATTGTAATAATTTTGATGATATTCTTCATTGTTGCAGCCAGAGGTGTTTTTGAACTTGAGTAGCGATGACAAAACTCAGTTCAAGTGGCAATGGTTGTTGAAGAAGGTAAGCGCTCGGCTTCTTATCATGCCAGTAGGCCCTGGAAGACTCGCTCCTCTCATTTCTGTGGTCGAGTTGAAGAGGATCACTATAGCTGAATATGCCAGTAAGCTGCCTGTAGCTTAATCTAGCAAGTTTTCCTTTTGTAGTTAGTACCTACCTCTTTGGTAATGATCTCTTTGTAGTTAGTACCTATCTCTTTGCCAAAATTTGATAGTTTTCAACTATTTGTATGACATGTAGTTTTATGAGTATGTTTTGTCTGATTTTTGGATTACCATATCTTTTCATGAATGTTATTAATAAGATTTCTTTTTTTATACATATACCAATTCCTACTATTTTTATAAAATGACATACAGTTTATGAAAAAATTATTAGTATTTTAGAAATAATTTAAAACAACAATAGACAAAAGATCTTGTTAGATTCCATACCTAATTTTTTATTTTTGTTTCTACATTCTGTGTTTTTCATTTTTTTTTTTTAATTTTAATATTGAAAACTGATGTGTGGAATGTTATTAATTCTGATATTCAAACGACTTAAGCTTTGACAGTATTTAATTTAATGTTTTGAATCAATTCAAAATATGATTTTATCTTTAAATACAATTTACTGTATTAAAATTTTTCCCCTCTAATAAATTTCATGTTACTAGAACAAAGATTAATTTTTATTGCTTTTCTTTGCTGTATTTTATTGATTTAATGTATAATTACCAAAATAAAAATAGTTTTCGCGCGCATGAGCGAAAGTAGTGGAAGCAATTTGGTACAATTAATATTGGGTCATTTTTTTTACTGATCCTAAATATGGTTCAACTTTCGGCTAAATAAGATGAGCATTTTTAAAAAATATGTGTGTCAAGGAAAATACATATGTACATGCATAAGGAAAAGTTGTGGATAGAATTTGATCTAATTGATACAGGACTACCTCGATACAAATCCACACAATCTCTAAAACTACCATCAAAATCAAATAAACGGTTGTAGGTGTTATATGCATCATATGAATTTGACTGTAGACTGACAGACACTGAATTTATTCCTTGACATGTTAAGACTCAATGCCCTTAATTTACTTTCCAATTTTTCGGTGTAGGAGTTTTTCTTTACGGGATCGTCTAGAGTTCGTATATTTAATGGAAATTTCTGCACCTCTTGTCTCGATCATATATGAAATACTCGATAATACTGTTTTTTTTTTTTTGTTCCTACATAGAGGTGCACCGCAGCCTCAAAAAGGCCTATTGTGCGCCATCCTAAATAAATTGAATTAAAACAGGCCAGATGCCTTTGCGAACCTGTTAATACTAACAGGATCAATCAGATAGCAGTGCTTAGGGTCAGTGATACGATCAAAGTGAAAGTATCGGCAGTCTAGCCAAATTATCACATCTAAAAATAATGTGATAGGCCGTTTTTATTCTTTAGGCCACATAACCTGCAGGTGGAGGTCTCGCTTACACACAAATTGAAAAAGTGATTATTTAATTGACAGTGTCTATTTTACAGTCTTGTCACACGCTTAATGATACTCCTGTCAGATATTAAGACCATCGATTGTCAATAATATCGATATTTTCCTCCACTACACACTTCATTTTATATGAACCAGGCAAGATGAGTATGATTTTTTTCTAACGATCAGATTCATATATAATTCCTAGCGCTTTCTGAAAACGATAGTTTTTATTTTTAAATAAAAATATTAGAATATCAAAGGTCCATAATATCAAAGGTAAAATATTGAATATCGGAAGGAAAATATCAATATTTCGATAATATCGACTATTGATGGTCTTCCCTAGTCTGAACTGTTTAATAATGTTTTCATATCATTGATTATATTATACGGAATTATGAGGAGTTGATTGGGGTGAGCAGTCACAAGAAAGAAAAAAAAAGTTACAATAATAAATAATATTTATTTTTGTTTTGTCCTTCATCAGGGCTGTGTTCTCATGAAGACTGAAACGTCGGCAAAAATGAAAATAATATTTTTTTTAATTGTGATTTCTCACCATAACGAAATCCTCTTCATTATATTCACGACAGTCAACTATTAATCCACTATCATGATAATATATTAAATTTATCTGGAATACTTTAAATATTTTAAGGTGAATGTGATAATGCGCACCAAAAGCTTCTAATTTTTATAAAATAAAACGTGTGAAACAATTTTTTTTTTCTAAAGTAACAAACAATTTTTATTAAAAATTTAATTGTTATTTTAAGAAAATACATAACAATAAAGTAAATACTTTATTAAAATAATCTCTTCAAGGATCCTTTTTATTGCCTACGTTTGTGTTGTAAACATCAGTGTTGTTCGGCATTTGGTATATTACCCTCTGTGGGTTCGGATATTGCCCCATGATCCAAGAATAGTTTAAGTGCCTGGGTCCAAAGAGACGAGACTTTGCACGAGCCATGTAAGACGCCAAGCCTGTAATAGAGAAAAATAAAATTAACCTCATCTGTCTGGTTGTCACCTAATATGAAATGAACTAATTATTTTTCTGTTGAAAAATTCAAAGGTGGTAGGTGCTAAAAGAGTGTATTTTTTTTTTATATTTGTAAACATCATTAAGTCACATACTCACTCACTACATGGCGTAATGTTACATTAAGAACCAAAGCCTCTTCTATTATCCTGCTCCATACTGCTTCATCCATAGCCTTGGTGCACCATCGTCTGACATTTACCTCTTACAACATTTTTCTGGGTCTCAGTATTTTTTTAATAACTTTCACTATATTCGCTTTGTGATATAGCTCTTTCAACTCGATGTTTGTCCTTATTCATTGTCTTCTCCAACGGGTCCAAATATCTTCCGCATTACTCTTCTTTTCCATATTCTAAGCCTGTTATCACTAGCCGAAGTCATCATCCAGGTTTCGCTACTGTATAATACTGTGGGCCTAATTATAGTTATGTAAATAAGCACCTTAGTGATTCAAGAAAGATTTTTTTTAGTGTGTAAAGCTCATTAACTAACATATGTATAAGTTGAAAAATCAGAAAGTAATCAGGATATGCAGTCTTCAAATGATTTATTAGAGTTACTGACATTTTGGACCAAGCATGCGGGTCATCCATCGTCAGGACTAAAACTAAAAAAATTAAGAGGTAAGATTTAGAGACAAAAAGAATATGAAATATGTGGAATAACAAATGATAGCAAAAGTATAGAAATAAAAATTTATTTCTATACTTAAATTTTATTTTATTTCTTATATTTTTAATTTTATGCATTTTTGTATTTTATGTTATATTTTATTTGTTTTATTTTATTTATATACTTTTGATTACATTTGTTCATTTGCTTCTCCAGACAATTATTCATATTCTTTTTTTGTCACTAAATCTTACCACATAACGTTGCCTATTGTATTCCGTTTATTTTTCATAATTCAGAAATTTCATCTCTTATTCTTATTCTTAACTAAGAATCACAGGAGTATTTTTTGAATTATAAAGTTTAAAGTGTTATAACATGATCAATGGTATGTTCACAAATAGAAAACATATACTCCTTATCATAAAGTATCGATGATGTGCACATAAAATGATAACATCAAGAAGAAAATTTCATAACAAAGAACTGGCAGAAATAGAGGAAAATTTCAAGAGGAATGAAAGTAGACTCTTTTACAATGCATTCGAGAGAAAAATTAAAGGGTACACTTCCCCAGGAGTGGTAATGCGGAAAAAATATGGAACTCTGGCCCTAAACAATGAAGAATATTGTGAAATTCTAGCAGAATATTTTGAAAACCTTCTAAACTGTGAAAAACCTAATGAGAAATTATTGATAGAGAAAAATACCCCACAGAACATAGTTCCAGACTCACCGGATGAAGAAGAAGTAGACGAAGTAATAACATCACTTAAAAATATACTATTTATTAAATAGGCCTCTGGTGAAGATGGGGTTCTAGCAGAAATATGGAAGTTGACAAATGACGGCTTCAAGAAGAAATTCATGGAAATAATTATGGACGTTTGGGAGAAAGAGGAAATACCAGAAGAATGGAAAACCATCTTAATATATCCTTTACATAAAAAAGGGCTCCGAAACCAATGTTATTAACTAGAGACCGGATTTTCGTGCAGCAAAAATCCGGAAAACGTGCAGTAAAAAACTCAAAATGTGTAAAATCATCAATATTGTTTAATTTATAACACTAATACATCGAAATATTATCAGATCTAAAGTTAACCGCGAGATAAAAAAAAAAAATTCAAATGTAACATTAAAAATGAAATTCCAGATTATAATCAACTATTATAATAATGATTATTATCAAATATAAAGAGCATTGAAGGTTTGAAAAAATAAATGAAGGCAGTAATTGTAGGTGCCTATGTATATATTACATAAATCAGACCAATTTTAGATATATAACTTTTATTAAAAATAATAATGAAAACTTTAATTTTTAATAGAGTTGAAGTTTCCAATATTATACATTCCCAAACGTTTTTGTTAAAATTTAAAGAATTTTGAAAAAAAAATTGAAATAGAATGTAATGTTTGAGATTTTCAAGTGTTCAGAAATTAATGTTGAAGCTGTTTTTCTATACCACTAAAAAAATTATTTTGGGGGATTACTTCTTCATTATAAAAACATTTAATTCTTATATTCGTTATAATTAATTGTTCCCCAATGAGCGTCTATCAGTGATTTCCTTTCACTTGATTGATTCATAGGCATATGTATTCATTGATTCATTTCAAATCGGGATATTTTTATATTCAGATTTTAATTTTTGACGGCAGACTAGATTTTACTTTCAGTAACATAAATTTTTTTTTTTTTATAAGAATGAAATTTCGACAAATTAGTTCAAAGCCAGAAGTGATACTGAAGGGTTGAACGATGAGTGAGGATTCAGGTCAAAACAATAAATATAAATGTCTTACTAACAAAGCAGTTAATTCTAGAAAAGCAGCTTTTTATTATCCGATACTTTAGTCAAGTTCTATTCCAAGAATAGATCTTACTTGTGTTTACGTCTTCCTTTTGTAATGAATACGATTTTGCTTCACACAGAATTATTTGCCTTCCTCATATTTTTCTATTTTGAATAATGAATTTAATTTGAACAATATAGTAAAATAAATATTAACACACTCACTTATACATTTGTATTTATAAATCGTCTAATTTAGCACAAAAGTGCAAAAATGTGCAATTTAATGCAACAAAAATCAAAATCGTGCAATTTAAGCCAAAAACGTGCAATTTCGTGCAATATAAAATTTAAATATGTTATTCTACAGGTTCTGAAACAGATAGATGTTCGGATCCGGAGTTTTTACACGCAAGCGAATAAAAAGTGCAATAACATGGAAATCTGGTCTCTATTAATAACTATATAGTAATTTCACAACTATAAGATCTTCTCTAAAGTCCTGCTGAATACACTGGAACGAGAAATAGATCACAAAATAGGAGAGTACCAAGCGGGCTTTAGAAAAGGAAGGTCCTGTCAAGAGCAAATTCTAAGCCTTAAACTGCTCATAAAATACTGCACTACCAAAAGGAAAAATCTTTACGTTTCCTTTGTTAACTTTAAAAAGGCCTAAGATTCCGTGGATAGAGAAACCTTACTAGAAATCCTAAAATAATATGGAGTAGACCAGAAAACCATAAATCTGATAAAACTGACTCTGACAGATATAAAATCTGAAGTGAAATTTCAGAGTCTTATAAGCAAACCTTTTCAGATAAAAACAGGGCTAAGACAAGGCGATGGCTTCTCTCCGATACTTTTCAACATAGTCCAGGATATAATCATGAAGGAATTCTGGATAATAGCTCAGGAGCCATATTAGGGAACAAAAACAATCACATAAAAGTGGGTTGTTTGGCATTTGCAGGCGATCTCGCACTTTTGACAGAATCAGAAGAAGGGGCTATTAGTCAAATAAATAACCTACCAATAATAGCAGAAAAAGCAGGCCTACAAATATCATGCAAAAAAACAGAGCTCATGACTACTGAAATAAATTTCAAGAAAAAAACAGTGTTTACTGTACTAAATATGGAAAAATAAAAGTGACCAGAATATTTAAGTATTTGGGGAAAATGGTATGTTATAACAGAGCTGAGAAAGAGAGCATCCGAGAGAAAATCACAAAATTAGAAAATTCAAGCTTTCAAACTGGCAAAATTTACAGCAAAAAGAACCTCTCCTCCAATGCAAAGTTAAGGCATTACAACGTTGTGATTTTATATGGGACGGAGACCACATGCATGCCCAGCTTGGAAAAGCTGCTAAAAATAGAAAGGAGGGACTTGAGGAAAAATCTATGGGCCCAGGAAAACACAAGAATGTTAAAGACGAATATCTAACGAAGAAATCTAAAGAAAAATCAAAAACCTGGAAACCGAGATAAGAATCAGACGGCTGATGTTCTATGGACACATGAAAAGGATGAAGGAGGAAATATTGAACAAAAAGATCTTTAACAAAATTTTTAGCTATGGTAGGATACATGAAGCAAATAAGAGAAGAATTAAAGAACCTTAAAATTTCAGATGCCGACTGCCTAGATAGAGACACATACTAAAGAAAGGAAAACACTGAAAAATCCCACCAATAAAAAGGTAGATGAGTTCAAGTTCTCTACTTGTATCTACCGCTTTAAATATTTTTTTTAAATGGATGAAAACCAGTTAATAAACATTATTAATCAGTTAGTCATTGATAAACATTTATGGAAAAAAAATATATATATACCGTCGATTGGTTTTATGACAAAACCTCTTCTTGGCAAATTATGCGGAACAAGATCAATTTGGCCTGAAGTCATGAACCTCGACACTTTCATTTCAGCCATCGTAGTCGTCACCTCACAATGGCAGGAGTCGAGTTTGTCTTTTGGACAGCTGGAATCATCCTGATGTTATTTACTTAAATAAGTTAATTATTATAAAATAAGTCATATTGAATATAATTTCTTTCTTTTACTTTACAAAAAAGACAATTATCTTAAACATAAAAGTAATAACATTACATATCTTCTTATAGTGACAATAATTATCTATCTATACCTTGCATAAATATTATCTAGGTGGTACATTGTGGTACACTTAGATGTCATAAAATTTTAACAAAAAAAATCTGATGCGCGCATCACACAAATTTCACTTACCATCCTACTTATAGTAAAAATAGTTATTTTCTTACATATGGAAGTGAAAGAAAAAAATTATAGACTGTATAATATATTAATTTAAAACAATTAATTACCATGTTATTTTATCACAAATCAAATCTATTAAATTTATAAATTTGTTTCATTTTCTTTTCATTTTATGACTGTTTATAATATGTAGTAGTATTTTAATGATTGTGAGCAAAAGATGATCTTTTGGAAAAATTCTCATCTTTTTCCATAATGTCCCTTTCTCACAAACCTCATATCAATATTAATATAACTTCAACATTTTGTGGGAAAATCTTTTTTGAAAATTATGTTTAAGTAAAATATAGCAGTTAAACTAATAATAATTAATATTAGGAAAGTTCCGTAGTGAATAGTTTAAATGGAGAGAAATTGGAATAGGTTTAGCACTTTCGGCTGTGTCCGATTTCCCAGTTTCTGTCTATTGCCTCCAATCTAGGGTTGAACCGAAAGTACTTGAGCATTCAACTCAAGAATAGTTCTCAGCTCCAGAATGTCATATACAGTCAAGAAGTCACTACTATATGTCAAATACAGAATCAATTATTTTTAGCAACTTCCCCATTACGTTTAGTTTTGGCATGTCACCGCTAAAACTGCCGACTAAACCTCTCCATTATTAGGTCCATATAATACCTAGTTTGGCATTTGAAATGCCATTATGATTACAGTTGACTTTTACAATTCATCATCAGAAAAATATATAAATTTTCTCAATTTCCCAAATGGCTTTTGATAATTCGAAACTTGAAAAATAATCCGAGCGGACATAACTAAGTAAAATATAATAGTTAAACTTACGATATGAAAACCTTATACAGATGAGTATCTGATATTTGTAAACGGAAGGGGATCGAGTGCCTCTTTGCTCTTTCTGTACGTCCTAATTTCCATCTTACTAAACATTATTTCTCTCTTAACTAATAACCAAATTTTTTTATTGTTTATATTTAATTATTTTTTATTATTAGCTACAATATGAAATGGTTAATTTTTAAGTTAAATTATTAAAGATAATTTAGAATAGAAAGGGTACTTAATATAAATAATATAAAATACAACATTCGGTTCATTAATTTTAGTGAAGAAATTACAGTAACACCATATGCATATACATATCTTAAATAACAAATTTAAATTTCGTGTAGTTACACAATGGACTTAATCCGTAACCGATTACATCTAGCTCTGCCATAAATACTGTTACAAAAATTGAAATTCGTTTACATCCTTGGGTATTATTTAGATAATCCTTACCCTTATCAGGTTATTTTCTTTACATTTCAGACTCACTTAACATGGACTAGGGTGATAAAAGAAACCTAATAGTTGTGATCGCCTTACACAAAGTTGGAAAATGTAGGTCAGAGATTTTCAACACTTTGAAACCTTTAAGTATCAGCCGTATATTCGTGTGCCGCATTATAAATAGATATAATCAGACTCTATCTTTATGTGACAGACTTCGACCGGGCCCTCCCCGCACTGTGAAAATGGCAAATGAAGCAAGAGCAGTGGCTCCTCGAATCAGAAGAAATCCCATTCGAAAACAACAAATCATGTTTCAGGAAATGGGAATCTCTGTCTGATCAATGTTATCAGACACGTGATAAAATGTGCCCTTAGGATGGGTGCATTTCGAAGAATGACAGGACAAAGGCTTCCACTTCCCTAAAAAAAATTAGAGTTGATAGATGCAAAGTGCTCCTTGGGCGTTACACCAATGGCCTTCATCAAAAGATTTTGATTAGCAATGAGAATATTTTTAAAATTGAAGACAAATTTAATCGCCAAAATGATCCAGTGTATGCACATAGCTTTAAAGAAGCCCAGGTCATTGGAAGAGTGGAAAGAGATCATCCCTTCAGGTCAACTATCAGGACGATATTTTGGAATCTGTTGTCAAGCCTCTAAAGGATACTCTGTTTGCTGGAAGTCATTGGCTTTTCCTGCAGAATCCCGCTCCAGCTCACAAGAACAAATCAACTCAGCAATGGCTGCAAAAGAATAATCCAGAGTTCATCTCTGCCTCGGATTGGCCTCAGGAAGCCCTGATCTCAAGCCACTATATTATCGGCTTTGGTCTGAACTGGAGAGGATGGCACACCTTGGAAAGCCTCAAACAATGTCTGGTCTGAGCAGCTGAGTGCTTTCCTCAAGAAGTGGTGGGTGCTGCTATTGATGACTGGCTACGGAGATTAAATACCTGTGTCAAGACAAAAGGGAACATTTTGAGTAATTTCTTTTTTGTTTTACTCTCTATAGATATAAAGGAAGGAGATGGTCCAGGGTGGCGGTCATAAATAGGCTATTTATGACACTATTTAGCCTATTTATGACCGCCACCCTGGACCATCTCCTTCCTTTATAATGCAACGGCCAACTATTAAATATTCAATATGTCTCTATAGATATACATTTTATTTTCTAATAAAGTTTTTGAAAAAAATAATTTTACTCTTGAAATCTTTATATATTTCCTTGTAACAATATTTATGACAGGAATAGGTAATAATAGCAAAATTTAATCCCCATTTAAACAATTGAGCTTATTGAATGTGATACTTGTTGAATCATTTATTTGTAATTCCGATAACTAGAAGGACAACGCTATTTGATAGCCGAGAACTAGTTATCTAAAAGCAACAGAGTATAATAAGACTCTTTACAGGACTTAGGGAACAGTAACAGATTTCGGCAAAACATCTCATTCTCACAAACCTCTTATCAATATTAATATAATTTCAATATTGATAACTTCCTTTGTAGCCCTCTTCTGACTTCTCTCATACTCTCTACTATTTCTGGATATATTTACTCCCATGGTGATTAGAAGAAATCACTCTTGCACTCAAACTCTTGTCAGCAGAAATAGATGCATGATTTTGATGTCATACTCTTGTAGGAGACGTGGAGTTGACACTAGTAGTCAACCCATATAATTATAGTATAATCCAGTTATTAAGATGACAAATGTAACAGACATTTTAAATAAAAGTGGTACTTCTAAAATCCTCACTATCTGCAATTCCTTAACTGTACGACTTTTCGTTTTGAGCTAGGCTGTTCACAAAAAACATACTCAGAACATTTTGCAAGGCTTCATTATTTGGATTCAGAAGATTTCAAAACATGTGTTTCTGTCTAAAACTCTAAATCAAAACTTTTCAGGATCACAATACTTTTATAACAAATATATTTATTTAAAATATAAAAATATGTATTTTTAAAACAAAAAAAAATTAAATAAATAAATGATAAATTACTAAAAAAAAGATTTGTTCCTTAATGGTTAAATATATTTATGATACTTACCAATAACTTCCAGGCCCTAAACAATCAAATGCAGGAGCGTGTCTGAAAGCAGGGATTATAGATTACAAATTATTTTTCAAAAACTAATTTCAAATTACATAATCAAGATGAAAGATGCTAAACTTCAAATTTCATCATCTGAAGCTTATCATGTTTGACATATATCATATAATTGTTCACATCATTTATATGCCGATGACACCCAAATCCATTCTACCTTTCATCCTTCTGAGCTACTAGTCGCTTTCGCCAATATTCAGGCAGACCTAGATAGGATCAGTGCCTGGACAAGTCTGAATAATTTAAATCTAAACGCGATGAAAACTCAGGCCATTATTATAGGTTCCAGTCCTATTCTTAAATCCATCTCCTCCCTTCCTCCTTTAGTCATCAACGATCATCCTGTCACATTCAGTTCCTCCGTTAAAAACCTAGGAATCACCATAGACGAAAACCTCTCCTGGAAACCCCATATCACCCTCATCTCCCGTAAGTCAATAGGAACCCTTAAGCTATTTCATCGCACCCGCCACCTACTCCCACAACCCATCCGCAAGCTCCTTGTATCCTCTCTCATTTTCCCCCATTTTGACTACGGCTGTGTGGTGTACGGAGGCATCCCGATGGTACTCGAGGATAGATTGAAGCGACTCATGAATACGTGCTTAAGATTTGTCTTTGGTACTTCAAGGCGGTCTCATGTGTCCCACCTTTACGACGAGTTAAAGTGGCTCTTCCCTTCTTTCCGCAAACAATATTTCCTCGGATCTTTCCTATTCCAAACAATCAACACCAGACATCCTTCCTACATCTACAGTCTCCTACAGTTTAAACCCGTGGTCCACTCTCAGAAAACAAGATCCCGCGTTTCCGACCTTTATATCCCTTCCCATAGAACTAAGGTGTTTGAATATTCCTTTATTGCCCGATCCACAGCCTTCTGGAATTCCTTGCCATCTGAAATCCGCCATGCCTCTTCCTTATCCTCATTTAAATATCATCTCTACCAGTTCCTTCTCACGTCCCAAAATGACGTTATACAATAAAATAAATATAGCGAAACAGATTTTGACTAAGGTGAATGGTTGATAAAATTGATTGAGTTTTAATTTTAAAAATCAACCCATGCTTATTTTTTATTATTTTTTTTTTCATTTAAATAATGTTTTTTTTTTTTTTAATTTCGTTTTTTCAAAAATTTTATTTTATTTTTACTTGTTTTAATTTAATTTCACTGAAGATACTGTATATATTCTTTAATATTGATTAATGTAATTTTTGGCCAGATGTAGTTTTTATTTTTTGTTCATATCTGTTATTCATAAGGGACCTTGTCCTAGAATAAAGTTTACTTTCTATCTATCTATCTATCTATCTATAATAATAATGAATTTATTTATATATATATATAATAATAGAGCAATTTTACAAATGCCTTTATGGCATATTTTATATATGTGATGTTCGTTGGCGAACCTCCTCTCCGGGATTAGCATGAATGCGTGATTGGATATATCATATAGTCTGATAAATAACAGATTATAAAACAGTCGATAAACTTTAAAGACCTGTTGGTATCTTAGCTAGATCTTATTCTTTGAAGAATAGTCTCTTTAAAAGGTTCTAAATGAAGAAAATTAATAAATCAGATTTTCAGCATAAAAATGTTCTTTTTTACCTAATCTGAAGAGTTGTGCTGAATTCTGTAGGTAGATTTTCTAACTAACTGTATATTGTCTAATTTAATGTAAGAATTCTAACATGTTAATTTGGTGATAGGTAAGAAATTTCTTTAATTCCTGTTAAGTTTAAAGGATTGTTAATTAGGATGTTTTGAGTTGGAGCAATAAACCTATTAAAATCAAATTGAAATTCCCCTATAAATAAATACGAAGAAATGCGGAACAGAGAAAATCCTTATAATAATAAAAAGTGTATAGAAAAAATACACATATTAAAATTATATGTTACAGAATAAAATTTTGATCATTGCAAAAATTCATAGTCATAATTATTTTTTTTTGGAGCTAATTATTCGATTAACAGAGCGGCATCATACAAATTATATTTATTTCAACTATTATTATGGAATATACCAATGAAAATCTATTATCTATCTTAACACGATGGGTAATTTACAGCTGGGTTTGCAATTGATAATGAAAAAAAGAAAAATCATCAAATGATTTAAAAATTTCAGATACGAATTTTGATCGGATTTTATTTTATTTTTATTTTTTTCATTATCAATTGCAAACCCAGCTGTAAATTACCCATTGTGTTAAGATAGATAATAGATTTTGATTGGTATATTCCATAATAATAGTTGAAATAATTTTTATTAAGAGCAATTTTCATTTTTGATGATAAATAATAAAAATCATATTCTGATTACTATTTTTGAACAAAACTTTTACAATTAACAATAATAATAATTTTTGAGTAATAATTTTTAAATCAGAATTTAAATTTTTTTTTTTTTGTATATTCTCTGTGATATATTTTGAGTGTGAAGTAGTAAAAAATATTGGTGCCAACTATTAGTAACTGAACATCTTTATTTCTAAAATTCATTAGAAATTTAGGCATAAAATAATATATATATTTATTTTTTTTTATATCAAAATTTCTAATGAATTTCAGAATATATATATACATACATATATATATTCGGTTGGCTCTACAGATCTTGTAGATGTTTGGCTGCGTCAAACAGCCTTCTTTAACTCTGCCTATGATCCCCTACTGCTTTCCAGTTTGTGGCATGAAGCTCAGCTGTATGTATCTTTGTTTATTGATGCTATCTGTCTATCTGTTTTTTTCCCTCTCTTGTGGTTGGTCTCTTTCCTACTACTCTGGCATTCATTGTTGTGTAAAGGCGTACTGATGGATTGCTTTGAGCTACATGCCCTACCCATATTAACCTCCTTGCCTTCATATCATGAGATATTGACTGACCAGTTTCTTTAAGCAGTTATTTATTATTCCCTCTCCTCCATGTGTTAAGGTCCTGATCCCAGATAGGTTCTGTTTATCGTATGAAGAACTTTTCTTTCAAATCTCTCAAGCCTATCTTCTAGTGTGCCGGTTAGAGCCCACGTTTCACAGCCAAGTACAGCAGAACTAGCTTAATCATGGTGTTGAACACCCTTACTTTAAGATTTTTCTGGATTTGAATACCCTTGAAAGAGAGGAAAAAGCTCTGTTTGTGCTTGTTATTTGCTGGTATATCTCTGTTAGTTGATGATTTATTGATGTTATTGTGAAGCCCAAGAATTTGAATCTGTCTACTTTCGAGAATGACTTCAAGTCCATGCAGATCCTGCTACTATGTTGGATTTATCAGCTATCATATACTTTGTTTATTCTTCACGGACTTGTCCAATTTGCTCTTCTTCTTGCATCAGAGTTCAAGCAAGTCTCTCAATATCCTCTTGATTGCTTCTGAATACAGTTATATTATTCGCGTTTGCTAGGATTTTGTGTTTCATTCCGACGTGCACCTCTCTATCTTTACATAATGTTGTTCTTATTACTTTCTCTACGGCTGACTTGAACAGCATCGGCAAGAGTACATCTCCCTGCCTTAAACTAGTGTACTCCTTCCTCTCCTGATTCTTACTTGGCTATTGTCTGTTATGTTTTCATAATATGGACATATCCAATTTAGCAGAATATTAGTAATTATCTTATAGGCAACTGGAAGAACTGCTATGCCTCTGTAATTACTACCTTCTTACATGGAGCCCTACTGCTTTAGCCCTTCTTTTCATACATTTAGCCCTTTTTTATGTAATATTGAATCACCCAGTGAGTGATCATTATTTTTAATCGAATCAATAAATTTCAGAGATAGATTTAAATTTTTATTTATAAATCAGGAATGATTTTAAAATTAAAAATCAAATATAATAATTATTACATGATTTTGTAGGAAAAGTAATTATCTATTTCAAATCCTGGTTTACATCAAAGAATAGGAGATACACTAGGATATTTTAGCAGATTTAGGAGTAGTATCTTTTATTTCAGTTAATATCTTGAAATCGGTCGCCATCTTGAAGTAGAGAAATGGAACTAGTACTAAAGAAAATTATAGGATTACCATTCTCTACTTAATTAAAATCAAAGATGGAATTAATCGAGTCAGTTTTAGATCCGAAAATTAATACCAGACGTATTATTATTACTCAATTACACAAGTAATGTGTAATATGTAATTGTAACCAATTTGGTAAAAGAAAACATACCTCTTTGCTCCAAAGAGCTAATATATCAATTTGATGGTACTTACGTACTCTCTTCGAGGCAGATGGCCTCGTCAATTTGGAGCCCATCGTAGTTGCTGACCGCTGATGTCCAGTCTGACCAGAAGGATTTCACGATCGGTGCCTTCGAGGTCACCTCTGATGGATCCTCGCAGAACTTACCTCGAACAGAAATGATACTATCTATTATTTATTATAATAAGCTTAAAATACTCGTATTATGTATTAAACTAACTCCGACGAAAATCCTGTCCATCAGTCCACTTTAATTCCACCCAGCTTCCTTTTTCTGACACAGTCTTGGCTTCTTGACTTTATCTTAGACCGAAGACTAACGTGGAACCCACATACTAATTTTTTTTATTATGATATTTACAACTGTATTAGTATAAATACATCAAGTAAATGAGTACACAGGAATATATTCACATAAAACACGCTTGCTGAGAAACTGCCCATTGGTAGTACTCTAACAATATGTCTACATTAGGAGATCACGAGGCCACCTTCTTATTAGACGCCTCGGAGTGTTATCAGGAATCGAAGAGGAAGCAAGGTTAGAAACAAGAGGATTCGGTACATGGTCGGGTGGTCGAGTACATGGTGGGGCTAAGGTCGGGTGCATGGTGCATAAATATACCCTGTAAATTTTATTGCTCTCCTCTTCTTAAAAACAGTGTAAGCGAAAGTAGGATTTGAAAAATAGTAGATCATGTACAATTAAATATGATGTAGAGATGGTTGACCGTTGATATAATATGAGAAGGAGTTAGTCGAGGGTGCGGACAAATAAATAAAAAATTATATTATATTAATTATTTTAATTTTTGCCGACGTTTCGACCAACTTTGCAAGTCGTCTTCAGGGCGTAGGATGTGGCACTGCGGGAGGCAGTTGAAACACTGAAACACTGCTGCTCAGTGTTTCAACTGCCACCCGCAGTGCTACATCCTACGCCCTGAAGACGACCTGCAAAGTGGGTCGAAACGTCGGCAAAAATTAAAATAATTAATATATTTTAATTTTTTATTTATTTGACTGCACCCTCGACTAACTCCTTCTCATACAATTAAATATGTTTCCCCTTTCAAAAATTCAAAACCCCGTTGATTTGTGCCCCCTTCAAAACTTTTGATGGCACAACTTGCGCCATGCAACCCTCTTCTGGGCACCTTTGGTACCGACAAAAAACACCTTCGGAAAATAATATAAAGAAACGATACTGAATTAGTTCCCATATAGACCAATTCACTTTTTCAAATAATCTTAAATCAAATAATAAACTGCTGTTGTTAACCATAAGGATACTTATAATAACAGAGCTCTTCTGAAGAATAATCAGTTTGGTTTTTCTCAACAAATGTTTTTATGGACAATTTATGTTACTTTTATTAATGGGCCAATGTCGAAAACAATTTTAAGACATAATTCGTTGCCGTGATATATTTTTTTTCTTTTGTAAATACGCATAAAAAGTACTGCCTCTTAAATATGGGAAACGATTAAAGTCAGTTTTGCAATTTATAAGGAAATGACTTAGTGGCATATATTATCCTAAGTAAAATTGACAGCGAACGGCCCTGCCGAGCCAATGCAGGTTTTTAATATTATCACATTATCGGCTAAATGGGAAGTGACGTTCACTAACAAGGCGTTCGAATGCAGGCGAAGCGAGGCCGTGAAAGGCGGAGGGAGACCTGTTTAGCAATGGCGGTCTCTTTGAGGACCGATAATTGTCTCTCCTTGTTTATGGTATGTACCGATGTGCATTTATAAGTGTCTATATGCTTAAATATGGCTGTTAAGTACCGATGGTTGACTGTAAAAGTAAAAAAAAAAAAAAAAGAAGTAAACAGCACAGCATAAGTTCTTATTTTCGCTCATTTTTGTTTGGAAAACTTTAAAGTATCAAAGATTGCCTGAAAAATTTATAATGTTTTGGATTTTTAATGCTATATTATTCTTGTACGAATTTAATCTATCAAAAGAGGCGGAGCAGGAAAAAAAAAGTTAAAGACACCAAAAAAGGCACTTGTTTAATTCTAACTAAATTCACGGATGATTTCTTTGAAATGAACTCGATTTGGAGGAGTTATCATCAGAAGTGCCCATCCCCTCCCAAAGGTCGATGACGCATGAACCATCCCCCTCTCTCCAGAAATTATATTGCTTTCCCTCTTCTTAAAAACAGTGCAAACGAAAGCAGAATTAGAGAATCAAAGATCATATATCATTACAGCAATTTTTTTTTTGTTTCCCCTTTCTTGCCTTTTTAGGCTACACAGGTTTTTTATCGGTCCGGAAGAGGGAGGTCGCCGTAGATTTATGCCGAGTTAAAATTCCCACCGGTTACCGGGATTTGAACTCTTAATAATTTTCCATCTAACTTCGATTTTCAGGTTGCCGGGGAACGCGTGTTGTTGTGTGCACGTACTAGCTCACTCGGCCACTCCGCCGCCATCATTGCACTAGCTATAGTCCCTCCCATGTTTCCTCACTAGATCTCTGGTTTGAATCATTCACTCCGAAAATTCACAACCCCTAGAAATGTGCCTCCCTCAAACATTCAAAATGTGCTCAAAAATTTGATGGAGCAATTTGCGACATGAAACCCCCTTCTGTTCACTTCTGGTTGTCATTATTTCGTTTGACTCCAATGGTGCATAGTTTGTTTATTATCAATATTCTCTTTTTTTTCGGTTGGTGGTATAAACTATTTAAATTTTTATCTATTATGTTCTTCTTACAAACGTATATTCCTTTCGGGAGTACAGATAGTCTGGAGAGGGTCACCCAACCTCACGTTGCTACAGACCATGGTCTCCACCGAAATGCCACTCGTAGCTCCAATCTATCCTTTAGGGCCAATCTGCTCTACTCAATGACTCATTTGTTTCATGAACTGTAGCAAATCGGTCTAGTTCGATGGATTATGGCTACTCAAGTCAACTGACACTCGAGAACCTATATTTCTTTTCCTGAATCAGACCATCCATGGACCAAACTTCGGGGGGAGAAGAGAAGCCTACTGACATGCTGCAAAACCACATCGAGATTGCCGAATACAGTACACGGAGTAGAGTCATCACTCCTAATTGCTGACGGTACTCACAAACACAAGGAACGATAATGTCTCGAGCAGCTAGATTTTTCTTGGGATACGGTCACTCATTCAAGTAGTTTCCCAGAGTAGGAAGGTCTATGTTTATTCTAAACCTCACAAAATCTCCGCTTTCCTAGCACGATTGACCAACATAACACAACTTCATTGCGGCAAAGCGTATATTAATGATATGAGCGTATAAATTATATATAAACATACCGGTTGCCTATCCTTGCAGTTGGGGTCGCATTGCACTAGTGCGAGTCCGAACAGGTTCTTAGCTGCGCAACGAGCAACCCCGCACACGCTGTGGGTGGAGCAGATGGACTTGGGCATCGGAGCTCGGTAGCATGTCAGGAAACCTAAATTGAAACAGCGCCATCAATAAGAATTTCATTGATTACACAAATCGTCCATTGTTTTTTTGTTACCAAAAAAGGACACTCTAATAATAAGCATATTAGTTAAGTACGATGAACCTTGAACCGGATACTGCGTTCGCTGAGCCAGCTGCCTGGTGCAGTCGCACGGATCGTTCATGGCGGCCATCATGGTGGGGTCGCAGAGCCTCCTGTGCACGCGAGCGCTGCTGTTCACCATCGGCAAGGCCTCCTCGAACGTGCATTCGTACGGTCTGGCTTTGCGCAAAGGGACCGAGCAGAATTCCCAATTGCGCACTGTTGCGCAGTCGCATGTTCCGAGGTACACTTCTGCTACGTTGTCGCTGTTCAGATCACCTGTTATAGAAGAAGAACGGAATTCCAAGAACACCTAAGGAATAAAATGAAATTTGATTTTAAATTTTCAACTGCAGTCATAAAATACAACATGTATATATAAAATAATATCTAATTTTTTAAATTTATAAAACTGTTATAATCACTTTTAGTACTTCAATAACTATTTTAAGCAAGGAGTTCACGTGTTCATCTTCATTTTAGACGCCTCGAATTGTTGATGGAAGTAACATAGGGCTGAAAGGTTACGAACTTGTGAGTTAGTTTAGGTAAGTTGCTTTTGACTGAAGAAGATATACCTATTTCTGGCGAAATTGAGAAATGAGATGTTGAGGTCTTTGTGGGTAATAGAATATAATATAATAGCAAACAAACCTTATTCTGGGACAAGTTTCCTTAATAATAACAATTATGAACAAAAAATAAAAATCATATCTGTTCAAAAACTACATAGATAAAAATTAAAGAATATATACAATATCATCAATGAAAATGTATGAGCAACATAAAATAAAAACATTTTGAAAAAAACAAAAACATTAATGAAATGAAAAGGAAAACAGAAATCAGAGAAAATAAAAAAACTAAATGTTATAAGCACTATGAATTGATTCTTAATATTTAAACTTTTAACAATTTCAACAACCATTTACTTCAGTCAAAAGTTATTTCATGATTGTATATCATTGTATCATTTTGGGATGTGAAAAGGAATTGGTAGAGATGGTATTTGAATGAGGACAAGAAAGAGGCATAACGGATGTCAGATGGCTAGGAATTCCAGAAGGCAGTAGATCGGGGAGTAAAGGAATGTTCAAATGTTTTAGTTCTATAGGAAGGGATATAAAGATCGGAAAACGGTTTCTTGTCTTCTGGGAGTGGACTACGGGCCTGAACTGTAGGAGACTGAATACGTAAGAAGAGTGCCGGAAGTTGATCGTTTGGAATAGGTAAGATCCAAGTAAATATTGTCGGCGGAAGGAAGGGAAGAGCCACTTAACTCTTTGTGAAGAAGGGAAACATGAGACCGCTCGGAAGTACCGAAGAGAAATCTTTTTTTTTTTTTTTTAATTTCTTAATGACATTTACAACTGTATTAAATAAATACATCTAGTAAATTTGGACATAATAGATATAATGACATGAAAACACTTGCTGAATAACTACCTAATGGTAGCACTCTAATGAGTGCCCCATAGTGCCCCTTAGTGGAGCCCCATAGCTCAACTCCGTAAGTCCAAATAGGTCTTATTATAGTCAAGTATATGAGTCTTTTGAAATTAATGGGAAATTTAGAGCGTTTTAGTAAGTGCTGAAGTAATCGGAAACGTCGAGCGGTTTCTTGTCGTTTCAGTCTAGTATGAGGATTCCAAGTTAGTCGTTTGTCCAGGTGGAGTCCAGGTATCGGATTTGCTCAACAGGGATAAGTGGAGTATTGTTAAAGGAAACTGTAGGACAGGCAGTCGTTGGTTTACTACGAAGGGTTAAGACAAATCTTAAGAAGATGTTCTGATATTATTAGTTACGTAATAAACAACATTGATAATTCTTCTAAGGATTTTGTTTTAGATATGAGAAAAATTTAATGCTTTTGTAGAGCCTCTTAACATCACAATGAAGCCATAAATAGGCCTGATAATGGCAATTAAAATCAGCTATTTGTAGTAAATAAATCGGAATCTAATATCGGTTCTTTCGCGCTTCAGTAGTATATGAATTAGTCAAGATGGAATCCTTTTTAACGGATCTATTCGACAGAGACTACCTCTAGCATCAAAGAAATGTGTTGTTTGTAAACCTCATCTAAATATTTTAGCAGTAGCAACAGAACGGAATGAATCTCTGCCTTCCCACTTTTGTTAGAATAGGTTTGGTTGTTGTTAGCGGACCCTACACGATCAGTCATGAATGACAGTCAGAAAACTGACTAAGATTGCTTCAATCGTGATGGGCCCCACGTGTATCAATCAGACTGATGCTATTTTAGCTCAGTTGACATTGAGATAATAGGCAGTGTGGTTCTGTTACATTATCCATTATTAATATGTTTCATTAAAAGAAACTCATTTACCATTTTGGGCATCAAGAGAAAAGTGGATGTAAGATGGATGCTAAGAAAAATAAAAACTGGTGAAGTAACAATGTCTTCCATCTTTACACTATAAAGGGGACCCTACACGGTCAATCGGAATTGCACTAATGACGTTCCGAATTGTGTAAGGTAGTGAATGAAGTACTGATGGTGGTGTGCTGCGGATTTCCGAACATCCGGAAATCAAAGGTTCATTCAAGAGAAGTGGAGGGGGGACTGAGGTAAAAGTAGTGGGGAGACTAACCATACTGCTGGATAGGTTAGGTTACCTAGTTCTCACAACCATTATAAATTTCTGATTTTCATTATAAGTAAATAGTTAAATAATTTTTCATATCCTTTGTTTATAATTTTAAACCATCTTCAACTATTTCTTTTAAATAGTCAAGTGGGCAACAAATTAAAAAAAAAATGAGGAAACTTCACAATTTACTTTAAGAAAAAAAAAACTTTAACGTTGTGTATATTTATCAGTTCTTTTCCCATTTTCCTCAACAAATTTAGCAATACCTTTCCTTAATTTTTGTAAGTAGTAGACTTATATTTTACTAACTTTTGTCAAAACGATTTTCTATGAGACTAACCTTACTACTAGATAGGTTAGTTTATCTAGGTCTCGTTATTAAGTAAATAGTTGTTTATATCCCTAGTCTATATTATTATTAACCATTTTCAACTAGTTTTTCTTTAAATAGTCAAGTAGGCAATAAATTGGAGAGAAAAAAAAGTGGAAACTTCACATAAGTAATGATCAGTAATGATTGAACGTGTAAGGGTCTTCATGATCAAAGCGATAGCGGGCAATCTTGGCACTTCTTGTGACGTTCATTCATGAATTACCGTGTAGGATCTGCTTAATCTGTTATATAGAAGCCAACAGAAGAAAATACACCTTTATTAGAATGAATTTCCACGAGCAGTGGGGATATCTTGCTAGGACATTGAAGAATACGATACCTTTTGGAAGTTGACGTCTGATTGGGAGTTGGACTATTTATTGCCTGTGATATTATTTTACCAAATTTATTAATTTAACAGATTAAAGTGTGAACATAGAAGACATAGTTCCTTCACCAGTTGTTCGAACTACTGTTTCCTCAAATCAGTGTAGCCGAAGGGAATAGAAAAACCGAAAGGACTTATTTGCCAATCCAATACAAGAAGTATTTTAAGCCTTCAAAATTCGAACTAGCTTATGGCAAGGATATTGAGTCTAGCCGACGCTGTTCAACTTAGCGCTGAAGAAGGTGACCTTAAAAGCAACGAAGAAGTCATTGGGGAACTCGTTAAGACTTTGTTAAGAGAAGCAGAGCAAATAAACGGAGCAGCCTACAAGTAAATGGAGGCAAAGCAAAACTTATGACTTTTTCCTATTTATTATTTTATATCAAGTGTTCCGAATTTTATATTAAATGATTACGACCACTCATTACTCACTGAACAGAAGCTCTGGCCGATTTCGACGATGGTGCAGAATTGCAAGTTGAGCTGGCCAATGATATCTTCGACGTTGTAGTTAGTCGTCGGAGGCGCCAGCAGATCCTGCTTCGTTCCGGAGAACAACAAGCCCGTTATCAACAAAAGCAACATACTTAACCATATTATGGCGTTATCGAAGGCACTGCCGGGTCGTTGCTATAGCAACCATAGCCTTCTCGATTCTCGGATCTTCAAAGAGGTTCAAGAATAATCTGGAAGCATTGAGATAATTGCCTGTCGGGGAGTGATTAAGAAAAAAAAAAAATAGAGCCAATTTCGTAATATTGAAAACCAGAAAATATATCTAACTATAAATAATTTTTCAAATGAACATATTTGCAAATTATTATTATTATTATTCTGAAGTATTCAATAAATGATCAATGCTAACAATAATTATTCAAAATTCATTTTATTTTCGACAGATGGCTAAAGAGCATTCAGAAAACTAAGGTTAGATTATACGAAATGTATAACAATGCACCTCCATATGTTTGAACCAGTTTACAAATATTTTTTTACTTGAAATACTTCCGTCGTAACACTAGGGTAATGCGACATCGGACAGTGTGAGTTTTACATACTTTATACTTGTTACATACTTGAATGAATGGATCAGCGTATATTGACACATGTGAAACGAGAACGGATATAATAATAATATGTGTGGAGAGGTTATTTATGTCGCTTATGCAAAAAGGCAGTCGAATCAACTCAACATGTAACATCGGGATGTACAATACTTGCGGGTAAGGAATACTTGCAGAGACACAACAATGCAGCTAAGATATTGCATCAACCTATGGCTCAGAAAATGGAACTCTTGGATAAATATAGTCCGTATTATAAATATTATCAAGAACCAATCATCTCCATGCGCAATGTAAAGCTGTTCTGAGATCAACCAATCCTGACAGATCACACCATCCCTCACAATAGGCCTGACATTGTTATAATAGATGAAGGTGAGCAATCTGCGCTTTATCATAGAGATTGGCGTTTCTTCTGATGATAACCTACGCAAGGTAGTAGCGGAAAGAGAAAGTACGCAGAATCAGCTGAAGAGATAAAACAATTGTGTCGTTTAAAGGAAACCCGAATTCTGCCAATTGTGATATAATGCAACGGGCTGATACAGAAGGAAACTAGATTTACCAACTCGGAGATCGAAAAATGCATCAAGCAGTGTTGTTGGGAAAAGCAAGCATAGTCAGGAAGTTCACAAATATTAAAGAATTATGAAAATATATAAATGTAAGTTTTGGCTGACCTATAAGGTCTCCAACTATTACTTATTATAAACACCATTTTATATGTGAAAAATAAAGAAATAATAACAATACTTTATTTATTCTGGGACAAGTCCCTTTAGGATAATACAGAGACAGAAATGTGGGTTTCAGAGCCTCAGATAACTATCACAAACAATTAAAACGAGCAGACATAATAAATAAAAAAGTATATAAGTTATCTTCTAACTTCTCAAGTAAAAAACAAAATTAAATGTTAAAAAAATGTTAACATTATGTAATGTTATAGCTCTGAATTTTTAAGATTGGAAAGTCTGCTTAATTTTGGTAAGCTGTAGTTTGAAATTTATTAGGTTTACCAATCTTATTCTAGTCTCAAATATTAATCAATTTAAAAATATTTTTATCGAAAACGTGTTCCTGGTGAAATTATGAAAATATAGCAGTTTTTGGAATAGTGATTCGTAGGGCAGTCGAGATCGAAAATTTGTTTTTTTTTTTATCTCAGTCACATCCCGTACAAAAAGAAAAACATCTGCCAAGTGAGGCCAGTATAGCTTCCTCACCATTTTCATTGGTTCCAGACTTACCTATACTAAAAAAATACATTTGCGTTTGCGCAACCAGAAGTACTATGTGGAATTTAATGAAATTGATGTGGGATCATCAAGGCATCAACCCGCAAAATCCATGAAAAATTTATGAAGATCGGATAAACGGTAGTAGTTGATATGCCCTTCACATCGATTTGACTACAGACAGAAACCGAACAAAATTTGATTCTTGCTGTCAGAAAGGTAAAATGAGAGTTGAAATTTTCTATTCTGAGGCCTTACCAGACGATTCGGTCACTTCTGCCGGGTCTTTTGCAGATTAGCTCCGCTAGTTATTACTTTTACTTACTTATATATGAAATATATAATAAAGGAACGTATTGCGATCGTGAAAATTTTTGAATCTCAGTTTTCAACGAAAATACACATTTTGAGGTTCTCTGAGTCCAAATAACCAAGTTCCACAAAATGTTCTGAGTATGTGTGTTAACAGTCCAGCTCAAAAACGAAATTTCGTACGAAAGTGAAATTGCATATTTAAGGTTTTTATATGCCCCGGATATTACAGAAACTTTTTCGTCAAAATCGGCTAACAAGAAGTGGTACTTTAAATCATCGATTTTTTAAAAATAGTAACCTGTTAAATAACGCGATCAAAGAAAAACACATGATTAAATTATTTAATTATTATTGACCTATATAACATCATTGCAGATAAAACTGCAGTACAGTGTTTGTACGAGGATCCTCGTATTTATATGATGTTATGACGTAATGTACGAGGTGCGAGGATAGATCAGCCTCGTACCTCGTACATAAGTTTTGCTGACGTTTGCAATGCAAGGTTATATTTTTATGAATGAAGTTTAGAATTGTTTTACGTTACTTTGACTGTATTATTATTTGTGTTGATATGAAATACTGAACTTCTGTTGCTTTATAGACAAATAACTTGCAATTATATCTTCTTTAATTAGAGTATGATTATTATTTCCTTCATAAGGGGACCGTACACGGTCAATCGGAATTGTACTAATGACGTTCCGAATTGTCGTGTAAGGTAGTGAATGAAGTACTGATGGTGGTGCGCTGCGGATTTCCGAACATCCGGAAATCAAAGGTTCATTCACGAGAAGTGGAGGGGGGACTGAGGTAAAAGTAGTGGGGAGACTAACCATACTGCTGGATAGGTTAGGTTACCTAGGCCTCACTGCCATTATAAATTTCTGATTTTCATTATATGTAAATAGTAATAAAATATATCCCTTGTTTATAATTTTAAACCATCTTTAACTATTTCTTTTAAATAGTCAAGAGGGCAACAAATTAAAAAAAAAATGAGGAAACTTCACAATTTACTTTAGGAAAAAAAAAACTTTAACGTTGTGTATATTTGTCAGTTCTTTTCCCATTTTCCTCAACAAATTTATTATTTTCGCAATACCTTTCCTTAATTTTTGTAATTAGTAGACTTATATTTTACTAACTTTTGTCAAAACGATTTTCTACGAGATTAACCTTACTACTAGATAGGTTAGTTTACCTAGGTCTCGTTATTAAGTAAATAATTTCATAAAAGTAAATAGTTGTTTATATCCCTAGTCTATATTATTATTAACCATTTTCAACTATTTTTTCTTTAAATAGTCAAGTAGGCAATAAGTTGGAGAGAAAAAAAAGTGGAAACTTCCAAATTTACTTATAGAAAAAAAATCTTTAACTGTTGTGTTTATTTGCCATCAATTTTCCCATTTTTCTTAACAAATTGATTATTTTCGCAATACTTTTCATAGATTTTTGTATATAGTTGACTTATATTTTGGACTAACTTTGGTCTAAACGATTTTCAGGCACTAAGAAGTAATTATTATAATTCCGTTTATCTCTTGATACCCAATATTATAAATGACAATGTCCAAATAAGCTTATCTATGCTGTTTCTTTGTTTACAACTGCGCTAAATTGGTCAGCAAAGATCTAACCTAAATCAGCAACGATAATAATGATCAGTAATGATTGAACGTGTAAGGGTCTTCATGATCAAAGCGATAGCGGGCAATCTTGGAACTTCTTGTGACGTTCATTCATGAATTACCGTGTAGGGTCCCCTTTAAAACCATGATTGTATATATATGTTTTTTTTTAATTTTCTAGAAAATAAAATTAAAAGAAAAATATTTTAGAATTTATTCAGTATAAAATAAAATATAAGAAACCATATCCATTATTTCCTTCATAAAACTTTTTTTAAAAATATTTGTTTTTTAAAATGTGTTGTAAAAGAAAACTAAACAGAAATTTTGACCGTCATTTTTATCGAGCATAAAATAAAATAAAGAGAAAGTATATCCATTATTTCCTTCGTAAAACTGCAATGGTAAATATAATCTAGATAAATTGAATTTTTTTTAAAATTATTACCATAATTTAAAAAAAATTATTTTCGATTTTTAATCGAGTAAAGTAATTAATTGAAAAGTTAAATAGTATTCATAATGAACCCATCTTAAATAATGAAAAAAAAAAATATTTTTTCAGTGGTCCACATTTATTTTGTGCGAAATATAATTGTAAGCTAAATACTCAAACAATCACAATCTATTATTTTTTTATATTATAATGAATATCTCTAAAAGCATCAATGCCCTAATAATTAATTTTTATTAGCCTTCCAGACTTCTTGACCCATTAACTTAAAAAAAAAAGCAATGTAAAAAGGCTTTAAAATATATGAATAGAGGTAAAAATAAAAAGCTCTGATCTAATTTTACTATAAAAAAAACAATAACAATGGGCTTATAATAGTACAAGTTATGAATGAACAAGCGTACGAGGATGTACGAGGCTTGAGTACGAGGTTCTGTCACAGAGCGCGCGGTAACACTGCTGCAGTAGGCTCGTTTTGCTCCCATGGCCAAAACTCTTTAAGTCACACGAACGTCATTAGATGTCCTTTAATACAGAAGCGCTCCTTATTGATAGTTTTCGGATAAAACTTTCCTCTCGACGTTATTCAAACTGAAATATGACTTAAAGCAGTAATTTTTCTAACTAAATGAATCTGTTAACTTTTTTTTGTATAATAGAAGAATAACAACATTGATTCAAATATAACTGATACTGTTCTATAACAGATACTTTCCATGTTTAAAAACACCTGGCAGAGCTAAAAAAATACCTCTTTTCCGCCTACTTTCGGACACATTCGGTTATTCTCGGGATTCCATTAATAGTGTGATTATGAGATCTTGTGAATTGTGCCACCCTTTGAAGTGAAGTAACACTTGTACATAACTGTTTCTTCTAAATAAATTAAAACAAACAAATTCATTTACTTCTTAACCTGTTTTGAAGTAATCATAGTATATAATGAACTTTACCAAGTCTTCCATACTACGCTGGGAGTGGGATAGCTCAGTGGTAGGGCACTGGAGCTTCCAATGGGTTCGAACCCCGGCTCATGGCAGAAAATTTTATTTATCTGTTTCATTGGCCGCGGGGCGACCTTGGGTCGGAAGACCCTCCTGGGCCACACCCAGCCTCTATAAAGTGAGTACCCTTAATTAAATAATTAATTAACTAAGGGGGAAAACCTGGCGGTTGAGCGTGATCTCGGTCAAATCACCTCCTTGCACAACCGTTGACCTAGAAACAGTGCTTTCCCTAAATATTACTGAACCCCAAATCCTTTATAGGGGACCCTATACGGTAATTTATGAATGAACGTCACAAGAAGTTCCAAGATTGCTCGCTATCGCTTTGATCATGAAGACCCTTACACGTTCAATCATTACTGATCATTACTTATCGTTGCTGATACCAATTTAGTTGTAAACGCAGTTGTAAACAAAGAAACAGCATAGATATGCTTATTTGGACATTGTCATTTATAATATTGGGCATCAAGAGAAAAACGGAGATATAATAATTACTTCCTTGTACCGGAAAATCGTTTCGACCAAAGTTAGAAAAATATAAGTCAACTACATACAAAAATCTAGGAAAAGTATTGTGAAAATAATCAATTTGTTAAGAAAAATGTAAAAATTAATGGCAAATAAACACAACAGTTAAAGATTTTTTTTCTATAAGTAAATTGTGAAGTTTCCACTTTTTTTTCTCTCCAATTTATTGCCTACTTGACTATTTAAAGAAAAAATAGTTGAAAATGGTTAATAATAATATAGACTAGGGATATAAACAACTATTTACTTTTATGAAATTATTTACTTAATAACGAGACCTAGATAAACTAACCTATCTAGTAGTAAGGTTAGTCTCATATCGTTTTGACAAAAGTTAGTAAAATATAAGTCTACTACTTACAAAAATTAAGGAAAGGTATTGCGAAAATAATAAATTTGTTGAGGAAAATGGGAAAAGAACTGATAAACATACACAACGTTAAATTTTTTTTTTCCCCAAAAGTAAATTGTGAAGATTTCTCATTTTTTTTTTTTTTTTTTTAATTTGTTGCCCTCTTGACTATTTAAAAGAAATAGTTGAAGATGATTTAAAATTATAAACAAGGGATATGAAAAATTATTTAACTATTTACATATAATGAAAATCAGAAATTTATAATGGTTGTGAGGCCTAGGTAACCTAACCTATCCAGCAGTATGGTTAGTCTCCCCACTACTTTTACCTCAGTCACCCCTCCACTTCTCCTGAATGAACCTTTGATTTCCGGATGTTCGGAAATCCGCAGAGCACCACCATCAGTACTTCATTCACTACCTTACACGACAATTTTTTTTTTTTAATATATAATGAACTTTACCAAGTCTTACATACTCTTCTCCATATAATTAACAGAATTATATTTCGAATTTTTCTTCAATCTACTATGTTTCATTATATAGTAATACTTTACTTATTTTTATTTGTGATGATAGAGGATAAATTATAAAAATCAAAGTAGGTACAGAATAACTTTTATTTGTTCCTGTACAAGTAGACAGCCGTTTTATATATATACACACACGAAAACAAAATATACATTATAGATAATATAATACATTGAATACATAGTGATAATAGACAATAATCACGAAAGTATCAGACTTCCCAAGAATATCCTTAGGGAGCTAGGATTCAGAGCACCTTTATAGACCTCATAATATACAAAATAAATTAAGAATATTGATAATTTTAATGCAGTCCACGCCTGCGCGAATCACAGGCCTCTTCCTAACCTCTCAATCTCTTGCACGATGTGGTCCATGTCCTCCCTGGTCAGACTGGAGTTCTGCAAGACCAGTCTGAAGAAGTTAGGGTGGTCCTTCAGGGGCTGGTAGGTTATCATCATGGTTCCTTCGCGCATCATCCGTTCCTTCATCAGTGGTGCCACCTGTCGATGGAATAACAGAATTAGTACAGTTTTTATAATCACGCCTCAAAGTAATCGGGCACTTTGAGTTTTTTCTGTATGTAAATAAATATAAGAAGAAAATTATGCCTGAAGGACTTCATTTTATGAACGCTACAAAGCAGGAGTACCCACTAGATGGTTTCATGGAGCAAGTTGCGCCATCAATATTTTTGAGAGGGCCAAATTTTGACGAAGTTCTGAGTGCCCACAAGATGGTTTCATGGAGCAAGTTGCGCCATCAATATTTTTGAGAGGGCCAAATTTTGACGAGGTTCTGAATTTTTGAGGGTTCCAAAGTTTCAAATCAAAATACAAATGGAAGCATTTTTAAATTATACTTTTGTTTGCACTGTTTTTTAAGGAGAGGTTAGCCATAACATATCTTGGAAGGAGTGGGGGAAGGTTCATGCGCCATCGAGCTTGGATGGACGGGCACCCCTGCTATAGAGAGCATTCATTCTCTTTTATTTCTAGCTTGACATGTATGTCCATTATACGCCAACGGCCATACCACGTTGAACACACCGGTTCTCGTCCGATCACCGAAGTTAAGCAACGTCGGGCGTGGTTAGTACTTGGATGGGTGGTCGCCTGGGAAAACCGCGTGCTGTTGGTACTCTTTCTGGGGGCGGGGTGGCCGAATGGGCTAAAGCGTGTGCACAGCACCGCGAGTTGCCCGGCAACCAGATATATGAAAATTTGAGAGACAAGAAAAGTATGAGTTGAAAAGTATGCCAGAGGGGATTATAAATTCCCCGCCCTCACCCTCCGGCTCGGGAAAATCCCGTATAGCCTAAACGGCGAGGTAGGGAAGAACAAAAAAAATAAATAAATAAATTTAAAAAATGTATGTCAATGATACAGACCTCTTTTTATCAAATTATTAACATTCGTCTGAAACTTCGTGAATACCTTCATCTCATCGTACCCTACAACTATTGTATTTACGAGAACTCCTAGAATTGGGGTGTTTTCAATCTGAAGACCGGTAAACTTTGTCTATTTAAATAGGTACTAAAATTCGTAAATACTCAATTGCTTTCCACTTGAATCGGAAAATAATTTAATCACATAATTGAGAAAGAAGTGGCCTACAAAAATATTGAACCGTTTGGCCTATATAAACAACTTATACTTGTTTTGACATTTTGGGGGTGTAGGTCACGTCAAAGGGGTCAATGTATTTTAAGTTCATCTTTTTTCTCGACTTTGTGCTGAAGTTATCTTAAGATTAAAGTGGAAAGCAAATGAGTATTTACGTGATTTTAGTACCTAATTAAATAGACAATCCAGATTTAAAACGCTCCAATTCCGAGAATTTTCGCAAATAAAATATTTGTAGGTTACGATGATATTTGAGAAGTTTCAGGCGGATTTTAGAAATTTTAAATTTTTTTGAAACAAATTTACATTATGTTTAATTTGTTTAAGAAGTACAATACTGAACCAGTAACCATAAAGGACATAAAACAGATCAAATTGGATCATTCTTCAATAGAATAATCAAATTATATTATAGCGCAGGAAAAATATTAATTCCTAATGTGTTTTTGCTGCACGGGCGGATCTACAGGGGGAGAGCTTTGGGGCTAAAGCCTCTCCCCCAAATGGAAAAATATAACCATGTTTTATGAAAAAAATATATAAAAATTATCTCTTAAAGTATTATTGTTCGTGTAATTACATTTAAAAAGACTTAAGGGATCACTTAACACCATTTCATATAGGTAGTTAGTTTCTTCCTTTTTTCCCAAAGTAATTATCATTATTTTTGGGAAAAAAAAGCTTTCGGGCTGAAGCCTTCCCTCCCCCCCCAAAAAAAATTAAATCCTGGATCCGCTAGTGTTTTGCCGGACAATTTGCACTTTATAGTTAGGTCATACTAGAAGGAATTTGGCACATCTCTTATATCAGAAATTCTTATGGAAAAGATAAAAATATTTTATAAATTTCGTGCAAGTTTCTTCAGTCAATTAATATTTTCTTTAAATGCTAAAAATAGTTTTCCCTTACCTTGTTCAGCTTCTCTTTGAAGTCCGGCTGTCCTTCAAGATCCCTCAGAGATGGCGGTACATACCAGAAGCTGATGTTGGTGCATTGAGGTTTCTCGATGACGAGTCTGAATCCTGGTCTTTGCCTGATCTTGTCCGTGAAATATTCTGCCATATCGAACAGTCTGTCTACGTGCTCTTCCAATCCTGCAGTTCCCTGGAATAGTGAAAGATCATTGTTAAGCAGTCTGCTATCAGGGTATTTTTTAAATATTACAAAATAAAACTTCCATTCTCTCAAATAAAAAAAAACTAAGATGTGTGCTGTAGATCACAGCTCATTACAAACAGGATGAAATGATGAATATTTCCCTTGCTAATAGTATGCAGGTCCGACTTTTAGTTTTTGAGATATAATTTTAGTGATTGAGATATGCAAAGCATTTCAATTAGTCGACTTCAGCCGACATTACCCTAGCTTCACATTTCGAAGATCTGACGGATCTAATTCACTCTCCACAAAAAAATTGCAAAACCGGCTTAAAGAAGTTTTACATCAAAAACCCAATAAAATTTTAATAAATCAATCTAACAATATTTTCTTAATGTTATTTATAATTTAAATAAGCATTCCATTATTCATTTTTTACAACTTAGGTATTTGTCATTCATAAAAGTTCTTTCCATTTCTTTCGATCTAGACAGTGTCCCTCTCGAAGCCTCTGGTATCCCTTCCTTCCTCCAGAACCTGCAACCATTTCTTTCTAGGTCGTTCTCTTTTTCGCCTTACTATTGGTCGATAGAGAAAGATAAATTTTGCCGACATTACTCGAACTTTAAACATCTGAGATCTGACGGCTCAATCTAATTCACGCTCCACGAAAAAAGTTCAAAACAGACCTAAAGAAGATTTCACTTCAAAAAACCAATTAGACATAGTAAATCTCTTTAAGACAGTAGAATTCAATACCTCTATCTCTTTTTGGTTAGTATTTTCTTAACGAGATGTGTGCTTCGCATATATTAGTCCACTCAAAGAATGATTATAGAAGGAAATGGCGAGGACTTTTTTGACTTTTTGGGGTAATTTTTGACTTTGGGGCATTGTTTGGACCAGTAAGGAGGTAAACATACTAAAAGTCCCCACTTCTATGTGGTGAGCCAGATTTTAGGAAAAGGGCGCCCAGAAGGTCACTTTATTTCGGGCTTTATATCAGAAAAACTATCCATCGTATCGACACAGACGTTCGATACAAAATTTTATTTTTTATTTTTTTTTTATTTTAATGAATTTACAACTGTATTACATAGAAAATACAACAAGTAAATGCGACATTGGTAACATGACATGTAACAACATGAAGAGAAACTACTCATTGGTAGAACTCAAATTAAAGTTCTATATTAGAAGGTCCCGAGGCCATCTTATTTTTAGACGCCTCGGAGGGTTATCAGGGATCGAGGAGGAAGCAAGGTTTGAAACGAGAGGGTTCGGATGATTATGAAGTTTATTATGGAAGGATAGGTATCTGGATTGGGCCAAATCGGAAACATATGTAACATTAAGGTCTTAATGGATGATTTTATTTGTGACAAAGTAAGGAGCGTTGAGGTTTTTGGATTGTAAGGATTGAATACGAGAGAAATTCGATGGTTTAGTGGAGCCCCAAAGTTCAATTCCGAATAGGTCTTATTATTGTCATATATATGAATGAAATGGGCGGTTTCTAGTCGTTTCAGTCTGGTATGGGGGTTGATACAAAAATAAAGCTGATAAAATTGCGATGGATAGTTTTCGTGTTATAAGCAAAATACTCGAAAAAAAGTGACCTTAAATGGTATTAAATCTCCTCTCTTAAAATGTATTACATCTATTTCTCTCCACATTAGATTAGCAATTTGTTACTGACCAATAATTCTCGAGATATATGTCCTACGGTTAAGCGTCAAACTTTTTTTTGTTTTTGTCGGTGCATCATATATTAGCTGTTTCCGACTATTTTCTTAAAGTTACTTAAATCCCCAAAAAATCATCGGAATCGGACCATTATCAACTAAGATACTAGTAATTTTTACACAAATTTTCGTTTATTATTATGAATGAAACAACGTAATAGTCAATTTTATTTTAGCTCACATTCATAATTGCGATGTTTTTTGTATCGCATTAGTTGAAGTTCACCTATGCCATGCAAGGTCGAGGACTAAGGAAGCTTTGCCAAGAACGGAGGCTGCGTATTCGATAATGATCTTACATAAGACTCGATTAATATTCGATCACTGGTTACAACATCGTTGAGAAAAAATGAGATCGTTAGAGATCTCATAATCGATTAGTTTAAGAGTGTTCTGACAAATTAAGCTTGAACATTTAAAATGTGTAGTATTTTTGTTTTAACGATAAAGGAGGCAGGCGTTCGATTGACCTAAGTGGGCTCGAAGAATTGCCAAAATTAAAAAAATGATTTTATCATATCATAATATCAAGCACGACTGGAAATAAAAAAAACTAAGGTATATGCTTCAGAACATTTACCTCGCATACAGTATGCAGGTCTGATCTTTAGATTCTGCGATATTTTAATCGGTATCTTCCATATAACTCGTCATCATTTGGTTTTCGACACTATTTTTCCTCTTTCCTCTCTAATGCTTCTCCTTGCCTCTCTAATGCGGCGTCGCGTCAAGATACTATTTTGAATAATAGTTGATTACATAGAGGAAGAAATGCTGACTAATTTCCTAGTTTACAATATGTAGGTCCGATTTTTCGTTTTTAAGATATTTAATCATATGCAAAAACACTTCACAATGTGTCAACTCCTTGTGAGTTTACCCGAGCGTTACACATCGGAGATCTGACGGCTCAATCTAGTTCACTCTCTAAAAGAAAAGAAGTGCAAAAAGCATTTAAAGAAGTTATCACTTCAAAAAATCTGGAGCGGTAGGCACATCACATAAATTTCACCGACTACCTCACTTCCAATAGAAATATTTTTTTAAAACATTAATAAACCTTAATAATAATAACAATTGTTATTAACTACTACCGATTTTGGGCAACACTATCAGATTTTTTGGTAGGCTTGGTTATTTAGAGACAGAAATCTTTAAATATGTATTTCCATTAGAAAGCTCGGATTTAAATTTTTTTCACAATAAAAATACTATTTTACTATATATTTCGTATGTAGATAAGTATAAGTAATAATTTGAGCAACATCTACATAGGTGACACTAAGCATAAACAGAAACTGTATCAACAAACTCTTCAAAAATATAAGTTTATGCTCAATTTTAGTTTATATATTTATAGCCAAGCTATTTTATCGAATGTTCACTTACGAAGTTATATTAAAGGGAGATTTCGAAATGAAGTTCTCCATAAGTCCAAGTTACTCTTTAAAGGGAAATACTTTGGCACTTTTAACAATTAAAAAGAAAAAAATTAAAAGACTCTCTTTATAAGAAAGTTATCTCCATAATTATTTTTTAATTATTGTTTTATAATTACATCCCTGATTTTATTTTCCTAAAGACAATTAACAAAGAAGGACCTTGAAGAACTCCTGACATAAATCAAACAATCGATGATCCTTATCAGTCTGTCGTTCGCTAATGAACTCGTCTCGTACTTGGTCTGGAAGGGTAAGGTTATTAATGAGTCAAAAATGGTCTATTTTAAATCTTAAAAATTTTTTTTTCAATCTAAACATTTTTTTATTTTTAAATTCACTATTTTGAGGAACTTCGGGTGGATTGTATGACATTGCGGAGGTAAGCTTTTGAACTATTTATGGCACTGAAAGGGAGAATTAACCATAAACATCCATCAATCATAAACTATAAGTAACTACTCCGCAACACAGTTTGAAGTTAACTTATCCTCAGAATGAATTTCGACCTTTCCACTCTGGTTAAATAGGTATGGTTGTACCTATAAAAGAAACCCAACCCTTCCAATATTAAACAAGAAAGGGTGAAATAGAGAGTAACCGGGAGAGAGAGCTACAATAATATTGCACGGCTGTTCAAATGTGTTGAGTTGCTAAGTAACACAGCATACTCATCAATCAACAGACAATACTTTTAAAGGGGACCCTACACGGTCAATCGGAATTGCACTAATGACGTTCCGAATTGTCGTGTAAGGTAGTGAATGAAGTACTGATGGTGGTGCGCTGCGGATTTCCGAACATCCGGAAATCAAAGGTTCATTCACGAGAAGTGGAGGGGGGGCTGAGGTAAAAGTAGTGGGGAGACTAACCATACTGCTGGATAGGTTAGGTTACCTAGGCCTCACAACCATTATAAATTTATGATTTTCATTATATGTAAATAGTTAAATAATTTTTCATATCCCTTGTTTATAATTTTAAACCATCTTCAACTATTTCTTTTAAATAGTCAAGTGGGCAACAAATTAAAAAAAAAATGAGGAAAACTTCACAATTTACTTTAGGAAAAAAAAAACTTTATCGTTGTGTATATTTATCAGTTCTTTTCCCATTTTCCTCAACAAATTTATTATTTTCGCAATACCTTTCCTTAATTTTTGTAAGTAGTAGACTTATATTTTACTAACTTTTGTCAAAACGATATGAGACTAACCTTACTACTAGATAGGTTAGTTTACCTAGGTCTCGTTATTCAGTAAATAATTTCATAAAAGTAAATAGTTGTTTATATCCCTAGTCTATATTATTATTAACCATTTTCAACTATTTTTTCTTTAGATAGTCAAGTAGGCAATAAATTGGAGAGAAAAAAAAGTGGAAACTTCACATAAGTAATGATCAGTAATGATTGAACGTGTAAGGGTCTTCATGATCTAAGCGATAGCGGGCAATCTTGGAACTTCTTGTGACGTTCATTCATGAATTACCGTGTAGGGTCTGCTTAAAAAACTAAGCTTTATTCTTTAGACGATAGAAGTGAAAACATCAACAATGATTAATAATGTTAAATATAAATTATAAATAATAGCCAATTATAAAGAGAATCAAATGCTGAACAATTTCCTCGCTTACAAAATACAGGTCCGATTTTTATTTTCTGAGATATTTTAATCCATATTTTTTATAAAAGCCGTTATCATTTGGTTATCGACACTATGTTTTTTTTGTCGCCTCTCTTACACGGCGTCGTGTTAAGATACAATTTTGAATAATAATAGCCCATTACAAAGAGGATGAAATATTGAACAATTCCCTCGCTTACAAAATGCAAGTCTGATTTTTAGTTTCAGAAATATAATATATTATTAGTCCGTGGTACAGCCCCCTTTTTATCGAATTATTAACGTCCGCTCGAAACTTCGTAAATAGTTTCATCATAACCTACAGATATTTTAGTTACGACAACTCTAGGAATTGGAGCGTTTTCAATCTGGTTGGGGGCAAACTTTTCCTATTTAATTAAGTACTAAAAACTCATATATAACCATTTGCTGTCTGCTTGGATCATAAGATAATTTGATCACAATATCGAGAAAAAAGGTGGCCTTAAAAAATATTGAGCCGTTTGGCATGACCTACACCCCGATTTGAAATTTCGGAGTTAGTAGCAAACGGCTCAATATTTAGGACCACCTTTTTTTATCGATTTGTGATCAAATTATCTTACGATCCAAGTAGAAAGCAAATGGGTATTTACGAGTTTTTAGTACTTAATTAAATAGACAAAGTTTGCCCCCCTCCAGATTGAAAACGCTCCAATTCCAAGAGTTTTCGTAAATAAAATAGTTGTAGGTTACGATGAGATGGAACTATTTACGAAGTTTCGAGCGGATGTTAATAATTCGATAAAGAGGGATCTGTACCACGGATTATAACTAATACATACAAATATTTTGTACCCTAACTTACGTACCTTACGTACTGAACTAGGTACTTTTAAATAGGTAGTTTAAAACATGTCGTGTCCATTAAAAACTCTCTTTGTGTCAATCCATTAAACTAAAAACGCAACGATTCATTAATCATTGTCCTCCATCTTGTAGTTTCGTTAGTAATTCGCTAGTAAATTTCGTTAGCGTTTATAAAATTAATTTGTGCAACTTAAGACATAATTTATTTTTTATATGTTTTTTTTATTTTAAGGAAGAAGACAAAGGAATGGCCAGTTGGTACTGTTTCATAACGAAAAACTAATTACCACAACGTCCTCGGGCCGGATAGAGAGGTCGATGCGATGCTTGATCGCGGCTATGCAAGGTCACAAAGACGTTGCAGGGTCGCTCGTGAACGACTTGTTCCAATGGCCATCAAGTGAATCATCGATAACCAGCGACATGTTAATCTATTATTGTACATCTAAAACCGTCAGAATCCCTTTGATATTAGTTAGTATATGCTCACGTAGATAAAACAAAAATAATTTCGCATTTTTGCAATCACCTCTTATTGAAGAAGGTTTAAAATTTTTTTTTAAATGAAAATGAATGAATAAATAATTCTATTCTGGGACTACAGTCCCAGAGGAACAGAGTTACAAATTTATGGACATTAGTTTGACTTAGAATAATAAAAAATACTAACTAATTAACTGCTTCTTATTATTGCAATTATGCAGTAGATTGAAATTAAACAGTATACAGATGCAAGTAATTTTACTTGTTTGTGGAAGTTTCAATGTGGAGTAAGTGGTAGAGCAGAGGTTGTTTGAAGGAATTTGTGGACGAGGATTGACATATGGAGGTAGGAAGAGAATTCCAAAAGGAGGTAGCAGGAATAACGAAGGATTTGCTGAAGGAAATAGTTATATGGGAGGGGATATATAAATCTATAGATTGAGACCTAGTATTAAGAGAGTGGATAGAGGAACGTAGAATAAGGAGTTCCAGAATGTAGGGAGAGTTTTTGGTTCTGATGACTTGGAAAAGGAAAACAAACCAAAAGGAGGAGGAATTGTCGTCAGGAAGTAGGATAAAGCCACTTCAGTTAAGTGTACTTGAATGAAACAGTTTGGGGATCCCGAAGATGTATATTATGAAACAGTTCTTGAGTTCCTTCAGTCTCATTTCTACCCTATCAGATAGCCCTCCATACACCGAACAGTCGTAGTAGAAGTGAGCGAATAAAAGAGAGGTTACAAGGAGCTCTCTGGTTTTTAGAGGAATACGGAGTCTTAAAAGTTGTTTAAGAACAGTTATGGATTCTTAGGTAATCTGGGAGATATGGTTATTCCAGAAGAGGTTATGGTCAAAGGTTACTCCTAGGTTTTTGACTGCAGGGAAAAAATGGATGGGACGGTTATTGAGGTAAAGTAGAGAAAAGTAAGGAAGGGAGCTAATGAGATGAGAATAGTTTCATAACATTATACGATAAATGTGACAGAGGACTAACTATTAACGTCGATCAATCTAGGAAATCGTAGGCACACAATTATTCTACAGATGTTAAAAAAACAGAGATTACAGGCGGATCTAAGGGGAGGAGATGGCTTAAGGGTTGAAGCCTCCTTACTCCTCCCCTCCTCCAAATTGTTAAAATATAACCATGTTTTATGGAAAAAATTATCTCTAAAGGTATTAGTTAGTCTATGCTCACGTAGATAAAACAAAAGTAATTTCGCATTTTTGCATTCACCTCTTATTGAAGAAGGTTTTTAAATTTTTTTTTAATGAAACATGTCGCTGATTATCGATGATTCACCTGATGGCCATTGGAATAGTTGTAGGTTACGATGAGATGAAGCTATTTACAAAGTTTCAGGCGGATGTTAATAATTCGATAAAAAGGGGTCTGTACCACGGACTATTTCTGAGATTACTTAATTGAGGAGTTTGTTTGACAGCTTGACTAATCTCAGTTCAATTTTAAAAATTATTTTATGTTTTATTGAGCCTTAATTGAAGAAGGCTTTAGACACGTTGAGTAGTGAACCAAGACAATTTGGAGCCCTAGATGGTAAAATTTAGGCACCCTCTTCCTCTTCTCCCAAAAAAATGTATTCAACATAAAATCCACCTCCAAATTATTAATATTAATATTAAAATGCCAAATTATCAAAGCTGTACCTTGTTTTATATTGATAAAAGTTTTGAACCAAGTACTGAAAAACGTAAACGCAGTGAATGTACTTTGTAGTAATCAGTGTATGGAAACCAGTTTCTTTTCGAGGTTACACACTCACTTATGACTTTAGTAGTTTCATACTATCTTTTCCTCATTTATGTAATAGGAGTATTTAATCGTAAACTATTAGCTTTGACTATTTCTCCTATTATATATGCTAATGTTATTCTGATTATTTTGAAAGCATTTAAGGAAATCGAAACACCATTCATCGAACTACTAGGAAAACAATTATTTATATTTATCTCTTATAGTATGATGAAATAAATCGATTATTCAGATCACGAATAGTATCATTAAACGAGTCATTTCCTTGTTAACAAAATTTTTAAGATTAACCTTATCCTAACTCATCCTGAAATAAAGTTTTCCTTACAAGAGATTACAGACACGAGGTCACCGATTTCAGTGATTCTAGATCGAAAAAAATAAAACCGATATCTGAGGGTTCTTTGGTATGCGCCAAAAAAGTTATCAAATGTTAAAAAAATTTATACTATTGTTTTCTACGTTCTATATGAATTTTTCGGTTATATCAATCACCTTTTTTTTTTTATTGTATGTGCATAAGAAAAATGTATTATTGATAGTATTAAATTAATTCAAATTTATAATTAGTTTCAAATATCAAAAGGCGCTTCCAGTAAAGCAGAACAAGTGAATTTTTCAAACGATCAATTCAGTTTCGTTTCTTACGTCTTTTGAAACTATTAGATATGAATTTGTATTTGCAAAAAATGTGTATATGTATATGTATATATATATATATATATATATATATATATATATATATATATATATATGTATATATATATATATATATATATATATATATATATATATATATATAGATATATATATATGGACGATGAACTCTCCTCGATTATATACAAATTCAACCTTACTACATCCATTAGAAAGCAGAATTATGGCTCTTTAAAGTTAAGCGGAAAAATAAAGAAAAACTCCTTAAATGTTTTATTTGTCTGGTTTGTGCCATTTCGGGTATTTTATAGGATCCTAAATTTATATTTATTTTCAAATAGGTGCATGTTAACTTTATCGTATGTTTTGTAATTTAAAAAAAATTGAATTAATTTAATACAATTATCCACAGGCAAATCTACGGAGGAAGCTTTCGGCCCTCCCCCCAAAATGGTAAAATATAACCATATTTTACACAAAAAATTTTAAAAACTATCTCTTAAAGTATTCTTGTTCGTTTAATTACATTTAATAGGACTTCAGGAACCACTTAAACAACATTTCATATAGGTAGCTAATTTATTTCTTTTCTTTTTTTCAAATTATTTTTATGAAGTTTTATGAAAAAAAAATCTTTCGGGCTGAAGCCCCCCCCCCAAAAAAAATTAAATCCTGGATCCGCTAGTGATTTGTAGCAAAAAAAATATGTAATTTTTTATGGACGATTGTTTTCATGCTTCTCACTAAATAATTCATAATCCTCCATGATTATATACAAATCCAACCTTGCTACAACCGTTTTTTTTTTTGTTTTTTTATATCTCCAATTCTAATTTATTTACGTAGGAGAGGGTGGTCTGGTTTGTGCCATTTCTGGTATTTTATAGGATCCTAAATTTCTATTTATTTTCAAGTAGGTTGAGTCATGTTAAATTTATTGTAAGTTTTGTTATTAGAAAAAAATTTAATTCATTTAATAAAATTATCAATATGTTTTTCTTATTATACATAAAAAAAAATTGGATTGATAAATTATATTAATTATTGTTATAGATATTAATTTTTGTTTCTTGGCTCCTTGCGCGTGTTGACAGGAACCCTCGGACATTTAATAAAAATTTAATTGAAATTGGTGACTCCACTTCAATAACCTTCCCTTGTTCTACTTTTTAATCAGCTGTAGTATATAAACTTACTTCTTTCTCGTTATTTACGATATTAGATTAAATATCTATAGACTCACCTTCGATTTCCACATTAACCAGAACTTGAAGACGTCCACCCTCCTGCCGCATTGCAAGTGCTTGTCGCCGATGTCGTACGACGTGTCGTAGAACTTGTCTTTCTGGAAGAGGTATGAAGCACTAGCAGAGTGGCATTCTTGAAGGATCTTCGGGTGCTTCGTCAGGAAGGTGCTGCACTGTTGAGGAGCTGCCAGCATCTTATGGGGGTTCCAAGTCACGCTGTCTGCTCTGTAGAGGAAATGGATTCTGTTAATATCAGCAAAATAATTTGTCGTTGTTGTTGTATTTATTGTTAAATATATGTTTTACCTATCAATGCCGGATAGCAGATGTCTCCTCCTTGTCGACATCAGCGCTCCTCCACCCCAAGCGGCGTCCACGTGGAACCAGAGCTTCTCCTCGTTGCAGATGTCCGCAATGTCCTCCAGAGGGTCGAAGGCTCCGAGCACCGTGGTACCGGCGGTGGCAGAGACCATGAAGGGTACGCCACCTTCGCTCTTGGCCCTCTGGATCTCCTGCTTCAAATGGCCGACGTCCATCCTTCCGGTCGAGTCAGTGCGCACTTGATAAACGTTGTCGATCCCGATCCCTTCCAAACCTGCCATCTTGACGATGGAGTAATGAGCTTCCTCCGAAGTGAACATGACCAGTCTGGGTAGGCCGTATAGTCCTTTCGACTGAGGGAAAAATAAATCGATTTATTGTATTATCGATTGTACAAACAATCTCTACTAGTTGCCCCGTGCGAAAAATTCGCACAGCATGTTGCTAACAAATGCTAAATTAATAAGAAAATAAAATAATACAACGTATCAAAAGATAGAGAAATCAAATGTTACTTTATCGATAAATATAATCGACAAATAAAACAAAAATTAATTTAAATCTTAATTTTTGTTTGGAACCATCATGTTTACAAATTTCAGTAAGCTGTATCTTTGCTAAAAATTGTCCGATTTCGATGATTTTTTTTTCTTCATTTTTTAGCTAATTTAGTAATCATGAGCATAACCAAGGGAAAAGTGTGTAATTTTTCAGTTATTCGCTAAATAAAGTTAGTTTTCTTTCATAACTTGTTTGCCTGAATTTTCGGGGCGATTGGACTATTTTGCCCGGCTGGAGGAGAAGGAAGCCTTCGAGATTGGTGGCTCAATCCTTATATTTTGTGAAAAAATTAACGATGATATGGCTTCCTGATCAAAAACACCATCGATAAATAATATAAACTCCTCCTCTCTCGATCATAGAGACCTCAAGTAAACGAAATGAGACATGTATTCAATGACAGTACTACAATTCATGTAAGGTTGTGTGGATGCGAACCCTATGCCTTGCGTTATCTCGAAAATAGTACGTTTTTGGGCTTAAAAACGCATGATCCGTCCGTCTTGCTGTACGCATCAAAATCTTCAAGATCCAATTTGCCCCGTATCGATCTACAGACCCACCACCTGTTATAGTATTGAAGCCTAGCAAAATGTTTGTATCGACTTTATTTATTTTAGAAAGAAAAAAAAGTGGAGAATACTATTCGCTAACCCCCCCTGAAATTCTGAATCCAACGGTACCCCATTCATGGAATTTGAGCATGACAGGAGGTTATATGTGGTACAAAACAGATTTCGAGTCTTACTGTAATAATATATGTGGGGATACATATAGTAATAACCTAAAAATCTGGACAAAGCAAAAGCAAAAATAAACAACATATATTTTTTTTTGGAATTATATATGTATGGTGTCACCGAAAAAAACCCTGACCCCAAGTCCTTTTGATTTTTTTTCAAAAACGACAACAGACACAAGAAACAAACACAATTGCTAGACTGTCCGATTTCGATGATTTTTTTTTTTCATTTTGTAGGGAATTTAGTAATCATGAGCATAACCAAGGGAAAATTGTGTAATTTTTCACTTATTTGCTAAATAAAGTTTGCTTTCTTTCATAACTTGTTTGCTTGAATTTTCGGGGAGATTGGACTATTTTGTCCGCCTGAAGGAGAAGGAAGCCTTCGAAATTGGTGGCTCAATCTTTATATTTGGTGAAAAATTAACGATGATATGACTTACCGATCAAAAACACCATCGATAAATAATATAAACTCCTCCTCTTTCGATCATAGAGACCTCAAGTAAACGAAAAGATGACCTCAAGTATTCAATGACAGTACTACAATTCATGTAAGGTTGTGTGGATGCGAACCCTATGCCTTGCGTTATCTCAAAAATTGTATGTTGTGGGACTTAAAAACGAAGGATCCGATAATTCCAGAGGAACTATCCGGGTCTTGCTGTACACATCAAAATCTTCAAGATCCAATTTGCCCCGTATCGATCTACAGACCCACCACCTGTTATAGTATTGAAGCCTAGCAAAATGTTTGTATCGACTTTATTTATTTTAGAAAGAAAAAAAAAGTTGAGAATACTATTCGCTAACCCCCCGTGAAATTCTGAATCCAACGGTACCCCATTCATGGCATTTGAGCATGACAGGAGCTTATATTTGGTACAAAACCGATTTCGAGCCTTACTGTAATAATATATGTGGAGATATATATATAGTAATAACCTAAAAATCTGGACAAAGCAAAAGCAAAAATAAATAACATATATTAATTTTTAAATTACATATGTGTGGTGTCACCAAAAAAAACCCTGACCCCAACTCCATTTGATTTTTTTTCGAAAACTACAACAGACACAAGAAAAAAAACACAATTGCTACAGTCTATGGCTTAAGATAATATTTCATATTCGTCACTGTAAAGCGAATCTAATACAAATAAAACAAACGGAATTGAATCGATACAGAAACCTGTTCCAAAAGAACTTTTTTCATCCCGTGAATGGTTCCAAATCTTTCCGGTTCGGTTCAGGATTGGAGGTTATAATAACGAAACAAGTTTTGACAACTCTAATGACCAACCAGTGTTGTGATTATGTTTTAGTTTATTTTTATTATAAATCGATTATCAAGCCTCTAGAAGATTACATAGTATCTGTTTCTTGTTTATATGGTGTTTTATTAAGGTCAAGTCCGGTCGTTCGAAGGACGACTAATTCTACCTCTTTGGGGCACTGGCCTCCACTAATTACTATTCGAGATCTTTTATAGGATATGAAAAAAAAAATAACACCAGGAAAGAATCGAACCCAAACAATTAATATAAATATAACAAGTGAACATAGTTATAACAAGTGATATAGTGTAATATAGTTATAACAAGTGAAGAACGAATGTATAATGTAATTTATCTATTGTAAAATCATTTCACACATCACATAGACAATGATAGAAATTTAGACCTTAGAGGAAAAAATTACTTCAAAACTAGAATAACTTTTTTGTTTTCAACTTTTTAATTTCGCGGAGAAGCCATTTCAAATGCAACCACTCCATTAGTTTTTTCTCTCATAGAAATATTGAGAAAAGAGATGGTAAGTAGTAGCGAGCGGTCATCGAGAAAAAACATAAAATATTGAAACCTATTTTATTAAGCCGACGTTTCGAACCAACTATGTAGTACTTCCTCATGGCTATGGTCGGGATGGAGTTTCACGTGAAGCTGTTTCGTCAATATCTGACAATAGCCCTGAGGAAGACATGCATAGTTAAATCGAAACATCGGCTTAATAAAATAGTTTCCCCTAATTTTAAGTTTTTCTTAATGATCGCCACCCTGAACCATATGTTTTCGCAACATTGTGCACTGGTCAACTATTGAGTATTCAATATGATCATGAAAATAGTTCTAGTTTTGAATAAATGCTCTTCCATTAAAGTGTAAAGTTCTCCGTTTTACGGTACTGTAAAATAGTGGCATACCCTGAAGAAGACCTGCAATGTCGGGTCGAAACGTTGGCTTGAAATAAAATAATTTTGCCACTATTTCAGTCTATTTATGGCCGCCACCCCGGATCATCTCCTTTCGTTAAAATACAACGTTCAACCATTGAGTATTTAATCAACGGTACTGTAAAATATTTTATATACATTTTTTTATGAGCAAATGTTTACTCTGAAGGGTGAAAATTATCCATTAAAGCAAAACATATAAGTCAGACAATTTCAGAAATTAAATTTATGAACTAAAACTTGGCCAATCCTACATGAAATTCAAACATTTTAATATTTTCATCATTTATTTAAAACAAAAATTTTTTTATTATTTCTTAATGACATTTACAACTGTATTACATAAATACATCAAGTAAATTTGGACATAATAGATATAATGACATGAATACACTTGCTGAGTAACTACCCAATGGTAGCACTCTAATGATATGACTACATTAGGAGATCACGGAGCCATTTTCTTTTCAGACGCCTCGGAGGGTTATCAGGAATTGAAGAGGAAGAAAGGCTAGAAACGAGAGGGTTGGGATGATTATGAAGTTTATTATGGAAGGATAGGTATCTGTATTGGGCCAGATCTGAAACATAAGAAAGGTCATTATGGATGGTTTTATTTGTAACAAAGTAGGAAGCATTGAGGATTTTACGAAGGATTTTTTTATGCGAGAGGAATTCGATGGTTTAGTGGAGCCCCATAGCTCAACTCCGTAAGTCCAAATAGGTCTTATTTTAGTCAAGTATATGAGTCTTTTATAATTAATGGGAAGTTTAGAGCATTTGTCTAGTAAGTGCTGAAGTAATCGAAAACGTCGAGCGGTTTCTTGTCGTTTCAGTCTAGTATGAGGATTCCAAGATAGTCGTTTGTCCAGATGGAGTCCTAGGTATCGGATTTGCTCAACAGGGATAAGTGGAGTATTGTTAAAGGAAACTGTAGGACAGGAAGTCGTTGGTTTACGACGAAATCAAAATTAAATAACAATAGCTAATTCAGGATATAAATTTGGGACCTTACTTTCACTTTACAGGATCAATAATCTTTTCAGAGGTAAACTTTTTATAGCACAGGCCCCTTTTTATCAAATTATTAACATCGGGCTGAAACTTCGTAAATAGCTTCATCTCATCTTGACTTACAAATATTTTATTTACGAAAATTCTCGGAATTGGGGCGTTTTCAATCTGGAGATCGGCAAACTTTGTTTATTTAATTAAGTAACTAAAAACTTGTAAATACCCATTTGATTTCCACTTCAATCGTAAGATAACTTGAACACATAGTCGAGAAAAAAGGTGGCCTTTAAAAATATTGAGCCGTTTGGCCTATATAACTTGCGGGTGTAGGTCACGCCAAACGGATCAATATTTTTAAAAGCCACCTTTTTTCTCGACTTTGTGCTCAAGTTATCTCACGATTAAAGTGGAAAACAAGTGGGTATTTACGAGTTTTTATTACCTAATTAAATAGACAAAGTTTGACGTCCTCCATATTGAAAACATCCCAATTTAGAGAATTTACTTCAATAAAATATTTGTAGGTTAGGATGAGATAAAATGTTTACGAAGTTTCAGGCGGATATTACTAATTTGACAAAAAAGATTGTGTACCACGGACTATTACACTAGTTTAAATGATCTAGCTGAAAGCACTTGTTAAACATTTGATTCAGCTCACTCGTAGAAATAAAAATGGACCTTGAATGCAATAATGCTAAGGTTCACTTTTAAATGTACACTTTTAGGCCATTATTTAAGGAAATTTTCTAAAAAAACGTTCCTTAGGAACATTTTTTGGAACCCCCATACCAGACTGAAACG